GTACACGTCCCAGAGTCCAGATGGGACAGTAAAGGCTTTTACACAACATGCATGATTTATTCCTGCGATTTATTGAGACGTGAATAAATGAATTCGAATATATATCTAGCACAGAAAGTCCGATCGGTGTTTGAGAGCCCTTTATTTTCCTTCTGTTCAGTTTTGGTGAAATTGTACGTGACAGGATCTCACTCGGCCGATCGTTGTTGCTTCAGGTGTTGGCATGGCAAGAAGCAAGATGATGGATTGGTTGTGTCCCAATAAAAAGAGCCCAAATCTATCAGGATTTGCTTGGTGTCTGCTTCAGCACGAGCAGCGCAGTGCAGAACAGAAACTTCGTCAAAAAACAATTATAGAAAGTTGTAGTTGATGCTGCTGCTGTAGTTGTTGATGCTGCTGCTGTAGTTGTTGCTGCTGTAGTTGTTGTTGATGCTGCTGCTGTAGTTGTTGCTGCTGTAGTTGTTGTTGATGCTGCTGCTGCTGTAGTTGTTGCTGCTGTAGTTGTTGTTGCTGCTGTAGTTGTTGTTGATGCTGCTGCTGCTGTAGTTGTTGCTGCTGCTGCTGTAGTTGTTGCTGCTATAGTTGTTGTTGCTGCTGCTGTAGTTGTTGTTGCTGGTGCTGTAGTTGTTGCTGTTGCTGCTGTAGTTGTTGCTGCTGGTGCTGTAGTTGTTGTTGCTGGTGCTGTAGTTGTTGCTGTTGCTGCTGTAGTTGTTGCTGCTGGTGCTGTAGTTGTTGCTGCTGGTGCTGTAGTTGTTGCTGCTGTAGTTGTTGCTGCTGCTGCTGTAGTTGTTGCTGCTGGTGCTGCTGCTGTAGTTGTTGCTGTTGTTGCTGCTGCTGTAGTTGTTGCTGCTGCTGCTGTTGTTGCTGCTGCTGCTGTTGTTGTAGTTGTTGTTGTTGTTGTTGTTGCTGCTGCTGCTGTAGTTGTTGCTGCTGTAGTTGTTGTTGTTGCTGCTATAGTTGTTGTTGCTGCTGCTGCTGTAGTTGTTGTTGTTGCTGCTATAGTTGTTGTTGCTGCTGCTGCTGTAGTTGTTGATGCTGCTGCTGCTGTAGTTGTTGCTGTTGTTGTTGTTGCTGCTGCTGTAGTTGTTGCTGTTGTTGTTGTTGTTGTTGTTGTTGTTGTTGTTGTTGCCGCTGCTGCTGTAGTTGTTGCTGTTACTGCTGTAGTTGTTGTTGCTGCTGTAGTTGTTGCTACTGTTGCTGCTGTTGTGTGAAACTGTATTCACTCTCTGGAGATGACATTCATGGTTAGATTCATGTGAACCCCGAGTTCATACAATGAGAATAATGTTTTTAAATTATTAAAATTATTAAACATATTCTGATTAAGAATATTTTGTCCACTCTTAGTTGTAACAATAATCACTGCTTTTTAAATGGAAAAATAAAAAAAAACACCCAAAATAACGTGATTATCACAGTGAACTATTTAAACCGTTTGACAGCCCTGTTAGTATTGAATACTCTGTCGTGCTGTTTTGCTGTAGCTGAGTTTATAAGAATTATTTAAACCGTTCGAGTTCATTTCTGTCTAACTACTTGTGATTCACTGATATCCATAATATGAAAATCTATATCATGAGTCAATCATGTACCACTGTCCACCTTTATACTGGTAGACTGTCCACCCCTAATTAACAGTCATTTATCTTAGTCACTCACAGAGCTTTGCCAGGAAGCATCTCACCATGGGTTGTGTACTTTCAGCACTTCAGGTCAGTTTGTTTAAAGCGTGATGTGTAGTTGTGTGTGAGGTTGAGTGGGCGGTTGCAGACCTATTTAAAGCAGATGTTTGGTTGCTGGTGAAACAGCTTGGAAGCGGTAACCACAACAAAGCTGCTTTTTCATACTGATCAGTGGAGCAGTCCTGAGAATAAAAGCAAATCTACTGTAAAACTGGGTCACATGGTTTTAATTGGTTTAGCACTTCAGTCACAACTCTCTTATACAAAAGTTCAGTCTTAGAATTTGTTTTTGATGGGGTCAGTTTTGGTGTCGGCCAGGTCTTCCAGGTGGTTGTTAGGAGCCACATTTTCTCTGTATCTCCGGTTTTGGAAACTCCTTTTTCACTTATTTTCATTTGACTCTCTCCTTCCTAGTGCAAGTGGATTATCTTGCATCTAATCTCCTCAGAAATACCTCTTTTAGATGTGCATGAGCTGACCTTTGGGATCGGCTGTATATCTTGCAGCTGTGACTGGTTGTGTTTAAGATTGGAAGGCTGGAAGCGTTAAAGTGGCAGTAGGTGTGTGAAAGTAAGGAGTGGACATTATATACTGATTTGATATTATCGGTTTGATATTAAACTCAGTTTTGGAGATTTTTGTATATTTTTCTGTTCCGTTTTGAATAGAAATGAAAGAACAGTGGTCTATAAATGTATAAGGTGTGTGTGTGTGTGTGTGTGTGTGTGTGTGTGTGTGTGTGTGTGTGTGTGTGTGTGCGCCTTATTCTCCTACATTTAGCTTCTTCATGTGAACTAATAGGAGGATCCTCCCTCGAATTCCCAGACATTCCCCTTGTTAGCGTGCTCTCTCTCTCTCTCTCTCTCTCTCTCTCTCTCGCTCTCTCTCTCTCTCTCTCTCTCTCTCTCTCTCTCTCTCTCTCTCTCTCTTTCTGTCTCTCTGTCTCTCTCTCTCTCTGTCTCTGTCTCTGACTCTCTTGCGCTCTCTCTCTCTCTCTCTCTCTCTCTCGCTCTCGCTCTCTTGCTCTGTCTCTCGCGCTCTCTCGTCTGCTCTCTCTCTCTCTCTCTCTCTCTCTCTCTCTCTCTCTCTCTCTCTCTCTCTCTCTCTCTCTGTACAGCTCAGTGGAAAACATGACGTGTTTTCCGTCTATTCACTATAGTTCCCATCTGGATGCCTTTTAGCAGAACAGAAACATCAGAATGCCAAAATTGTGTGTAATAGTGTAGATGAATGGGGGTTGCAGCGTGATGTTTTCCCACATGCCCCCCCCTTATTATTTTTTTCTCTCTCTCTCTCTTTTTCTGCTCTTGTTCTTACCCACCCCCCCCTTTTTCTCCCCCTCCTCTTCTTCATCCTCACCATTCTTTTTCCCTGACTCAACAGGAATCCTCTGACAGTAATTTACTGTCTTCCCTGCAACAAACAGCCAGCTCTGTTTGAAGTGTCTCCCGATTCAGCAGTGTGTTGTACACAGCACTGTGGAGCTATTAATAAACACATTAACAACAATATTATTACTGACTGGTGCACAACTGTGCACAAGTATAAAGGGCTTGTTTGTTCACTGGATTTACAGAACCGGGTTCTGGTACGTTTATTCCTCCCAAAATCCTTGCTTTTGTTCGTGGGCTGTTCCAATTATAGGTCGGCTAAATAGATGTGCGTTGTTCTTCATAGTTTCCATGGCCAAACTGCCTGTGTTTGTATGTGTTCTCATGTGGGCCGTGTCTGCAGTGAGCCTTCGAGCAGCGTTTGGAAAAATTTGCTCTTGAGGGAAATCCTCAGGACTGTAACCACACACACACACACACACACACACACTCCTTAACAGCTTGAGTGAGGGAATGCCCATCTGCAGAGTCATTCTCCACAGACACGACACGGAAACTCTCTGAGACTCTCAGGCAGTCTCAGTGTGAGGATGAGTCTGACTGTGCAGGGTTTATTTGGTCAAATGAATGCAGTGTAGGCCTGTCACGGTCATGAAATATTCGCTGATGAATAATTGCCATATTAATAATTGTGCGCTCTCATCGGCGTGATCGAGGTGTTTACATGCAAAGATTTTTGCCAATCCGATTGAATTCATTCCGATTACAGATTAAGACTGAGGTCTTTTATGCTCACTCTACTCAACAATCTGATGGAAAATCTCTGTTTACATGCTCACTACAAGCAATCCAAACCAAAATGACGCACATGCATAGAGAGCTGCTTAGTGTAGATGTTACCTTGACAACGAGCTTCAAGTGAGTCCAGTCAGAGTGAGACGAGCAGCAGTGAGCAGTGCTTGTGTTTTTAATGACTTTAAAACAATAACAACACACTGTGCGGCTAAATGCTAAATATGGCACCAAAAAAAATCCAAACCGCGATACAGGACGAGTGTCGACACTGGACGACTTACACATCTGTTCACATCTCTTCACATCTCTTTTCAATGTGGGGTGATGTCCGTATCAACGTCAATTCCAAATGATGGTGCATTATCAAAACAGACAGGAGGGAATAAACACTGCATTGTTGTGAATTTAAGTAGAATTGAATAGAACAAATTTGAGGATTAAGTAACTGGGTCAAATAAAGCTTAATTTAGCTGTTAGCCTCGTCTTCAGGTCACAAAAAAGGGGGGAAAAATGTAGGCGCTGTTTTGTTATTACATTACTGTGAGGTCGGTTCAAACAGGGCTGTTGTCACTGAAGGAGCTCCGGGTTCAGTGAATTATAGAAGCTGATTTACTCCAGAATTATTACTCATCTCGTTGGTAATCACTCAGATTACATCCCCTCCTCAGACAATACTAATCCAGCTCCAGTAGGGCTTAAGGTAGTTAACCAACCTGACTTTTTTCTGTAACAATGTTTATCATTAGACGTCACATTAGATGATTTCAGATGAATACAGTAACCCGGATAAATGTATCTTAGAGCCAGCATCAGTCTGTCTGTTTGCAGTTTAGACACTGAGCTGTGAGTTTGGTCTTCCACAAAGTTAATGCCGAACTTTTTAAGCATCAGGAATGAAATTAAAACATCTTCACCCTCCAGATAATCAGGATAGCATGTGTCCAGCATTTTAATTCAGACTAATTTACTGCTGCCGTCATTCGTACTGTGAGTTTGTTCTGAGGAGTTCTGCCTTTGTTTCTGATTGGCTGAGAGGAGCGTCAAACATCATTTTGTGGTCAGCTTTAATTGCCATCAGCTCAAATAAATGTGATCAAGTAATTTTGTAATAATTGTGACAGGCCTAATGCTGTGCTATAATTTCATTTGTAAATCAGCCAATAAAAACCCTCCTGTGTTTCTCCCTCCGCAGGGCTGGAAGGGGACTCCCACATGGCAGGCTCAGAGACTGCTGTGCTCACCTGCTGCCTCAGAAGGTAAGAGAAAGTCCATGTATTCGTGTGTGAGTCAGAATCAGGCATAAAAATTAGTTTCTACTCTGAGTGAATCTGTCTGCTCTGCATTTCTGGGTTACTGTACTGTGACAGGCTGAATCAGACTGAAGAGCAGGAAAACACTACGCTTGTCTGAACATCCAGCTGACACTCGGTTGCTAGTTCACTTCAGCCCTGCTTCATTTTCAATTTAGCCAATTAACTAATGGTAAGTGCCTTGGTTACGTTAACGACAGCACTAATGCTTTGGAGTACACTCTCATTCGCCCACTCGAGGGCTTAATTGTGCTGCTTTTGGCAGGCAGATTGTTGTCTTATTAGCAGAAATTAGTGGGGAGGTAAACACCAGTGGCATCAAAGAGGAAGACCTCCTTTACACATGTGCCGACTGGAAACATGTTCAGCGGAGTCGTGTAACGTGGACTTCAGAAAGTGGGAGCATGTTGCTCAAGGAAAAGAAAGGTACTGCGGTGCCTCAGCATCTCAACCAAGCTCTCTAACCCAGTCATGCAAAACAGGCATGGAAAGTACTAGCCCACATAGTGCATCGCATGGGCCGAGCACAAAAATACACGCACAAGCATATTTACACTGTTCAAATTTGCTTCAGTGTTTATCTATGAATGAATAAAGCTGGTAGTAAATTATGCAGTCAGTGCTCCTGTAAGACAAGACTGTTTTGGATTATGCTCAGTTCTACCTTTAAATTAACTGTTTAATGTATACATTAATAGGATGTTTTTCCTTTTAACCAAAGAGCTTTTTGTAGTATGTAAACAATGTCAGAGTTTCAAAAACAGTTCCGCAAAAATCAATAAAGTCCATTTTTGGAAATAAAGCTCCAAAAACAGCCCATTTGTAATTCGATGAGTGCGTTTACATGCACTCAATAATCTGATAACTGCAGAAAATCAGATTTTGTCAGTAATCCGATCAACACGTTTATGTGCACTTGAGTAATCAGATAATGGGGAAACTTGGGGTCTACATGAGTCAGACAGTAATCAGATTTCTCCTTTGCAACCAGCCAGTAAACTCACAGAAGAAGACGTGACGTAAACGTAACGTAAACTCAAACTTTATGCCGCAGCTGTGTTTGTAAAAACATCACACTTTACCTGAATCTGTGAACGAACATCATCTAGAAGATGAGGAATATTTAAATCCTTCATTTCGTCGTGTGTTTGGGTTCAGCATCACTCCAAAAGTGTTTTGCTACATCTTGCAGCAACACTGCTCGCTTTTTTCTGGTGCCGCCGTCTGTTTTACACATGCGCAGACTGAGAAAGTACGAGTTTACATGCACTGAGAAATCTGATTACTGAACTCTTTATCAGATTTCTTAATCGGATTTCTAGACCTTACTCCAATCTAAGAGATCAGAGTGTGCTGTTTACATGACCATTTAGATAATCAGATAACTGCAGATTATTGAGTGCATGTAAAAGCACTCAGTGTTTTTGTGATGTCATGAAAAACAAAATGATTGACATGCAGCCACCTATTCAGCCCACAGCAGTTTAGCCCCGCCCATCCATGCTGAAGTTTTAATGAGTGTTTCATCCTGGACTGTTTTTGAATCAGGCACGATACCGAACAGCCAATCAGAACAGAGATTGTTTACGTATGTCAAACGTAAAGGCACAGCAACAGAAACATCCTGTTTAGCCTGCAGCAGTTTAGCCCCACCCATTCATGGCGAAGCTATAAGGAGTGTTTCAGCTCGGACTGATTTGTGAAGGATGCACATCACCCGTTTCAGTATTGATAACAAACCCTCGTCCTCTTTGCCTCGGCATTTCACATTTCCATTTCCATGGGAATCCCTGATGCAATCTTATTGGCCGTTCCCTTACTTGATTAACTGCTCCGCTCGCCAGCCAATCAGCACTCAGTAGCAGTAATACTAGCACCCTACTGCCCAAAACCAGGTGAATTGTCTTTGTGTTTTTAATGAAATAAATCCATCTGCTGGGTAAGTGATCAGAAGATATTTTAACTTTTCTTTTTTAGCCATTCACCCCATTTACTGAGGACTCTCTTGTGAGCGCCCTCTGGTGTTTTGCAGTCATGTTTTTGATATAACGGGGGAAATTAGAAGAGGCCAGATTTCTTATAAACTGGCTCTGATACAACTTCTTCACTTTGCTAGCTGGCTAGTTAGCATGCTAAAGGCTAACAGTAACAGAAAGACAGGCACTGCACCAAGTTTATAGCCAGACAAAGCATTTATTCATGAATGTTATGCTCGATCTTCTCAAAAATACACTTTGCATTGCAAAGCTTGCATAGCTAGGCTATTAGCCCATTGAGGCTAACCTCCTGAGAGCGATCACTCTCGGGGTGAGTTATCCACAACCGAGTGAGGCGATGGTTTTGTACGAGGGGGAACTCGTTAACCTATCATGCGCGTTCAAGTGGTTTTTGTGCCAGATAAAGAGAATAAAGAGAATCCTGAGGTTGTGAAATGAGTGTTTATTAGGTTGCTGTATCAGTTTTGGCCTGTTTTACTGGTGTTTTGAACCCGTACACTCTTAAAAAGGATGGATGAAGGTTGTTCACGGGTTCTTTTGTGAACAAAATAGTTCTGTTTAGAACTATTTATTCTGCATAGAACCATTTCATGCTTAACTGTTCATTCCTCAATCTATAAAATCCATAAAGTCCATATTTGGAAATGAAGCTGATAAAACAGCCCATTTTGAATTCATTGTTTGGTGAAATCGTTCCTCAGATATCTGAGGGTTTCTTAAACATTATGCAGGAATAGTTGAGCCGGTTCTCTGGCAATAGGCATCCATACGTACGTCTCTCACGCTCTCTCTGTTACAAATGGCAAATGGCCTCTTGAACTTTACGTGACATCATATCCGGAGCTGAGAGTGCAGGGCTGAGAGCGCGGTACTGCGGCTCTGCGGCGAAACCCTTCTCGTTTGAAAGAGAGTTTGGAAAATGGTCATGAAATGAACCAAGACATAAACCCAAACAAGCCCTTAGTATATCTTAATACATCAGTAGTTGTTTTGTAGTGCCTTGTGGGTAATGTAGTTCTAGTACTGTTTTACCCCTTTTGAATGGAGTGATACTGGACATGCCGGCTGGGTCATAGATCAGATTGCACTTTTATACTGTGGGAGCACATTAACAGCGTCTGCTCGGAGCGAAGAAAAAGCTCCCCAGAATTTAGAGAGCAGGCCGCACTGAAAGCACAGCAGTGCCGCAGAGTGGGTTTAGCAGCGGATTGTTCAGAAGTGGATTTTAATAGCAGTGCCATTAAAACAGAAACCAGCCTCTAGAGGCAGCCATAGGAGAGAGAATGAAGGAAAAAGGACTAAAAGGCAAGATAGACAAGAAGAATGGAGGAGGAGGAGGAGGAGGAGGTTGTATGAGGTGAAAACGGTCCTGATAAGCAGCGCCCAGCAGATGTTAAAATGTTCTGAGCAGTAACGATTTTAAAGGAGAGACAAATTCTGATAACCACTAATATTAATTTAGCAGTTTGGTAATCAGTGCTTTACTAACTAATATGATTGTCAGCTGTGAACTATCAGATATCACTCAGTTCTAAGTTCTCACATTTCATACTTAAACAGCAGAACGTCTGAAATAATATGTATTATAATGTATGAATATTATGTATATTTTATATATATATATATATATATATACTATATATATATATATATATAATATAGCACAGGGGAGATAGCTTTCTAGTATTCCTTACAGTTTTGATTCATGCTCTTATTTTTCTTCCTTTAGTTTTCCTCACAGAAAGTTTTGTCATTATAACAAGGAATGAATGATGAATGGATTCGTATCGGCATCAGCATCGGACAAATGTTTATGAATCGACTGATATTTCATACCCTTCTTTGATAACATTCATTGCCGTCCAAAAGAGCAGCATTTTTAGGCCACACTGTTCTACTGTACTTATTTTTCTGCACTTTATCTCATTTTACAGCATATGTAAATCTACAGAAGCAAATGTTGTAGAAGCAAATTCTGCCTGTGTAACATGAATAAAGCATAAAGCTATGGCGTAAATATAGCATCCAGATAGGTTTAGTCCTAAGTTTGCTTTTTTGTAATTGTATATGAATCCATCAGCAGATAAGCACATGAAAAAATGGATAATTCACAATTTCCACATCAGTGCATCCCTTGTTGTAACTGTGATGGTGTTTTGAAGATTTTCCAGTTCAGCCTTCAGTTCAGCAATTCAAACTGCAGCCCTCAAACCAGAACAGATTTTCTTCATGTCAGAGGTTTGATAAATATAAAACAAGCCCCTAAATATCTGTGCTTTATCAGATGGATTATTGATACACAGGCCCAGATCATAATGTTATTGGCCTCTAAGCACAAATGTTTGAAGGGCCTGTACCGGACTACCCTTTTTGGTGGTCAGGGTTTTTTTTTATGATATCACAGCAGGTTACTTGAGGGCTATGCAGCATCACAATGGCAGCATATTAACCACAGATTTGGGTGCTTCACTGCTATAAATGTGTTTTTTTTTAATGATACAAAACAATAGCAGGATTGCACACATTAATGACATAATATAAAAAGTTAATAGAAACCCAGCAACCAATGCAGCATTTTCTTATGATACACGCTTTTCACAAGCAAAATATTTACCCCAAACAAGATTGGAAAAAGCAGTTAACTTAAAATCCTAAACTATCAAGCATCCTAAGCTAGTTAAGACATGACTTACAGAGTTGGGGTGCAACCAAATTTAGTAAAAAGATATAAACTATGAAACTAACTAGTGTAACTAAGGACTTGGTAAAGACTTTGCGCATAAACTTAAGTGTAAACTTACACAAACCTGGTGCAACCCAGTCCAGAGGAGGATGGGTTCCCCTTCTGAGTCTTGGTTCCTCTCGAGGTGTCTTCCTCTTGCTCTTCGTGAGTTTTTCCTTGCCTCTGTCACCATTTGCTTGCTCATGGGGGCTTGGACCCGGATTCTTCTGTAAAGCTGCTTTGTGACAATGCCTGTCGTAAAAAGCGCTACATAAATAAACTTTGACTTGACTTTGACTTGACTTTGAGTTTGAGCATTCAGATTATGATCAGCCATGGCACAGTGACAAATTTGAAATGGGTTCATTTGTCTGCTGTGCAGCCAGTAAAGTTTCCATTGTGAGCCAACACAGCTGTTTAGATTTTGTCATAGTTGCCCGTAAGGGGGCCCCCTAGTGGCTCGGCCACCTGGACACTCACCCTTAAAACCCTGAGGATCGTCTGGTCCTGCTGATACATCCTTCAGCGTGTGGTGTGTTGTAGGGTCTGAGACTGGGCTGCGGGGAAGCATGAGCTAACGTCTTCACGTCGACGTGACAGAAAGAGTTTGCACCTTTCTTAGATGCTTCTACTAAACCTGACATTTCCAACTTGAAGCCGTCTGTTGAGGAGGGGCCTTCTGAAGCAGCCATATTTTATCCTCCAGACCTCTGCGCTAAAGAACACAATCCCCTAAAACGATTCCTCATTAAGCCTAATGGGGGCCATAATTGAGCCGTATGTAAATGGCGGAGCACAACCCCCGCAGGAAATGCCAGCCTTCCAGGAGGTCTGGACTGCAGCTGAACTTAAGAACATGATTTAATGCTGACAGACAGTGGACAGACTGCTCTAATCATGAGGGTGATGCTTGTGGGGGCCACACTTAGATTTCGAGACCGTACTGGAGACGCGCCTCCTCTCACAAACAGGCATGGAGATCCATTTTGGGTCACTTTCCATAATGAAATAAAAGCACTTCTGAAGCAGTTTAGGAACTTTATTGGCACTATATAATCTCTTATGAATATGGTAATTCAGTCATCAAGTTCCCATTTCCTCTTCAGAGTCTCCAGGCCTATAGGACCACCAAGCCACTGTGCTAAATCAGGGAAAACAGTGATGTGTGCATTGCTGTTGTCCATAGTAGAGCGAGTTGAAGTAAGATTGAAGACAATTAATGCTAACCACCAAGACTTTCATTATTTGAATCGTATTTGGTGTAAAATTCTTTTACTTTTAACTGCCGATGTGTGGACGAGACAGGGGAGATAATGGCCCCAAAGCTTCTCATGGCAAATGTATTGGTTGCATAACATACAGGGGAAAAGCCCCCAATAACCCACCTAAATATACAGTCATATGCAAAAGTTTGAACGTCCACAATTAAATTATGTTGATTTTCTAAGCTGAAATACTGTGAGCTGAGAACACATGTAACTATTAGTAAAAATTAGGAGTGGCTAAAATCTGCCTTACATTAAAATAGTAACATGTAAGTTACTTTGCTCTGCTTTTCTCACGTCTCCGGCAGGAAACTTTTCCTCTAAAATAGAATAGTTTTTTTCTTAAACATCTCTAAATATTCGACTTTTTGCGAAGCTGAAGTCGCTTCTCATTCGCAGCTTCTTGTTCTAATTTTCCTGTTCCACCTTAAATGGGGCCGCAGTTACATTCTGGTGCCTCAGGCACCATTTAAGGTGGAACTGGAAAATTAGAACAAGAAGCTGACTTCATCTTTGTAACTTTTTAGTATTTGACAGTTTCTTGTTGCAGATTAATATCAGGATAACGTATCAGGAAACCGGCTGGAGTGATTATAAATACAAATACATCCATTCATCTCTAAATTACCGATGTTTGACTCAAATCTCTCTCTTTGCCTTTTCGTTCGCTTCTAGCAAGGTGAGATTGTTGTCTGCGTTGCTATGGTGACCAGCAGTCTGCGCGCCAGCCTTCAGGGTTAAAGGGTGAATTAGCAGTCATACATTAACTCCAGTGTTTAAGACCATTTATTGTTAAACAGCGTTAGGGGGGATTCATTTATTTTTACCTAGAAATCTGATTCTGCTGTGGAGCCACAACAGGGTAGCAAAAGAGCCGCATGTTGTCGACCCCTGGCCTTCAGGTTCTCACAGCAAATTTGGTGTATCAGATTCAACAGTTGTTGTTTGGCTGTGGCATGTTGTACCTGCATCTGCTCTAATCTGAGTTCTTCATCTTAATATCTTTCACTGAATTGGCTAATTGAATTGATGCGTATCTTCTAATTGGAAAGAGAATGAGTTTGGCTTGCTTTGTCCAGATCTCAGGCTGCAAAGAATCAGTTAAGAATGCTGTGACAGACAGTAATCTGCATTCTAGCTTTTCGTGCAGGATTGTTTTGCCCTGTGAAAAGAGATGTTTAACTATCGGCTTTGGCCTTTTCTTCTTTATCAGACTCAAACAAGGTTTGGTACCTCTAAGAATGTGTGCATGCATGTAGACTGAGGCTGAGCACCTCCAGTACCTCAGCAGTGGGATAAGTCTCTCGAGGAGGACTCTCTGTCTCCTGAAACACTGTCACTGCAACACAGCCCCCTGCTGGTGGCCTAGGGTACAGCCCCCCCGCGCCCAGGCTGCATCATGAAATAACAATTACTCCGAGTCATAAAACCAGGAAAAACAAAACTGCTAACAGGCACAAAACTTCATTGGCACTGCAGTGTAATTCAGAAGGGAAGCTTTAGTTGTCAGTCTGAAGTTTAGAGGCACAGTCTGCCGTTAATGAAGCTTGACTGTGTGGTGGCCCCATCATTAGGAGACCGCACTAGCTAACAGGCAGGGGTGGGTGGGAGTATAGCTGTGCCATTTGGAGAGAGATCTAATGATGGTGTGTGTGTGTGTGTGTGTGTGTTATCAGAGGTGACGGTGGTGTATCAGAACGGCTTGCCGGTGGTCTCGGTGAAGTTGCCATCTCGACGGGAGCGCTGTCAGTTCACTCTGAAACCGCTCAGCGACAGCGTGGGCGTGTTCCTCCAGCAACTACAGGCCGAGGATCGGGGCATCGACCGAGTCGCCATCTACTCCATAGGTAGGACTATAAACGCACGCAGTCAACATCATAACCACCCACACAAACGGACATAAACGGGCCTCGGCAGACTAGATTCAGCTTTACGCTCAGTTCTGTACCAACACATCAAGACCGAGCTGTAATCAAGAGAGGTTACGATAAAGTAACATTTAACATTCGCTAATATTATTAACCAGGCTTAGACTCTGACTCTACTTTTGGAAGCAAATGATGGTGAGGTTAAAAGATATTTCCCTTCTCTTTTGATCTTAAAGGGTAATTCCACCAATATTTCAAATTTTCTGGATAATTCAAGCATTGAGATGTAAGCAAAGTCATTCAGAGTGGTTTGGTGTGAAATGGTTCATTGTAGAGACTCTGATTTCTTTACAGTAGTGGTGATAGGAACCAGGGGTCGCCATGTCTGCAACACAAACATAACCATTTTATTTACTATCCAAAACCTCCAGTGAACCTACACGAGTCTTCTGACTTTTTATATTGTCAGTGAGTGAAAAAAACAGCCCGAGTATCTCCAAAATGGTAAGTTCACAGGTGAAGGAGATTTTACTTCTACTTTTAATATAAGTTAATGTAAAGAGATTGCATTCTAAGCGGTTTTGGAGCATTTCTTTTGGTCCAGTCATCATGAAATGTTCACTTAATGTAAATGTACAGCTGCTGTGCTCAAAAAGTCAAATAAAAATGGAAAAAAATTGATAGGCACACAAGAGTATCTCAGGCAGCGTACTCATAATCATTTATGTGTAATAATTTCTGTGAGGGAGCTTTTAAAGGCATTGAAGTCTTCAGTTATCTGGTTCCTATTACCAACACTGTGAACAATTCTAACTCACTGAGTTTCTCTAGAACAAAGAATTTCACACCAACCCACTCTGAATGACGCTGCACCTTAATGGTTAAATTATGCGGAAAATCTTGAAAAATCGGTGCAGTTCCCCTTTAAGTGAGCTCAAAACAGAAGGGACAGGGAAATATCTTTGAACTTCACCATGATTTGCTTCCAAAAGTTAGAGTTGGTCTAAGCTTGGTTAATAATATTAATGAATGTCAAATGAACTACAGTTTTTTATTATTATTGTTTTAAGGTAATATACCGCTATTCAAAATAAAATGTGTTCATTGGACACTGAATGAGCATCTATTATTTCCATTTTATCCAATTTAAGCACAGATTTTGTTTTCAACTTGCAGAGAAAAGTGTTTTACTCAGTTTGTTTGAGTGTCTCATTGATATTTAATGTTTTTTTAAGGTTCAGTTAACCATAGACCCCTGAAGTTGAAGCCCATATTACACTATGTGTCCAAAAGTTTGCAGACAGCCGCTCATGCAGCATTTCTTCTGAAATCAAAGATATTAATAGGGAGTTTGTTCCTCTTTTGCTACAGTAACAGCCTCTGCTCTTCTTGGTATTGGACATGGTAACTTTAAGCTTAGATGCGGCTGCTTAGATGTATTGGCAGTGCTTTTCTATGGAGATTAAACAAGCTGTGTGTGCACTGTTGAACTCCTGTGTCAGCAATGGATGCACCTTAATCGGAATCAGTTTTATTGGCCAGGTGTGCTTCTACACACAAGGAATTTGTCTCTGGGTCACAGTGCTCATGAACAGTGCAAGTGCCATGATACAGTGCTTACATATAACAGTAAAACAACAGACATGATTTGCAGCTAACACACTTATAATGCTTATATACAACTACAGCAAACACCAAAGATATAGCTCAGCTTAATTATTGCATGAGGACTGAAACTATTACAGAATATTACATAATATTACATACATTTCATTATAAAAATATTATAAAGTAACAGAATTCACTAATTAGAAGAGATGTCTGGATACTTTTGGCAATATAGCATAGGAACTCCAGGTCTAAGCGGGTTTTCTCAAAGGGAAAAACTAATGGTGTTTTTGAAAATGGCTGCATTGTGGTAAACCTAACCAGTTATCTTTCATCCTGTACACACTCTCCACCCGAGTGTCACTGGATCCTCTGAATTGCGAGTTTGTTTATTAGCCAAAATATGAATAATTGCATTGCTATAAGCAAGCTGACACACCTGCTCATGATATGATGCATGAAAGGTCTATTGTTAAACTTCTACAGTATTATGTAACAACACAAGCTTAAAGCTGCGACAGCAACTTACCTGCCACATTTAACAAACCTTGCTGGATTGTGTGGGGTGTGTGACGAGGTTGCCAGTCATGGTTTCAGTGTAATGCGCAGCATGCAGCAGTATTCATAAGTATCGGCTCTGGAATGTTTTGTTTACCACAGGAAACGATAACGGCAATTTTCAAAAACGCCGTTCGTTTTTCCCCATAGAGAAATCTGCTTAGACCCGGAGTTCCTAATATGGGCGAGGCAGCGAGTGCAGGATGACACACCACCTCAGAAGTTTTATTACCGCAGGTGCGGAGGCCTTGCACAGCGGGTCTCGAGAACAGTGTCCTCCTTACCCCGAGACTGAGTGAAATCAGAGTCTGAGGACGTTAATTTGCTGCCTCTGGGTTGAAACCGGGCTGCGGTCTGACAGCACTAGTACTAACCAGGCCTGTTCATTTCCCCCATGGCAGATGGAAAATGAGCTCGAACAGCAGAATTGGGCAAATGAATTCATATATTCCCTGCCATAAAATAAAAATATAATCTGGGTTCTAGATATGCACAGATTCCAACACAGTTTAGACCCTGCATCTGCTTTAATGCCATCCTCATGGATTTAATTACATAGCGCATGTGATATCTGCAGCTCCGCAGTCCTGATTATTCCACAGTGAGAGGCACTCTAGCCCCCTCTCCGCTGTGGGCTCTGGACAGCAGATTACGCCGGCCGCACTCCCGCCCAAATTAGAAAATGTTTCATTTCATGACAAGCACCCTTATGCGGCATTAGCAGTCGTGCATGAGAAGCACTGAGAATAGCCCCCGCTCTACACAGCCGTGCCAGAGAAAAGACTGCAATTAGAGCACCCCACCCCCATTTCCCCCCTGTCCTGTTGTGTGTCTGTGTAGATGGCGCGAGGATAGCCTCCTCTACGGGGATTGACATTCTGCTGCTGGACGACTTCAAGCTGGTCATTAATGACACTACGCATCTGGTGCGGCCACCTAGAAGAGGTGAGAGTTCGGTGTTGCGCTCTGGGCCGCGTGGCGGGGAAGCTTGGAATGGACAGTACTTTTGTTTTAATTGTTCATTTGTTGATATTTTGTTATGCGTATGTATCTCAGAGCTGTTGGCCCACGAGGAAGCCGAGCGGCTGAACGATGTGAAGTTTCTGGTGCAGCAGCTCTACACCACCCTCCGCATAGAGGAGCACCAGCTCAGCAAAGAGAGAGAGCTGATTGGACGACTGGAGGACCTCAACTCCCAGCTCCGCCCACTGGAAAAGGTGCCCTTGCAGGACTTGTGTCATCTTTGCGAGGCCTATAAATAATGTCTCTGATCTGTGTCATTTGTCATTTTTAGACTGTAAAGAGATACAGAAATGACACAGTGATGCGAATATCACTAGAGGATAAGGGAACTGAGATGGAGGCACCATCGAGCCTGAAACACATCCCTGCTACAAATGGAAAATGTACATTTTCGTTTGTAGCACCAACCATTTATGAGCAGTTCAGCCAAAAGCAGCGTGAGTGCAAATGTTACAACTCGACCCATAGCTGGGGTTATTTGTCAGATGGAGTTGTAACAGTCGGTAAGAAGTCTGGTAAATCAATGCAAACCCAATTCAGTACAGTTCCATGTTGTCTGAATCAGACAAGCTTTCCACCCTAAATACATAAAAATATGCATCTGATTAAACGTGATTAGTGACAACATTTTGGATGGATCTGTGCATAAAAATGTTCAAAAATATTTAATATTGGTAGGGAATCTGGAGTTCTCTCACTGTTTACTTTGGAAGGCTTAGTTAGAACAGCATGTTAAGCTAACCCCACTGTGCAGAGGCTGTACTTTAGCCTGGCTGGATCTCAGTAGCCACGTTTACATGCAGTCTAATGTCCGACTACTAGCTCATTCTGAATAGAGTACATTCATTAATACACCTCGATCGGAATAGTCTAGCCCGATGGAGGCCATTTGGAATACAGTTTCTAATCTGATTACATTCCCAGTCGGAAAGTTTAAGTCCGTTCTGATCATGTTCGTCGCGTCGTAGTGAAAGTTTATAACATTCAACATGGCGGAACAGAAACTGGTCTGCAGAGGAGACGAAGTTTATGCTCTGATCTTTAAAAGATGGCGGTGGGACGGACGTCCATCTTATGTGTCTCAGAACACGACGTCTTCCTCTCGGCCTTCTTTAATACCTTCTTTAGAGTACATGTGAAGGACGTTTTCCTGAGCCTGACATCATTTTAAAGGAATTAAAAACACAAGCACTGCTCACTGCTGCTCATCTCACTCTGACTGGACTCACGTGATGCTTGTTGTCATGGTAATGTCTACACTAAGTGGTTCTTAACGCATACGTGTAATTTTAGATCAGATTTCTTGTAGTGAGCATGTAAACGGATATTTTCCATCAAATTGTTGAGTAGAGTGAGCATAAACACCTCAGTCTTAATCTGTAATCAGAATGTGTTTAATTGGATCGGCAAAAATCTTTGCATGTAAACACAGCCAGTGAGAGTTGGTTGTATGTTTCAAAATGGGGCTGTTGCAGAGACATCAAGAGGGTGATTATATTTATATACATTATGTGGACAAAAGTATTGGGACACACCTCTTAATCATTAAATTCTGGTGTTTCATTCAGTCTCATTGCCTCAGGTGTATAAAATCAACCACCTAGCCATGCAGACTGACTATACAAAGATTTGTGAAAGAATGGGTCGCTCTAAAAAGCTCACTGAATTTGAGCGTGGTGCTGTAATACAATGCACTTGTTGCAACAAGTCAGTTTGGGAAATTTCTTCCTGGCTAAATATTCCCTGATCAACTCTAAGGGCAACCGCAGCAACTCGGCCATGAAGTGTCAGACCATGTAAAGTTGCAGAGCAGGTTGCTGAGTGCTTAGAAGCATAGTGCTTAAAAGTCACCAACGCTCTGCTGACTCAATAAGAGTTCAAATCTCCTCTGGCATCAACATCAGCACAAAATCTGTGCTTCATGGCAGGGTTTCCATGCCCGAGCAGCTGCACGCAAGCCTTACATCACCAAACACAACGCCAAGCGTCAGATGAAGTGGTGTGGCTGGATTTCTGTTCCAGCATGACTGAACCTCAGTGCACAAAGCAAGCTAAAGGCATGGCTGGGTGAGTTTGGTGTGGAAGAACTTGACTGGCCCTCACAGAGCCCTGACCTCAACCCCATTAAACACCTTTGGAATGAACTAGAACAGAGATTGCGAGCCAGGCCCTCTCATCTAACATCAGTTTCTGACCTCAGAAAACTATAGCCTATGGATTTAGAAAGGAATATCATTAAAGGTCCTGTAGGCGTAATGTGTAGGTGTCTCAATACTTTCGTCCATATAGTGTAAGTGTGCATTCTGTGACTCATACACACAACTCAGTAACCGAAAAGCACATTCTACTGTTTGACTACAGAAAATGTCCATGTGTTACAAGTTACCGATTACCTCTCTCAGACTAATGGGATTACTCTCCTGATATAAGTAATCTCATTATCACAGCGTTACTCTCTAAAACCCAACCAAAATGTACCAACAGGGAAGAGAAAACTCAAGAGTCCTTTCAGCACTTCATTTAGGAAGAAACAGCCAATCACAGTAAACATAATTTAAAAGGACTGGTACAATCTCTGTCTTTGCTCTGAACAAGACACAGCCCGTTATACTTGATTAAGATGTCTTTAAAAAGTAGAAAACTATAGTCCAAAAACTGCCTCAGAATAAAATGAATAAAATGTAATATTTATGATTGAACAAAAATCAAGTCAGATCTGTTTAGGGTGGAGCTCTCTCTTCTACTGCATCTTTACATTTACAGCATTCAGCAGACGCTCTTATCCAGAGCGACTTACAAAACGTGCTTTGTTGTCGACTCAGAGAAAGTATCTTTGCTAGTTACAAATAGGTTAGAGAGAAAGCCAGTCCTGAGCTCAGATACTGCCAGAAACAAAAGCCCCTGTTGATCGCTAGAGGAAAAAGGAACAGAACTAAACGTATGTAATACACATATACATATACATTACATTACAATACATATACAGTACATTTCAATAAGTACTTAACTTCTCCATCAAAAGTGTGATTTGATGCTTTAAAATGGTTTATTGCACGTGCTTATTCTGCACATACATGAGGACAGTACAGATAATAGATATGGACTGTGTTTTAAATGCATTGCATGTGAGAGATATGAGTAAATCTAGTAACTACAATTCAATAAGTCAGTAACTGTAATGTGATTAGAGGAACTGTAAAGCATTACTCTGCTTCATTACTGTAAAGAGTGAACACGTTACTGTTACACGTTGATCTGTACTGTGTTACCCCAACACTGCTTGCTAATGTCTTATCTGCCCACTAACGCATCATTGTGTAAGTGTAAAGTGAACAGGTGATTATATGATATTTAAGCAGTAGAACGCGAGAGGGAGTGTGTTATCGCAAAACATCACGGCTGTGATTTGGTCGCAGATCATCACAGTTGTGATGTTATAGCGATAACATGCGACCTCGAGTGTTCTATTGCTTTTATACAACAGTTAAATAAATAAAGCAAGAAATTAATATTCCTTCCTAAAATTCCTTCCACCAAATTATAGTTCCTTAACAAGCAGCTCGTTGCAACGTCAGAGTAACGAACTCCGCTCACTCGCTGCACAGCCGGCAGTTCGTTCTCCAGCTCCACACAGACCAACTGACAGGTTGGGAATTTAGTGTAGTCTCATCTTCAGAGTCTGACCAAATCGGCTGTCGGTCAAATGTGATCTTAAAAGTGTCCATTTTCTGTTTGGGGCAAAGTAAGAGGTAAAAACGTTTAAATCTCAGCAGAGTCTCAGCAGAGTGATGCAGTGTTTGTGAAAAACCTGTGATGATAGGGTGAAACAACAGCACGGTTAGAGCGCTTCTCAACCAATCAGCTTTCGTGGCCGGAACTAACTGTTGTATAATGTCTAATTAATGTCAGACAGTTTCTCTATGCGGATCTGATACCGTGTTTTATGAACGCAGGTTCTGTTCCAGGTCTAGCTCTGAGAAAGCAGTGAGCGTTTTCTGATTTCACTATGAAAATGTAGGTCTCTAAATGATAATCGCCATTCTGTTGTCTCAGGTGAGGGAGGAGCTAAGTAAGAAGGCGGAGCGCCGAACCACCTGGGTGCTGTGGGGGGGCATGGCCTACATGGCCACTCAGTTTGGCGTGCTGGCACGACTCACCTGGTGGGAGTACTCATGGGATATCATGGAGCCCGTCACCTACTTCATCACCTACGGCACAGCCATGGCCATGTACGCCTACTTCGTGCTCACGCGCCAGGTAAGTCACGTCTCCGTCACCAGGATGCAGTTAATGGAGCAGTGCAGCCAGAAATGTGAGTGCTGTTAATTACCAATAGCAGCAAGCATTACACAAATGGCATTAAGCTAACTGATAAATGAATGCAATCATTTTTAGACGCATTGACAACTTTTGATCAGACTGTTTCTTACCAGCAATGCTTTCAGAGAATTCAGCTCGTTTTTTGCATTCATTAAAATCTGCCATCTGAGGAGTTGGGACAGATCAGCATGTGGAACTGGAGCTTTTTTGTATGTTACCATGTTTCTGTCACTGTTGGATGCACAGTAGATTCTGAGCATGTACACATTCAGATTTCAGTTAAGATCACTAAAAACTTATTGATTTGTTTCATCAGAAAAAAAAATAAAAGGCAACTGAAATATGATGTACAGTGACACATGTTAAGCCATTTATCTGGTCATATACAAAAAAAATGAAGCTAAGAATAAAATAAATACAAATAAACAATTTACAGTGACCATCCAATACCTGCTTTAGCTGATTAATCTGTTAGTAAATTATAGGTGTGTTGTTGATGGAATTGACCCAGTCCATGTTAAGAATAAACCTGTGTTCTTCTCCCCTCTGCAAATCAAGATATGAATAACTTTTTAAACTGTTATTCATAACTGCTGTTGTTTCACTGTTGTTACTTTATTTGTTTATTTCTATTTAATCTAAGTACCACTTTACAGTAAGATAACAGTAGTAAAGGGTGTATGAATGGCTTACAATTAGTTTATTAATGGTTAATAATTAGGTCATAAACACCTTAAAAATGATTAATAAGCACCTTTAACCCAAAAAGAGTCCTGACCTGTTGCTCAGATCTTTCTGGTTACTGATCTTACTTTGTCTTCTTCATCATTCAGCATTAAACCTGTCAGATTCGTCACACATTCATATTCATCAGATTTAACAGCCCTTAATATTTATATGCCTTAACTGCTTATTAATGATTTTTAAGTTGTTTCAGTCCTAATTAAGAATCATTAATAAACTAAATGAAACCATTCGTGAAGTCTTTACTAGAGTAGTCCTGTTAATTGGTACCTCATTTTTTTTATAGGTTTTATATGGTATACACACTCAGAAATAAAGGTACTAATCTCTCTCTGGGGCAGTGCCCCTCTTGTCACTGGGGTGGTTCCTTCAAGGGTCCATCTCAGTACCTTTAGTCAGGGAACATAACTGAACCATAATCCACTGAAATGATATGTTCTAAGCTGTACTGACTCCACACACCCCGTCTCGTCTCCAGGCTCCTTATTTTATTGTTCTGTTTTAAAACATTCGGTTATGAAAAGGGACAAATTTGTACTTTTAACCTGGAAGAACTTATTTAAGGAGCACAATTGGACCTTAAGCATGATTAGGAGCCAGAAATAGCCACTTTTGCTTTGGTACTAAAGGGTCAGTGCAGTGGACCCTCATTATTCTGTGTGTCCTCATGATTATCGCCCTCGCTTGTACTGTACCCAAGAGCGTTGAGTTTCCATAGATTGATTTAGTCTTTGTTTTCTCAGGTTGGCCTTTGCAGAGAAGAGGGCCTTCAGTCTGACCTCTCGCTGTTTGTTCTCTCCTACAGGAGTATATTTACCCCGATGCCAGAGACAGGCAGTATCTGCTGTTCTTCCACAAGGGGGTGAAGAGGACACGCTTTGACATTGAAAAGTACAACAAACTGAAGGATGCTATTGCTGAGGTGTGCTAACACACATTCACACACAAGAGCTTTAATCGGGCCTGAAATTTGGTCTGAACTCAAATACAGCCTGAGACTTTTCTGTCAGAGCCCGACTCTACCTACAGCTTTGTGTTTTGAGTCAAAACCTGACCCAAGCCCAGACCACATTGTGATGTCTAGAGTCCGAAACTGACCCGAGGAAAAAGGATTTCTGATCCGAACTGGCCCAGGATGCCAAATAAAACCTGACAGGATAGCTCTGGTTACTTCATACTGAGTCCATAATTAAGTTAAAATTGTGCTTTCATTAATTTATTCATCTAATAATGCTTCTGAACAACATCTTAATTGGCTTTTAGTAGTGTTGTAGTGAAAACGAGGCGAGTCCAAGTCAAGACCGAGACCAGGACTGGCTTAAGAGCAAGACAAGACTGAGATCAGATTTATTTTTTCAGAATCAAAAAATAAAAAGAAGAAAGGAGAAAAACTGGGATTTGTTTGTAGTACATTATACATTTATCGTTTATTTATATATATATATATATATATATATATATATATATATATTAGGGGTGCGGGAAAAACTCGATTCTTAGATGCATCGCGATGCGGACGTGAACGATTCTGAATCGATTCATAAATGTCAAAAATTGATTTTCTAAATATTTAATTTCTAACGTAATGTTGACGGAACGCAAAAGGCGGAACAGGGAGTGGGTAAGTGCAGCGCCCGGACAGTCTGTAGTGGCACATAATAAAACACTACTGGATGAGTGAGAAATCCGACCGGCTCCCCCTGCATTAAGTCCAGGTTAGATCAGGAGTCACAACACAAATGATAAGAAGAGCCATTTTGTCCTTTCAACAAAAATCAAACCACCTTGGGAGCCACAACATTTAATGTCCAGTATGTGTTAATGTCGTAGTATGGGCTAAAAATATAAACGAGAGCGCAGATTTACTTCGCTCTGCTTTAGCTATAGCCGCTTTCCTCCCATCTCCGCCAGAACACCTTTCTTCAAAACTAGAAGAGTTTCTTGTAAAATGTCTCAGCGTCCGGCTGTTTTACGAGACTGAAGTCGCTTCTCATTCGGCAGCTTCTTGTTCTAATTTTCCCGTTCCACCTTAAATTCTGCCTTAGGTGCCGAATGTAACTGCTGCACCATTTAAGGTGGAACGGGACAACTCGAAAGAGAAGCGAGTTCATTTTCGCAACTTTTTAGAGAAAGACAGTCTCTCGTTGCAGATTTAACCAACCGTGCTGCTTATAAACACAAATAAGTCCTCCAAATGTTCGTCTTAATCTCTGTTTTTTCGTTCGCTACTGGCGAGGCCAGACTTTGGTGTGACCTGCTGTCTGCTGTCTGTTCTCAGTCGTTGAGAACCAGGGCTTTCATGCTATGCTGCACACTTTGGAGCCGAGATTCAGCGTCCAGTCTCGAAAATACCCCCCCCCCCAATTTACATTTACATTATGGATCATTACAAATACTTTGCTTTAAAACTACCAAGTCCTCAGGCAGTAGAAAGATAGAAATCCTCTATAGAGAAAACAAGATGCATCGAGATGCATCGCTGATCGTTTTATAATCGCATCACAGCCCTCTGAATCGTAATTGAATCGAATCGTGAGGTGCCTAAAGATTCCCACCCATACATATATATATATATATATACATAAGCAATGTTGTTTTTATACATATACCAAACAACATACATCCATTTTTATTATTAAATGAAATATTAGTAATTATAACGTCCCGATCTGCCCTCACGGAAGGTTTGAATTTTGGAACCAGTGAACAAACAAACAATACCCAGTTAAGCCTTCATGGAAAGATCCATTAGATCCTCTTTAGATCCTCATTAGAACCGTCAGTGAACAGATTCTGTTTAAACGTGTAGAGAAAGAGCTGTTTTGTTCTGTTTGAAGGTTTGAAAAAAGTTCCGGTTTACCTCCAACGGAGGCATCGCACTCGGCTGGTCCCCAGAACAATTTTCGAATCCACCTCACCCCGAGACCGAGACCAAGACAAGACTGAGACTCTTAATTTACGCTCCCGAGACCGAACTCCAGTACTGCAAGACTAGTGTACACCATACTGTGCTTTTTGCAAACTGTGAGGTGCTGATAAACCAAGATGTTGACCTTAACCTGTTTAACACTAAAACTGTTTCTGCTCATAGAACATGTTAAACAGCTTTTTGGCTGCACTCCCAACCTTTTCCACCCCAAGTCCCACCTGTGTATAACTACAAAGCATAGCGGCCCACAGGGAAACTGAAATCAACCTTTTTAACTACAACCTTGTTTTTCTTTTCTTAAATGCTGAATTAGGTGCTGAAAAAGATCAGATCAGTCATTCTGTTTATTAGTAGGTTTGCCAAATTTGCAGGTATGTTAAAAAAACATGGTTGTAGTGATGTTAAAAAGGGGGAAAAGAATAGATGTGTAGATGTGGGAGTAGATATGATTTAGAGTTTGTGTTTTCACTGGAAATACTTGGCTTTTCCAAAAGAGGAACTGTTTGGTCTTGAGAGTCTCTAGTTTAGAGGGTTTCTGTGATTCATTTGAAATAAACCTCACTCCACTCCCCGGGCTTTTGGATTAGCATCGTCACAATCAACAACAGTGATAGATCTTACCTGATGTCTGCTTCTTTGTTATTGGCTTATCAGTTTGAGTTTAACCACTCAGGTCGCTGATGCTCGACCAAATATACGCTCCGTGATACATGAGTTCAAATCAATGTATCTCTTCTCTGTTTTATGGCTCGTCTGTAGTTTTTAACAGTGGCTTGTGCTCACTGTCAAGAGTCAGTCATTAAATAGTTGCTGTACTGACTACACGGCGCCGACGCGCCTCTAGAGGAGAAGGAAAGTGAAGAGAAGGAGTGAACTAAAGAAAAAGCTGTGATGAGTCCTCACCAAATAAAGCGCCCTGAGAAACTTCTCCATCTGTGGTTCGCTGTCTGTGTCGCGAGCCTGCGGCTGCGCTGTCTCAGACTGACTACTGTGACGTTTTTATTTGTATGTCTATTAATGTTTATATGGGTTACACAGTGAAAATGTTTAATTCTTAGATTTTTAATCATTAACTTAATCATTTTTCCACTTATGTTTTTATGACTTGGAGTGATCTTACCAGCCCAAATTACTGCCTCTCCCTGAGTACAGGCCCAAGGACCACTAGAGGGTGCTTCACGGCCCGCTGATGGTCCGCGGCCCACAGGTTGAGAAACCCTGCACTAGAAGACAGATGTCTTCTAGCACTTTCCTTATTCGTTTTACTGTTTATGTCCTGTTTTCTCAGGAGCGTGGGCCTTGTGGACCTCGGTGCTGAGAAGGTGACCCAGATTAAAAAACGATTTAAGACAGTAGGGAAGGATAAACTAAGCGGTAAAACTAAAGCAGGGAAAACGCAGTGTAAAATCAGTTAGATCGGGAGGCGAGACGCGAGACGCGAGAACTCAAATGGGAAATTTGAACCTAAACTGAGCCAGACTCATATTTGAGAAGTGACGTCTGAATCCATCGAGTTTGGATGAACATTTTAAGCTCTATTGCTCACAGAAACACTAAGGTTAGACTGCTAATTTGAAAATAATGCTTCCACATCTCTCTTTTACCTTCCTGACCTCCTTCCTGCTTTTTTCCTTCCCTCTCTCTCAGGCGGAGTTGGACCTGAAGCGTCTGAGAGATCCTCTCCAACTGCATCTCCCCATCCAGCAGATCAGCACCAGCAAGGATTGACGGGAAGAGTGAAAGCCTCCCTTCCTCCTTCCCTCCCTCTCCCTCTTTCTCTCTCCCTCTCTCTCTCCCTCTCTCCGTCCACACCTTTTTCATTTCTTGTTTTGGTTACCTGTTCTTAATGTTTTCCCCACCACCTCCTTTGATTCTCTCTCTACTCTCTTTCGTTCTCTCTCCCTCTCTCTCTCTGACCTCTGACAGAACCATCTCCACACGAAGCATTGGAGGTTTTTTAATTGCTGTCGTTTTTAAGTTCTTCGTTTTTTTGGTTTTGAAAACTCTGAGCAAACACGGCGAGTCAAAGCAGAGGAGGAGGGGACGGAACGCAAAGAAACAGAAAGAAAGAAAGAAACCTGACTCCTCTCTGGTGCTGGAGGGTGAGGATGCTAGTCGTGCCTGCAGCCCTGTGCGCTCTGGACCACAGAGAAGAACAACAGCAGCCTGTAGGAAGTCCCTGCTGCCTAACAGGACGTGACACCTGGATTTGGACACTACATCTCCAATGGACAGTGACCCCACTCCCTGCATGGGACATGGAAAATCAAAAACAAAAGACACACGTGCACACGAGCTCTGTGGCTCAGCACCTCTGAAGCCTGAGAGCTCCACTCAGCTCTTTGGGTGAACTTTTCTTTTTACAGAGAAGTTGTACACGGCAAAAGATCTCGGGCCGCTGCGCTCTTTCCCAGTGTCGATGAGGGACATTCAGCTGCAGGAGAGCTCGTTCTGGACCCCCTCTCGCAGCCGCCTGCTGTGTGACGTGCGAACAAAGAGCGAACACTGCTGCTACATGCGCGAAAGGAGAAAGGGGTCATCACTTGCTGTACGGACCTGTTCCAGGCTGCAGACCAGAGATATACCGGCTAAACATCACTGTGTGTTCTATTATTCCAAAAAAAAGAAACGAAAAAAAGGAAAAGGAAAATAACACAAAACAAAGTCAATTTTGGCACTTTTTATTTTAAAAGCCATATTATATTTGTTATGATGAGTGGAAAAAAAATTCATATCAAAGAGAATGACTCGAATCTACTTTTCATTTCTTACTGGTGGAGGAGTTTTTTAATCATCTTGTCAGACATCACTTACCAACATTCAGTTGTATGCAAAAGTTTGAACACCCCCTGTTCGAGTTGCATGTTTTTTGTTGGTTTTCTAATTGAAAACAAGGAATAAATCTGAATTATGGCATTTTCTGCTAAATTTTGTGAATTATTTTTATTACTTTGCTGAATTTAACTAAAAAATAAAACATACGATAAATGTTGTGCGTCTGTACGACCACAGTTTGTTTTATTTAGTTAAATTCAGCAAATAAACAGGAATTGAGCATTAAAATACTTATTTTCACTTCGCAATTCAACATTCAAACCAACATTAAACATGTAATTTGACCAAGGCCGCCCAAACCTTTGCATACGACTGTAGAACCTTTCTTTGCTATCTTAACCACACCAGGTCAGTTCCATGTTCTCGTACATACAAACGGCTTCTGACATAACTACGACCCTCACACGCACACGACGTTTACCTGTCGCAGTCTATACGAACATGAATTCCAAATGAACTTCCATCTGCACAGTTTCTTGGAATACAATTTAGCAGAGGAGTACATATTCGGAAGCTTGACCTTCGTCTTCATCTGGAAAAACTACGTTACCCACAGTGCCTCACAGCACCCCGTGCAGCGTGCTGGTCAGGGCTCTGCTATACTCCTGCACGGCCACACCTGCAGCTCTGTCTCTCAGCCTCAGCCCCCCCGCCCCACGAGACAGATGTGCCCACCCTTCAGAGCCAAGGGCTGCTGACGTGTAAGATACTTCAAAGGAAAACAAAGAAAGAATATTAAACACGTCAGTCAGCACGAGCAGTTCTTGTGGCGTTTTCCAGCTGCACATATCCTCCTCTGTATGCCAAGAATATAGCGGTACGTGGAGAGAACAGTGTAATATATTAGATCCTAGAATTAGTGGGTTCCTCGCACACTTTCGCAGCATGCTGTAGCGCGTGACTGTTGCATCCTCCCGTCTATAAACGTGGCGTCTTTAGCGGACAGGCCTTAGTGCAGACACGCATTTTGAAGCAGTAGAATCTGTGGGATGGACATGTGACTGTGCTTAAACACGCACACTGCTTTTTTTCGTTGTTTCATACATGCCGAAACACTTTTCTTCAGGACACGGTGCTCAAATCATGATCTGTTCTGTTTTACTTTCTAAACTTGCCCTCCTTTGCAATGCCTTGAATGGATCATCTCATAACATGTTTGCATAGAAAGTACCTCTCTTAGGCGTTCCAAATCAATCTGTATGCGTTTACTGCGCCTGACAAATGGATGTGGCAGGAGTGTCCAGTTCTGGTCCTGGATGGCCAAAGTCCAGCACGGTTTGGTCATTTTCCTGCTCTAAATTTTAAAAGGTGCCACAGGGTTTTTGAGCGACGCTATGGAAGAGCCACTTTTGGTGCCCTAAGAACGCTTGAAAGAGCGATTGGTGAGAGCGAAGAACCTTTTAAAGGTTCAGAGACCCTTCCTTGGAATCTTTACATCAGTGGTCTCCAAACCTCCTCCTGGAGAGCTACTGTCCTGCAGAGTTTAGTTCCAGCCTGCATCTCACGTGCTACTCCTCACCTCACCTAACACTGGTACATCTGATCCAGCCAATCAGGAACTTCTGAAGAGGTTATTTCGGTAGAGCAGGTTTGACAGATTGTGGTTGGAACTGGACTCTGCAGGACGGTAGCTCTCCAGGAGAAGGGTGGAAGACCACTGCTTTACACTTCACTGTAGGGTTTCGTTCATAAGGATACATGACATCTACATAAGATTGCCATGACAGCTGACATAACCCTACAAAAATGTTTATGAAGGCTTATTATATAGTCGTCATCTTTCATAAAGGCTACTTTAGCTAACTTTGATCAAAATTGGCAAATGTAACCTTTATAGCAAATGATGATCGTTGTTGGAAGAAAACCTCGTATCTCCAAAATGGTAACTTTACAGAAGAAGGAAAAAACCTACTTTACTTTTAATGTAAGTCAATGGAACCAGACTTTTTTCCAAGTCATTTTGGGTCATTTCTTTTAATCAGTTCATCATGAAATTTACACACAATGTAAAGGGCAGCAGGCATTTTCAGATTATGTCAAAAACTGAAAAACGACAAAAATAGAGATACAAAGTTTTGTTCTGACAGCAGCAAAATATTTATGTAGGTTTATTTCAGTTGTCATGATTTGCTTATGTAGGTGTCATGTAGCCTTATGAACAGCACCCTACAGTGAAGTGTTACCTTTACATTATGTGGAGGGTCTTTGAACCTTAAAAAAGGTTTATCACACTCACACTTCTCATTTACAGAAATGTTTTTTAGTAAACCTGCTAACCAACTGCTGAGTTGAGGGGTCTTTGAGCTGGGAAATCACAGCATGGAAAAGGCCTTCTGTGATTGTAGTTGGAAACCCCTGGATTATGGTATTGTGCTTCACCATCATCCAATACTTGTCCAAGCTCACTCATTCATACATGACCTTGACCTTGTCATGTTCCTCGTCACCTGCTACTGCATGCTGCTCCCTTTGCTCCAGTAGACCTTCAGCACTGCAGATTAGAATCATCAACATCCAGAGTCATTATCTTTCTAAGTTCTTGGACACACATTGCTCCATTATCTGCTATGATGAGGCTGCAGTTTGCTGCGCATGTCATATCCATGGTCAGTCTGTGCCACTAAGCTGAGACACCTGAGCATTGGCCAAAGATAGCAGAGGGAACTAGGTGTTGCTAGGCTGTGTCCTTCATATTGGAGGGGGGGTCACACTGTATACCTTATTTTGAGATCATATGCTCCTTTTTTCTATCGTTTTCAATCAGAGAGATGCATTTTGCTCACGTTTTATGCGACCTGCAGCGCTGTCGTTTAAGCGGAGTGCTCCAGGCGCCCCAAGTTGAAGAAATAGAGGTCAAAAAGCCTACCTCATGAGCATTTTTTCTGTGCTGGCCAATCAGATCAAAGGAAAACCTTTAGTGATAGTAGTAACTGAGGAGAGATTAGCAGTTGCAGTGTTTACATGTTGCCGATAAACCAGATGTTCCATTGTTTACAATGGTGAAATTCAGCCACTGCCTGCGGTCATGGCACAGTACAGCAGCGGTCAGTGGAACGTTCTGTCAAGACATCTGTATTCCCAATTTTTGACGTTGACCAGAGCCATGGAAGTCAGTGGTCTTGTTGTTGAAGTCCAACTTCACCCAGTATTACAACAAAAATTCAGACTACAGATCATCATCCTGACTTTTTCCCACCTTAACTAGACAGTCAGGCTCTCCTCTGATTATTATGCATTTTCACTGGTGATGTTGTGACCATGGCAGTGTTTTCATGGCTGCATGCTGCCGTTGGTTGCTGAGGCACAGAACGACATTTTTCTCAACAGCGACATGTAAACGCAGCATGAGTTAGCCTGCAAGAATTCACAGATCAAAATCATGACAAACAAAAAGCAGCTTATTAAATCTTTTAGTTTGGCTTGTTTTTCTAGCAGGACCACGCTTGCTTATTGAAAGAATAGCTAGTTAGAACAGCTGAGTGACCGTTACGATGCTGTTATTGCATTTTTCCACCTTCTGAACAATGCAGTGTGATCCCCTCTTAAGATGTACATCTTCAGACCTGGTGCAGAGCAGCACTGACTACTTCCCTCGATGTAACTAACACCTTACCTAACTGGCCAGGTAAATGCCATACCCTTCATGAGATGAACGGGAGGACAAGTAGACAGTGCAGGACTGTGGATCTTCTGTGCTCTTGTTCTGATGGCATATACCCAGCAACGTCTGACATCTCCACAGTCATATCAACCTCAGAACAGCCATGGACAAATAAGCAAGCTGAAGTTGAGTGTTAGTATAGTACGTCTGTCGATCATATAAGACCCCATTCCACTGTGGAGGGCTAGTGTCAGGTACCAGAAAGGACAGAATAACCACTTATGGATCCCCAAAGATTCTTGAGCGCAATTGAGGTTTTAAAGAAGCCACTGAAAGGTTCTTCAGGGAACCAGAAGTGGTTCCTCTACTTCGTTCCACCTGTTTTTGTGAATACCGCAGGTGGGTAATCATCAAGGCCTGCGCTTTTGGTGGTAGCGATTCTGTCTTGCGTAATTGGCTGGTTGTAAACAGGTTCACCGAGTAGACGTTCGGATGGCGTACCGGGCACAGTAACACTGACGTGTGGCTTTGTCAATAGAGCGAGGCTGAGAAAGGGTAACTGTGTGTTTGTATGCATCTCTGTGAAGGCAAAGTGCAATTCAGTAGGTTAATTTGAGAGCAATCCTCATCCATACCGGCCCGATCGATTCGCGTAAATCAGTCTCTCTTCCTGCGCCCCTCACCCCAATAGTCAAATAGTCAATAGTCATAAATCCTCGTATGGAGATGCATGCATGGAGAAAAGAGGAGGCAAAAACGCTCCTCTTCCATTGCCTGGAATGACCTGATAAGCGGATACCACATCCATCCTCACTTGCTCCTTTCAGTTGCCTCAATCCTGATTTCCATCGATCACTTTACTTTGGTTTTTGCTTTATCTTTTGTCAGTTTGTTGTTTTCTGTTGGTTTTTTACAAGAGTATATCTAATATATGGAACTTATTCTAAAGCGGGTGTTGCATGAATGTATGTTTACATGGGGAAATTATATATGACCCAAAAAAATTGCAGAGATTGCCGACTTTTGGTTGTCGAGGGCTTGGTGCAGTTTTTCCTCCCTCTTCATCCTTTCAGGACTGCCCTGTCTGAAACGTGGGCAGCCAACGTCCAGCCACCCCTCACTCTCGATTTCTCCCTGTCCCTCCCTCTGCATCTCTCTCTCTCTCTCTCTCTCTCTCTCTCTCCCCTCTCTCGCTCCCCATCCTCTGTCTCACAGTCTCCCCTATCACATGGATTAAGTTTTTGATATGTGCATTCTTTTAAATTTTTATCATGTGCACTTAAGATTAGCTAAGTAAAAAAAAAGAAGACGTCAGTGCGAGTGAAGCAGGATCCCATCGTTTACCCATTCAGATCTTTTCTTCATTTCATGTTTTTGTTTTTTTTTTTGGTTCATTGGTATTGGATGCTGTAATGTTGAAAGACTATAAAAATGAAAATGTAAACTCCTGTATCATTTATGAAATGTGTATAAAAGAGAAATGTAATTCAGTTATCAATAAATACTTATCCAGTTTTGGAACTGAGAGTCCTGCTCCGTTTTTATTATCGTTCCCTTTAAAAACAAAACTAAAGCCCTGTATATTATGTAGTGTGATTTAATTATGACACAATGTTCATAGTAGCTAGTATTATGTAATTGTTATGTAATAATAGTAATTATATGTATTATCATCATAATAATTCTAACTTACTGTGTTTCTCTACTACAGAACATCTCACATCAATCAAACTACCCTGAATTACTTTGTTTACATATTAAAGATTTAATTATGTAGAACTTTTTAAAAGTCTGTGAAATCTGTTTATTGCTCTTTACCAATGGCAGCAGTCATGCGGCTCAAGAGAGGCACAGGCCTCAAAATCTATAATTCATTGTGCTGAAAGAGTATTTGCAAAGAGAATATCACTGTTTCATCTCTCAGAGCTCCTCTGAAGGAGGTCTAGTGACTGCCATGGCATTGATTTTCTTGTGTTGTCTCCCAAATTCCATTTTTTGTCAAATGTTTTGGTGGGAAAGAACTTAATTTACCAGCATCACCATCTTCATTACTGACCTTAAGAATCATACAGTGTTTCTGCAGTCAGAGGTTTGGTCAGAGCTGAATGTGTTTTCAGATGAGATAAAATAATCCTACATGGGGAAATTCACATTTTCCCTAATCTTAAAGATGTTTTTATTTAAAGTCTTAGGTCCAAATGTGTTTCCAAGACAAATGTAAGTAGTGATAAATATAGTAGTGATATATATTTTTTTCCCAAAACAAAAATTTTAAGTTGCATTTTTTTTAAATACCTCCCTCAAAAATCTAGTCAATACCTCGTCAAAAATCTAAGTATGTTTAACACTTTTTTTGGTCAATTCCTTATGCATTCTTTTGCTTGACATCACAGCTGACAAATGACGCCTACTGGAATAAGAGCTTTTAAATGTTGTAGGTCATGAAGGGCTTACATAGGTGTCATGTAGCCATATGAACACTACCCTGCAGTAAAGTATTATTGTTATTGTATAGCTTTGGTTATCAGTCATATTGTTTAAACCCTATAGTTATTTGAAAATAGTACAAAGACAACATATCAAATGCTAAAACTGAGAAATTGTATTGTTTTTTGAAAAATATCTGCCCATTTTGAATTGGATGGCAGCAACACGATCCAAAAAAGTTGGGACGGAGGCCTGTTTACCACTGTTTTTCATCACCTCTTCTTTTAACAACACTTTGTAAAGTGTTTGGGAACTGATGAGACACTGCTGTAGTTCTGAAAGTCAAATGTTTTCCTGTTCTAACTAGATATAGGATTTCAGCTGCTCAACAGTTCGGGGTCTCTTTTGTCGTATTTCTTGTTTCATAAAGTGCCAAATATTATCAGTGGGTGACAGATCTGGACTGCAGGCAGGTCAATTTAGCACCCTAACTTTTTTCCTGTGGAGTAATGCTTTTGTAATATGTGCAGAATGTGTTTGACATTGTCTTGCTGAAATAATCAAGGCCTTCCCTGAAAAAGATGTCGTCTGACATATGTTGCCAAAACCTGTATATATTGTTCAGCGTTAATGGTGCCTTCACAGATGTGCCAGTCACCCATGCCATGTGCACTGATGCACCCCTACACCATCACAGATGCACGAATGAAAGAATTTCAAATGTTGATTCGTTGGACTACAGAACACTTTTCACTTTACCTCAGTCCATTTTAAATGAGCTCAGGCCCAGCGAAGGTGGCAGCGTTTCCGGGTCCTGTTTATATATGATTTCTTCTTTGCATAGTGTAGTTTTAACTTGCATTTAAGAATGCAGTGATGAACTGTTTTCACAGACAGTGATTTTCAGAAGTGTTCCTGAGCCCATGCAATGATTTCCTGTACAGAATTATGTCTGTTTTTAATGCAGTGCCACCTGAAGGCCCAAAGATCTTGGCTTGCCAATCCTGGCTTTCAGCCTTGCCCCTTACATAGAGAGATTTCTCCAGATTGTCTACATCTTTTAATGATATTATGTATTGTAGATGATGAATCCCCAAGTTCTTCGCTATTTTACTCTGAGAAACGTTCATCTTGAATTGTTGCATTTGCCCACACAGTCTTTCACAGAGTGCTGAACCCCTCCCCATCTTAACTTGTGAAAGATTCAGCCTCTCTGGCATGTTCTTTTCCTACCCTGTTACTGACCTGTTGCCAATTAACCTTCAGGTGCTCCATCCCAACTTTTTTGGATCGTGTTGCTGCCATCAAATTCAAAATGAGCATACATTTTTAAAAAGAACAATACAATTTCTCAGTTTCAACATTTGATATGTTGTCTTTGTACTATTTTCAAAAAATATGGGCTTTAATTGATTTTCACATCATTTTATTTTCGTTTACATTCTGCACAGCGTACCAACTTACTTGGATTTGGGGTTGTACATGTTGCAGCCGCATCAAGTCACATTTTGTGCTATCGTGTACATCTGGCCTCCAGTGTGAGAAAAGTGGTATAACCCACCACATGATTGATGAATCTGTTTGTTGTTGTTATTATTATTATTATATTTCTTGATTCAGGACTAAATAGCCAAACCTTGACCTTGTCAAATCTGCATCCCTAGCCCCCTCGTCCTTCCTGTCATCTGCTTCCCACCTGATAAAAAATTTAGAAGTTTACAATGAACATCAACAGGTTCTAGGTCTATGTGGGTATTTCCAGACATTTGCAAACGATCAAATAAATGCTCTTTAATTAAATTGGTGATTCCACTCTCCGCAGGGCTCAAACAGTCCTGTCTTCATTATCCGTCCTCATCGAGTGCTTTCTTTAACGCCCACTGTCTGGTGCAAAAGTTCAGATGGTCCTATTGGACGGTGAGCTGTAATCTCATAAGAAGCTTGCCGCGTTCCAGCTCGTGGGCCCCATTGATTAAAGAAGCAATTTGTTTAATTAAACGAGGCCAAATTTGTCTGTATTAAGTTCTTGCTGCCGGCTACATTCCTGAAACTGCAGCGTGGGCCCACTGTTAGTGATCACTGAAGGTTTCTTGAGGAACGGCACATCCTCTCAGCATCGGTCAAGCCAACTATGATGACCCTCAGCCACTTTTACCGCTGAACTCCTCTCTACTTTGCAAGACTGAGGAACAAAAAGAAGGAGTGCACTCTTCAAAAACAACAGAACAGTGGAACTGATTAGATCAGGAGACTTGAAAGCAGTTCCCAGAGATGAGTTAGCAAGAGAGGGAGTCCTGATTGGCTGTAGTAGCTTGTGAAGGGAATTCTGGGTTGCTGCCAGGAGATGTACATGGTGTATTTGGGGGTTCACTAGAGGACAGGAGAGCTGGTGCTGGGAGGGGCTGCAGCCTTAGTAGGATAAGCTTGAGTCCAGGAACAATGAGAGGATGGTCTTGTCACTGGCCGGAGGGGTGTGTGTCATAGACAGCAATGAGGGGACAGGACAAGAGGTCAAGGGGAGACAGATGTGCTGTCCGCTGTGCCACAGCGCACAAAAATACAGTAACACAAGCCATAATTCACTCTCGGCCCTCATGCACAGAGATAACGGGCTCCAGTATTAAAGACCCTGCCCTTTCCCAACAAACCTCACAAGAGCCTGTGGCTGATTGAAACCTTGTTTGGACCTAACATCATGGTGCTCTTTTTGCTGGCTGATCTGTTCTTGGCTCTGGCCGCCCTCCAGACTACGTCTGCTGCCCAGATCATAGGTAGGTGCACAGGATCTAATGTTGTGAATGTTATAAGTAAATGGTTTGGTCCAGAATATCTTCAGGACTGGAGCTCTTGAAGCTTATTAAAGCTAATTGATTGATGCAGCTACCACATTTATGACATGAAGGACATGACTGAGTGGGTTACCTGTATAAATACCTCATAAAATAGAATCTGGTACTGTTCTATGTAGACGTCAAAGACCACCCTTCGTTTGTTCAATTTACAGTCAAAACATTAAGGACAAGTTACTCATTTTTCAAGAGATGTTTCTGAGGAGATGCGATATAAGATACTCCACTTGTATAAAGAACAGGAGTTTCCAAAACTGGAGTTCAAAACATAAAGAGAAATTTGGACCACGTAACAACCATGCAAGACCCGGTCGACCACCAAAACTGACCCCATCAGGACAAACAGCACTTAAAGCTTTCATTTGTTGACGGAGGAACATTAAGCTCCACTCTTGCTTCAGAGCTGAAAATCCAGTCCATCCTTCCACTGTGAGAAGACACCTCAGCACTATGCGTCTGAAAGGATGTGTAGCTGTCAAGAAGAACCTCACTGAGAAAGGTAAAAGAACAGCGGTCATCATTCACCAAAATGTTCCCGTTTTTTCTTAAATGTGTTTTTGGGAAAGGTCCTAAGAAAAAGTCTACGTCAGATTCATGACGTGTTCTTAAACCGCAGAACCGTTCACACCTTTGTGCTCTTGAGTGTGTAGATTCTGTTCTTACCTGAGAACAAATCCCAAATAAGAAAACACTGGTGAGTCAGAATCTTCATAAAAAACTGTGGATATGGGTTTTAAGGAGACATTTGTTCCCAAGAACAGTGGGTGAGTGAGGCCCATTATCTGCAAATCAAACAAAGAAGTTGCTGGCGTTCTCAGAAAAATGGACTGACCACTCCAGAGTCCAGACCTCAACATCACTGAATGTGTTTGGGATTACTTGGATTGTGAAAAGGAGAAAATGCTAAATGAACGTTTAAGACTGAACTTTGGGCATGTGGAAAAATGTCCCTGCAGATTTCTTTAAAAAGCTGAGAAGAAAACCTCAGAAAAGAGTTTAAGCTGCAACAAAGGCAAAGGGTGACAAAATCATATTTAGTTGTGTGATTAAAATCGTGTCGTGTACTTAATGGCTGTTTTGACTGAAAATTAAATACATGGTGATACAAGGGTGGTGACTTTTGCACCGTACCGTAGGTCAGTATTCTGGTAACATGTTACTTTATGATATAGCCATGGCTTTACTATTACCTGAGTATGTCATAGTTTATGTTTAAGATCATTTCTGTACATATAATACATTCTGAATGTCTTCATTCTCCAACACAGAACATCTCAAAGTGATCAAAGCAGACCGAAGTGCACAGTGACTTCAAAGGTTACCACACTGCAAAAAAATGGTGTCTTGTCAAGTAATATTATCTTAAATCTGGTCAATAAATCTAATATTTCTCCTGTTGGGATTGTTGTAAACTTAATTTAAGATTATTTACGAACATTTTCTACTTGTTTCAAGTGATTTTTATTAAGTTATTTCACTGTGTTGGCAGAGAAATGTGCTTGAAACCAGCAAAATTATCTGCCAGTATAGTGAGATAATTTTACTTAATAAAACTGCCTAAAACAAATTAATAATGTCTAGAAATAAGCTAGATAATCTTATAATAAGTGCACAACCATCTCAAAATAAGAAATATTAGATAGATCGACTGGATTAAGATCATTTCAATTGACAAGATACTATTTTTGCAGTGCAGTCAACTTCATCAGCTCTGTGTGTTGTTTTATAATTTCCTCAACTGGTCAGATTCACTCTGACCAGGTCGGTTTGAGTGCACTTTGGCTGGTCTTAGTTAGTTCAAGGTGGAAAGAGAGGTTTTGACTGCTTGGATGAGCCGATGCAGCAGATGGGGAGGAAGGAAAGATGAAATGATTTATTCTGGCAGTGTTCGGGAATCTTGTGTTTACAGCATGTCGCCTTGACCTGCATCCCCGGTGATCCTTGGCCTCCAAAGCTTCCTGTATTAGCTGAACTTCCTAAAGAGATAGACGTATTTGCAGCCTGAGAAGGACGATGTTTCCGAGCGTAAGAGGGAAGGGCAGGGCTGTGTTTGAAATGTTCCACTGAGAAAACCCTTAGAGATGGTTACTCTGTGGAAATTGCCTATTTGCACTGAAATCAGTTTTGATCTCTGTATTATGAGGCTGCAGTTAAAGAGTGTTTATGGATGAGAAGGATCAGACCTTTTAGGCCTAATTTCCCACTGACATGCTGTGTTTACTGCTCAGTCCAGACCACTGCAGTGTTCATTCTTCATGGCCATTCCTGCAGCATGTAGCAGCTTCCCTTTGGCTTCCTAATTAGTTTAGAGAGAGAGAGAGAGAGAGAGAGAGAAAGAGAGATAGAGAGATATTGACCGGCCAGTGCTGTTTGTTTACTCTGTGAACTGAGCCTGTCTCTAAAATCTGCTCAACTGACTGCAGTGCAAAGGATTCTACATTGACGAATCTGACTTAACAAGACTGAGCTTGTTTCTTGCTCACTCACTGGCCACTAATCTTCCTCTGGACAGTTAATTCGTCCATCTCCACTTGATGGCACAGTCCAAATGAGGAGTCTATCAGGATCTCTTCAGTGCCTCAGGGATATTTTGGATTTAAGGCTCACTTTAGAGCAGGGCTCGGCGATATAATGATATTAGTCACTATCATGATAAATGACCTCACGCTATGACGCAATATGCTTTACTGAGCATATCAAGGATATCGTCCATACTTAAGGAATGAATAACTGCATGTGTCATTGAGGAGAGCATGTGCAGTCCTGTTGGATTAGATTTGGTGCAGTGCAGTATGTAAAATGTTAAACAGCAGTCACTGCATTATTTAATGGTGTTTTTCAATGTGGCACCACCAGTTCTTTATTGTCTATTCCAACTTATCAAACCTCAGATAAGTGAAATATCGAGATGCATATTGTGTGACAAGAAAGCACCTCGAAGTACTGTGATATATATTTGCCATATCACCCACCACTAGTGTACAGTACATTTATTTGCATGAAAACATTAATCTAAAATGCTAATGCTGCTAATAAATATTAGTATGGTGTTTAGCATTCAAACTTGAAGAACCCCCCCCTGTACCCAGACCTTTGAACAGACGTAGATAATGCTGAGACTTACATCATGCTTACTTCTTTCTGCTTTCTTTCATTCAATGGGAGCCTATTAAAATTATGAGAAGTTAAAAAATAATAATAATAGTAATAAAAAGACTTTGAATCTCAAAATATTGACTTACTTTCTCAAAGTGACTTATTTTTGAAATATGTCAAAATTTTGAGAAGATAAATCATTATTGAGTCCTAGTTTCCAGAAAATAAGGTATTAAGGTCCTAATTTCAAGAAGGTAAGTAATAATTCTTGAGATAATAAACCCTAATGATGATCAGATAGGTCACATTATTTCAAGACACAAAGTTAAAATTTGGAGAAAATAATATATTTCAAGATACTAAATCTAATTTTGAGAAAATACATCCAGAATTTCAGAAAATAAGTAATCATTTCAAGATGCTACGTCTTAATCTTACAAAAATAAGAAAATGTTGAGAAAATAAGTCGTTATTTTAAGGTACTAGTCAAGCTATTAACATACTGCTTCCCTGTGCATTTCACTACTACAACACTCCCATCTCAGCTCAGGAGAGGCCTGTTAATTAGGTTGTTAGCTGAATCTTCTGTAATAATGGAGGAAAAACACTGAAATGTAGGGGACGGGGTGCCCCAGGACCAGGGTTGAGAACCACTGTATGATATTACGTTGTCTCTCCCTCCTCCTGCCAAGTTCCGGACCCCTGCCTGGCCTACATCAGTCTGAACGAGCCCTGGCGGAACACTGACTACCACGTCAACAACTCAGCAGGCGTGCCCCTGTGTGACCGCCATGTGGCCGGAGAGTGGTACCGCTTCACCGGTATGTCTGGGGACGCCATGCCCACTTTCTGCATCGAGGAGAACCACTGTGGCACCCATGCGCCCATCTGGCTGAACGGTAGCCACCCGCAGCCCGCCGAGGGCATCGTCACCGTGCCCACGTGTGCCAGCTTCAATGAAGACTGCTGCCACTGGCAAGGAACTGTGGAAGTGAAGGCCTGTTCCAAGGGTTACTACGTGTACCGCCTGCCACGGCCCTCCGTGTGCTTCCACGTTTACTGTGGCCGTAAGTCTGTCTGTCTGCCGTGCTGTCTGTCCCTGGGTTTGCATTCCTGTCTGTGTGTTTACCTCTGATGTAAATGTTATTGTATATTTGTGTATATATAGATTTCTATGACATCTGTGATGAGGTGGACTGCAGTGGTCCTGACTGTCCAGCAGAACCAGAATGTCGTTGCCCTGCTGGGACAGTGCTGGGCCCAGACGCTCAGACCTGCCTGGGTAAGTTTGGGTGTGGAGAAATGTTAGGATGTAGAAGGTGACGTCACAGTAAGAAAGCCATGGTTATAGGTTCTAGACCAGGGGTCGGCAACCCAAATGTCAAGAAGAGCCATTTTGTCCTTTCAGCAAAAATCAAACCTCCTTGGGAGCCACAACATTTTATGTTTATTTTACCATCTTGGTTGTAAATATGCCTCAGTATGTGCTGATGTGTTAGTCTAGGCTAACAAATTTGGTATAAATGAAAACACAGACTTACTTTGCTCTGCTTTAAGCTTTAGCTCAGCTACAGCCGCTTTTCTCGCATCTCCAGCAGGAAGCTTTTCCAAAAGTGGAATAGTTTCCTGTAAAACGTCTCTCAACGTTCAATTTTTTACAAGGCTGAAGTCGCTTCTCATTCGCCAGCTTCTTGTTCGAATTTTCCCGTTCCACCTTAAATAGTGCAGCAGGCGAACAAGAAGCTGACCACATCTTCGCTACTTTTTAGTGTTTGACAGGTTCCTGTTGCAGATTAAACGTATCAGGAAACCAGCCGAGAGCTTATAAATGCAAATAAGTCCATTCATCTCCAAATTATCGGTTTGTCTTAAAGGGGAACTCCACCGATTTTGTTAAATTAATTCATTCAGTGCATTCAATGGTTTAGATGTGAACAAAATCATTCTGAGTGCTTCGGTGTGAAATGTGCTTTTCCAGAGAAATGTACAGAGTCAAAATTGTTCACCATTATAGTACTGGGAACCAGACGTCCAACACATTTAGTGGCTCTAAAAACTACATCCCGTTAAGTTATTACACAAACATGGTTATGAATGCACTGCTTGATACCTGAGACATTGTTTTGTGATAGTTTTGTTGTAAAGTTTTTGCCTAAAACCTATTTTTAGTATAAAGTTTTACTCCAGGTTTAGTTTCGTGTTTCCTCTCAAAACCACATTCTCAGCTGAGATCAATGCGTGCGAGCTGTAGCCTGTTGCTACAGCTGTTCAGCACGGCTAACGCCAGCGGCAGCTTTTGTTTGCAGTTTATTTTTACGGTTTTCTTACCTATTTTGGAAGGTTACAGAGTATGCAGAGGACTTTGAGGAGGTCTGTCTCCAAAATGTCGTATATCCATATCAATTTGAACCAGAAAACACAAAGGAGTTGCAGCAGTTTAAAGGAGAGAGAGAGAGAGAGAGAGAGAGAGAGAGAGAGAGAGAGAGAGGAATAGGATAGGTAGGATAGCGAGGTAGATCGTTTTTGTGTGTTCTAAGCTAACGGCTAACAGTGATATGCATGGTGGCTAATTTCTTTCACTCGTGAACGTTTCTTACCTAGATTCCAGTTTCCACTGGAGTGAAACTGCCGGTGTGTAAATCTGCAGCTCTGCAGTCAGACCGTTCCCCAAAAGGCGGTCAGGGTGAAAATCGATGGAGTTCCCCTTTAAATCTCTCTCTTTGACTTTTCTTTAGCTACTAGCTAGGTGAGACTGTTTTCTGTGTTGTTATGGTGACCAGCAGTCTGCACGTCAGTCTTCAGGGTTAAAGTTCTACATTAACTGTGTTGAACGATCAGCAGAGCTTTATTTTACTGTAAAGGAGGATTATTTTATTTTTACCTACAAATCTAATTCCGCTGTGGAGCCACAACAGGGCAGTAAAAGAGCTGCATGTAGCTGACCGCTGATCTAGGGAGAGTTTACTAAAACAAGATACACATAGACCAGAACCTTCAGCCTTTATGGCTGACTCAGCCACAAAACCAGCTTTACTAGTTGGGCCAGCCAACATTGTATTAGCCTTTAATGGGCTTCCCTGCTGACTGCAGAAAACAACAGATCAAAGAACGCTGGTCTAGTGCTGGTTTAGCTGGTCACCCAGCATGGTCATGCTGGTTGACCAGCATACCAACTTCCAAAACACCACATATGCTGGTTTTGCTGGTGATCAGCATCTCAACTTCCGTTGCTGCTGTCCAGAATACCAGCATCCAAAACACAATGTATGCTGGTTAGAATGGTGACAAGCCATGCTGGTCTAGTTTAGTGGCTGCAGCCCAGGGTCCAACATTCAGACAGTTTCACTGCCTCTAATGTCGCCCTTATGACCTGCATACAATTTCCATTTACTCATTTGGGCCGATGCTCTTGTCTAGAGCCACTTATAGTTTTAATCATGTTTCAGAGGTAGGAGAATGTAGGGTTAGGAATCTCGCCCAGGGACAAGAACAGCGGGCTAATGTAGTACGTTTACTGCATGTCACACTGCAGTGTTACATGTCAGATATAAAGCCACGTAACCAAATAAAGCCCCTGGTGTTATGCTTTGCCTGGGAGACTACCAGGTCACCAGCTCAGCAGACATGCCCTTGTATGACTGGCATCTGAATTATTAGATAATTAGGCCAACTATGGAGCTTTTAGCCTAAACTGATCAGCTACTGTGACTGTGCTAAAGCATGCTGTAGTTATGAGTGGTCCAAACAAAAATGCATTATAGGTGTTTTTTTTGTTTTTTTTTTATCATAATCTGTTAACGGCCCTCGTAAACTCATGTTTTTTATTGTAGCAATGTCATATGTTAGCCTATAGTCTGTGTACTGCTTTCCAGTACAAGCCTAGCATCTTGTATGTAGTGGGCAGTTAAGTCCATGGCCAAACTACAGCTGTTCTAAGGTCAGCTGAGAACCAGGCACTGCTGAGTGCATTGTTATTTCCACTTTCTCATAAAACCCAGGACATAACTTGTTTTCCCTCCTGCCCTCAGGAAAAAGATTCAGATGAATCAGAGCAAAAATAACTATATTAGAATTATATAGATAAAAAAAGCCTTCTTCCCACAGACAGTCAGATGTCCCTCCTCCCCTCCCCCGCCTCACTGAGACTAAGACTGAGATATTTTTCATCTTGCACTATATATCATTTCATTTTGCACTAGTATGTCTATACATACTGTATAGTATATACTGTCTTATTGTGTTTATCTTTGTCTTTGGCCTTATTTATCTTTGTTTTCTTTTTTATTTATGTCCTAGCTGTCAATTCCAGAGCTGCTAAATGTTTTTTCATTGTTTTTAAACAATGACGATAAAGATCTATATAGATATCCATCCGTCCATCCATTCATCTGTCTATACCCTTCCAGAACTACCCAGGTCTGGACCTCAGTGGCCTCATGCCAGTTAGGGCCACAGTTGTATTAAATATAGTAGGTATGTTGCTAAAAATCAGCTTTTCTCTTTGTTGCTGTGTTGCTGTGTTGCTATGTTGACAGAGGCGTGGTAGGTTAGAGTAAGAGTCAGCCAAGGGCCTCAGAATGCCTTAATAGACCCTGGCGCTGGCACTAATACAGCTCTAATTGTATACTCCAGATGGCGTAACAATGGGAGGCTTCTGAAAGTCAATTTTCCATTTTTATCTCCGAACAGACAGAAGAGAAAAACATTTGTCCACTGACTGACATTAGCACATATTAACACTGACAAAAGGGCACAGGAGAGGGCTGAGTCAAGTTTGTGAGAAAGATTGGAGGAATATTACACAGTGACTCTCATCTAATTGGGAATGTGAATCATTCTTTGAAAACCCTGTCATTACGTAATACTGCCCATCTTATCAAACTGAGTGTTCTCTGCTCTCTCTCTCTCTCTCTCTCTGTCTCTGTCTCTCTCTCTCTCTCTCTCTCTCTCTCTCTCTCTCTCGTCTCTGTCTCTCTCTCTCTCTCTCTCTCTCTCTCTCTCTCTCTCCCCTTCTGTATCTGTCTTTCACTCCTTTAAGCACTCTTTTCGTTTCTCTTAAATCTGATCCTTTTGCAGTCTTGAGCTGTTTTCTTCCACTTATTGTCAGTGTCACATCATTGCCATATCATGGTTTAGCAGTGGGTTGGGATGGTTAGTTTAAATGAGGTGTGGTTTTTCTCTTCTTTATCACTCTGATCTCTATCTATCCGTTTCATATTAGTGTGATTAGATTGTGGGATTTACACTCTTTCCTCTCTCATGCTGCATTGCTTATATTCGCTGTCAGCCGACACATGCATGCACAAATTATACACAAGGACAGGCACGGATAATCTATATAGAGGAAATGTATGATTTATATGCATTGCGTGTAATTAACCCCTTAAAATCCCTGGCTTATTACATACTAAGACTTATTATTCAGTAACTACAGGGACTTCAGCATAAACTGGCTGAGTTATTCTTAGGTTATAGAAGCGTGTAATAAAACTTTGGACCTGCTGGTGGGCCCTGACCACTTAGGGGTTAAAATGCAATTAATGTATTCTTAGTAAGTCAGTAAATATAATGTGATTACAAACATTTTAACTGTACCAACTTTGTAATGACATTACAAAAGTAATCCTATTACTGTAACACATCTTTTTTTTTTAACTAGGCCTCCTGAAGGGGAAGTCCACTGATTTTTCATAATTTCATAATTAAGTGGTTAAAATGTCATCAGTCACTCAGAGTGGTTTGATGTGAAATACTGTGTTCTAGAGCAGAGGTGGGAACTGAGGTAAGTAGGTAAGCCTTTGTAGTAGTAGTCCCCAAAAGAAAACTTTTTCTGTTCAAATTTATCACTATTTCACCATTATCAACGTTACATATAATGTCTATAGATAGATAGATAGAACTTTATTGATCCCGAAGGGAAATTGCAGTGTTTCAGTAGCAAGACATATAGGTGCACATACACTTACATATACTAAGCAGAAAATAAAAATAGCAATAAAAATAGACATAACTTCAAAGTATAAGAGAGTAGAAATAAAAGTATATATATTTGCATATTTACATAGCATACGAGACAGATTTATTGTATTTACATGATAGCAGGCACTGAGTGGTATGAGGCAGTCTAAAAGCACAGTGAGTGTAGACATAACTAGGAGGTGCAGCAATATTACAGTGTCTATATTTGTGTTGTAGTCATGGTGACCCCTGGTTCCTATCACCACCACTGTAAAGAAATCTGAGTCTCCACAATTAACCATTTTACACCAAACCACTCTGAATGACTTTGTTCACCAATGATATAATGATGTAAAAAAGTGAAAAATCACTTGAAGTCTCCTTTAAAGTGAACCTTACTTTGCACCCTCTTGATGCCGTGTTCCCCCAAACACGTGTTTAGTATGTAGTCCACTCACAGTGCTCGTCTTCTTCATTGTTTCATCTTTCTGCATCGGTGTTCTGTGTGAAAGATGTAAACGAGTGTGAGAAAGGCAACGGCGGCTGTGCTGAAGTGTGTGTCAACACCAAGGGTTCCTGGAGGTGTGAGTGCAGCCCAGGACGAGTATTGGACCCGGATGGCCAGACCTGCAATGGTGAGACTCGGCACGTGTTGGCTTAAAGTGATAGTTTGTCAAAAAAATCGACTCAGTGTTGACCTTTCCCCAAAACGCAATCAATCAGCAAAGACGTAATTTGTTTCAGTAGTTTTATATTGGCTGTATTGTCACTAACATGAAAGCCCAGGCAGAATTTAGATGAAGATGCTGTATATAACAAAGCAAAGCTGTGCTTCTTCCAGCAAAATGTCATACAGTGTCAGAAACCACATAAAGTCTAATTTTTCTCGTTACTCATTATTGTATTTTCATCAATTAATTCTTTATCCACTATTTCATAACTCCTACTGCTTTTGTTGTGCTATTGTTTTTGCTGTCTGGTGTCGACCAGAGGAAGGTGGGTTCTGCTTTAGACTCTTGGTTCGTCTTAAATGGTCTTCCTCTTGCTCTTAGGGGGGTTTTTCTTGCCACTGTCTCCTATTTCGTGCTCATTTTGGGCTTGGACCCGGATTTCTGTGAAGCTGTTTTGTGACAACACCTGTTGCCAAAAGAGCGATACAAAAACATTTTGAGTTGAATTGGATTGTCAGCCGTATTAGCTCTTAGCTCTGGTGCAAAGCAAAGACTACATTCTAATTTTTTGCTCAGATCTGATCTTTCTGTGTTCTGAAGTGACTCACATGCGCACATCCTAATCAACAGTGCCTCATAAAGGAGCCACCTGCATCATGAACAACAAACTAACTAACCAGGGGCCGGATTCACGAAAACTCACTTGTGAAGGTTCTTACTAAGAAGTTCACGAGAATGTTCTTAAACGTAGTTCTCAAAAAAAACGTAGGAAGTTCTCAGATATTCTCTTAAAATAATCTTAATTATTTTCTTATGATTTTCTTAAGAAAATATTCATTATTTTCTAATGTAGGCTCTGTTGTGTTTAACCTCGTACCATAAATGATGATACATTTTGAATTTGTATTAACTGTTTCCGTTATTTTAGTTTAATCCACTCAGAGGAGCAAAATGGAGGAAAAACATCAAACCAAGTGTTTAAAAGATTTTAGCAAACAAGAATTAGAGGTGATGGAGGAAGAAACAGCCAACAAGAAAAAAATGGGAAAATACAATAATTGTGGGGTGACGGTAGAAAGCTAGAGACAGGGACGGGCAGGAGTGGATACATTTTTAAAATTAGATGCTCAACTTATCAACTCTTACAGCCTAAGACAAGCGTGAGTCCGTCATAAGGTTAAGAGAACAGCTAAGAACTAAATATTTTCAAGGAAAACACTTGTTCTCAGAACGATTCTTAAGAAAACAGAAATAGTTAAGAAAAGAAAATAAGATAGATCTTAAGAAGTTATTTGAAGAATAATATTTTTTCGTGACTTTTTTCTTCAGAATGAAGTTAAGAAAAAACACATTTAAGACGATTTTCTTTCATAAGACACTTTTGTGAATCCGACTCCAGCAGACCAAGCCTTCGTCAGAGCCAGTTTAAGGGGAGCCTGCGGCCACTTCCCAATTCTCTCATAATATCAAAAAACATGACTGCGCCTGAGAGTGAGTGCACAATGAATGGGGTGAACGGCTAAAAGTGAAGAATAAAGGTTGTTTCTAATTTGTGCAAGACTTTCCTCTAATTTTGGAAAGTAGAAGCATGTATTTAGGCCAACAACTGGAGCACTCAGACAATAAAAGCAGTGTTGAAGTATTTAATGCTGCTATGTGTTCAGAAAACGAGAGCATTTCTCTAAATCTCAAAAGCTTCATAGGGGCTCATTCATTTTGGACTCTCTCAGGAGCGCCCTCTAGTGTCTGACAAACCTGGAAGGCTTTATTGAGTGGTAGTTCACGTCACTACAAATCCTCTGTCTTCATCACAAAGATAAGTCACTCTGAGCAGCTCTCATTACCAGAGAGAGGTGAAGGTGAAATACAGTCAGATGCTTTTGCACCGTTTACTGGCACTAAGTCAGGTTCACCACTGCCACAGTGTTAACACTGAATGATGGTGCGTGTGCAGAGAAAAAAACACAAATTTTGATCTGATCTTCCTTGTTAATCAGATATGTATCCAATCTAAGACCACATATGAAAGTGGCTCAGATCTGCCACTTTGGCCTGATAATGTGAACTTAGCCTATAGAAGCAAACAGACACCAAACATGTCTTGGTTGATCATCTAGGGTGATGGTAAAATTCTATCTAATTTGATTTTTTGCTGAACTTTCCCTTTAAATCCAAAGGCAGTGGGCTGAATGTGGTTAATGCTGTGGTGTGCTGTGCTCTGTTCAGACATCGCAGGCTGCCACAATGTGAACGGAGGTTGTAGTCACGGCTGCATGGAGGAGCAGGACTCGTATTACTGCCACTGCCCCAGAGGCCTGACGCTGGGGGAGGACAAGCGCACCTGTCAGGGTCAGCTCCACTCCACTGCACATCTCTTACATCTGTTCAGCCTCACACACACACTCTTTTTTCTCTTTCATTTACCCAGAATTACCCAGAATGGAGCTTGAAAAATCTTTAAACCTTAATATTTCATAGTTACAAGGCTGTGTGTGTTTGTTTTCCTGTATGTCCAGGACAAAAACAGGATTAACCTACAATATCAGGACCAACAAATGATCCTAACTATGTAAAGTGCTTTTTATGGAAGTGACATATTTGATTCTTTAACTGAAAGGATTTCTTTTTGCTTACTGAGATTAAGGTTAGGATCAAATTCTTTTCACTTATAGATACTTACATATCGCCACTGTCAGAACTAAAACTCATCTCCAAAAGTGTCTGGGGAGTGGATATAATACATATGGAACATACAGTGGGGTCCAAAAGTCTGACAATCGTGAAAATGCTTCTATTTTGTGTTTTTATTTATTATACTTAATATACTTGTTTTATTATAAATTATATTAGTATCATAATAATTTGAGTGAAAAATAGAATCTTTGAAATACATAAATCTCAGAATTTATTAATATTTGCTGCGTTGCCCTTCTGCTTTAATGACCGCATGCACAAAAGCTTCTGTTGAGCAGATCAGATCCACCTGATAGTCGTCTGATTCAGTTAAAGAGATAAGGGTTACTTACATTTGAAAAGTGACCTAGAAATAGCTCAAAAAATGTAATTTTGTTTTTCATTTTACTCATCATAACTTTTCTTTGTTTTGAAATTTTCACAATTTTACACTTTTCTGTTGTTTAATTTCAGGTATTAAAGATAAGATAAGATAAGATAAGATAATCCTTTCTTAGTCCCACATCAGGGGAAATTCACAGTGCTACAGCAGCAAAGATACAGCAAGGCACTCAAAAAAAAAAAATGACATTACTGTATAGACTCCATGTGTCAAACACAAGGCCCGTGGCACGATCCAGTTCGGCGCACTCAATTACCTTAATATTCTATTAATATTGGCCTGTTTCTCCATGATCTGCACTACAATTCCCAGCATGCACTGCAACATAATGTGTGCTCTGACCCCCTTCTGTGGGCCAGCGGTTACACAAAAATAAAAGATGCCTGATGTCTAGTTCAGAGAAATAGGCGGTTTTAAAAAAATACCCGGGGACATTACAGAAGTTTAACAGCTATCTGTAGATAATGCAGCCTATTGTTTTATATAAAACGTTTTTTTTTTTTTTATTTAAAATTATCGTTGAATAGTTCAAGTATTCCTATTTTGCTGTTGCAGTTTTTGTATATGTGCCAATAAATAATGGGCCATTCGGGTCACAGCAAAATGAAATAAAAGAAATAAAAACACTGCTGGCCCACGAATTTAAGATTTTTTAATACGGCCCTTTCAGTGGTGGAGTTCGACACCCCTGATATAGACAATATATATAATACTAAAGATAAAACATAAACTCTATCCATCACAAAATTAACAATATAAACATTCTAAATAAAAAACCATAAACTCTTAAGAATATTACACATATTGCACATGGAGTATTGATTATATTGCACATTGGTATAGTGATGCATTAACAATATACACATTTAAAAATAGAAAAAAAAGAAGTGAATTCACAGTTTACACACTGTAAATGAAAAAAATCCCTGATTTTTGATGTGGTCTCAGATTTCTGGACCCCACTGTATGCATGACCTCACCTCCTGACAGCAGTGTGTGTGTGTTCCCTGCAGTCCCTGTGCAGTGTGACCCCAGCTCTATTGAGGTTTCTGTTCCCAAAGACCTTGTGGGCGGGCTGGAGCTATTCCTGTCCAACTCTTCGTGCCGAGGAGTTTCTAACGGCACTCACATCAACCTGCGCTTCAGCCTGAAGACCTGCGGCACCGTGGTGAAGGTGAGGCCCGCTGAGGAGAAATGCACCAAACACTAATCACAGTCATTTTTCATGGAACATGCTCTGTGAAGGAGACCCACTTAGGAGCTCTTCAGGCTGCAGGCGAAGGTACCCTGATTCTGTGCAGGCAAATGGGATCACACTGACTGCTCCCAGGCTTTTATTCCCCGTAAGCTCTGTAAGCACCTGAGACAAACAGAAATAGAACCACATATTATTATTATTATATTCATGTGTTATGGAAGCTGTGGGTAATGTGGGACATGTGTATTGTAAACCATAAAAGATACAACTATTCTTTAATTCACTCATTTCTTTCGCTCATCTACTTTTGCTCATTTTGAAAAGTGAATTATGAAACCCAAACTCAGTCATAAAAGGTTCTGTGCTAGAGAATCGTGCGAACTGGCGAAACTGGATTTTTAATTCACTGGTGGACTGTAAGCATTTTAGCTATGTTAGCATTTTAGGGTGAACCGTAACTTTAAAACTTGTACAAAATATAAAAAACTAAAAACTGGCTCCAGTAAAATTGTAAATAATGACATAGAACTGAGTAAATGTAACTACTTACTATCCACCACCTATTAGGACCTAATTTGGAAATTAGTTTGAGAGATGGGGATAGACGTCTTAGAAGCTGGGTGGTCTTTGGTTGCCTGGGTGGTCTATATATTTTCCCATTTATATCACTGTATCAGATGATGATCAAGTTAGTATTAAAAGAAGTTAATGAGTTCATATATACATGTGTATTTTTGGTCCATTCATCATGATAAATACAAAAATACACATGTATATATGATAAAATGGACAATGAGCGTAGAAACAAGGAGGTGGTCATAATGTTATACCTGAATGGTGTGTGTGTGTGTGTGTATATATATATATATATATATATATATATATATATATATATATATATATATGTATATATATATGTGTGTTATACATAATATATAGTACTTTGTTTTTTATATCTGTATACTCACCACACCACACCAAACTCTCTCCCTCTCTCTCTCTCTCCTCTTTTTCCATCCTCTCTTCTCCTTTTCTCGATCTTTCTCTTTTTTATTTCTCTCTGTCTCTATTTTCTCTCTATTCCTCCTTCTGTCTTTCTATCTCCCTCTCTCTCTCTCTCTCTCTCTCTCTCTCTCTCCCAGGTCATTGATGATAAAATAGTGGGCACTAATCTGGTGACCGGTTTGCCTAGGTCCAGTCCGGGCAGCACTGGAGATCTGATTGTGCGCACCAGTAAGCTGCTGCTGCCGGTCACCTGTGAGTTTCCGGGCCATTATGAGGTTTCGGACGGCTTCGTGCCCAGTGCCCGCAGTGGTGCACTGGAGCTGTCTGGCCACAGTCAGGGCGTTTTCCCCTTCGTTCTGGAGCTCTTCCGCAGCGCAGAGTTCTCTGAGCCGTACCGGCAGCCTCCGCAGCTCCGCCTGCGAGACTCGCTCTACTTCGGCGTGGAGCCTCGCGAACGCGTGGACGGCCTGGCCACACTGGTGGAGACCTGCTTCGCGACACCAGGACCACGAGCAGACCAGGCCCTCAAATACTACCTCATCAGGGATGGGTCAGTCATCATTTCTTACTGTCCAGCAGAACCAACCACACATACACTGTCCAGACAGCCCCTCTAATTAGTGCATTCAGCTAATTAAGGTCACCCAGTGCTGACACAGGTATATAATAGAACTGACCTATAGAATGGGATGCTCTAGAGCAGCTGCATATGCCTAAGGTCACAATGCCCAGTGCCAAGTGTCAGCTAGAGGGTATAAAGCCCCCCAGCACTGAGCTGTGGAGCAGTGGAACTGTGTTCTCTGCAGTGATGGAGCTCCATCCAGTATCTTTGGGATGAGTTGGAGTGTCCAGAACTGATCATCCAACATCAGTACCTGACCTCACTAATGCTCTTGTGGCTGAATGCCATCAAATCCTCACAGCAATGTTCCAACATCTAGTGTAAAGCCTTCCCAGAAGAGTAGAGGCTGTTGTATATGGTTCTGCATCAATCTTAAGAACCGTTTTCAAAAAGGTTCTGTATAGAACCATATACAACACATTCTCCCTCAATCTGTAGAACCATTTTCAAAAAGGTTCTGTATAGAACCATTTACAACACATTCTCCATCAATCTGAAGAACCATTTTCAAAAAGGTTCTGTATAGAACCATTTACAACACATTCTCCATCAATCTAAAGAACCATTTCACCATACAAAGAACCGTTTAAGCATTCAAAGGGTTCTATACAGAATTAATGGTGCTAAATAGAACCATTCCCTTTACTAAAGAAGCCTTGAAGAAACATCTTTTTAAGAGTATAGAAAAGAACCAGTTACCATGCAAAGAAACATTGATGCATCCACAGAGGTCTTTGAGTTGTCACGGTTCTATCTATAACCATTGCCTTTACTAAAGAACACTTGAAGAACCATTTTCGAGGGAGAAGTTGTGAGAGTGAGGAACAGAAGTCTGTCCACAGTCTCTTGGGTTTTAGGGAGTTAATGTACCCAAACGGAAGCTTCACACAATGTTCTGAATTCATGTTTTGTGATAGAACAGAAGAGATGCTTAGCAGAACGTAGAGAGCTCTGTCCATGTTCTCCTGTCCTCTCTTTCAGCTGCATCTCTGATGAAACAGTGCGTCAGATCACAGCTAGAGACCAGCTCTCTAAACACTACCAGGTCCCCGTCTTCAAGTTCGTTGGCAGTGACAACAGAGTGAGTAAGATCAGCGAGCTGGCGTCTCTTTAGACTGTGCTATTATTTTTCTTTTTTTACAACCCCATTTCCAAAAAAGTTGGGACGCTGTGCAAAATGTAAATAAAAACAAAATGCAATGATGTGCAAATCATTTAAACCCTATATTTAATTGAAAATAGTACAAAGACAACATATCAAATGTTGAAACTGAGAAATTGGATTGTTTTTTGAAAAATATTTGCACATTTTGAAATCGATGCCAACAACACGTTCCAAAAAAATTTGGGACAGAGGCAACAACAGGCAGGTACAGTTGTGTAATGCTAAAAAAACACCTGGTGGTTGATTGGCAACAGGTCAGTAACATGGCTGGGTATAAAAAGAGCATCTCAGAGAGGCGGAGTCTTTCAGAAGTAAAGCGGGGGTTCACCACTCTGTGAAAGACTGCACGGTCAAATAGTGCAACAATTCAAGAATAACGTTTCTCAGAGTAAAATAGCAAAGAACTTTTGCTTTTCATCATCTACAGTACATAATATCATTAGATTTAGACAACCTGGAGAAATCTCTGTATGCAAGAGACAAGGCTAAAAACCAATATTGGTTGGCCGTGATCTTCGGGCCCTCAGACAGCACTGCATTAAAAACAGACATGATTCTTTAGAGGAAAATCACTGCATGGGCTCAGAAACACTTCTGAAAACCACCGTCTGTGAAAACAGTTCATCACTGCATCCACAAATGCAAGATAAAACTTACATTTGAAACCAGATACAGACAGGATCCAGAAATGCTGCCACTTTCTCTGGGCCTGAGCTCATTTAAAATGGACTTAGGTGAATTGGAAAAGTGTCCTCTGGTCTGACAAATCAACATTTGAAATTCTTTTTGGAAATCGTGGGTTAGGGTTAGGGTTCTATCACTTTCATATCACTTTCAGAACTACAGCTGTTGGTCTCCTCAGTTCCCAAATGCTTACAGAATGTTGTTAAAAGAAGAGGTGATTAAACACAGTGGTAAACAGGCCCCTGTCCCAACTTTTTTGGAACATGTTGCTGCCATCAAATTCAAAATGGGCATGTATTTTTCAAAAAACAATACATTTTCTCAGTTTCAACATTTTTATTTACAGTCCGCACAGCGTCCCAACTTTTTTGATAGGGAATAGATACACATCACAACGGATGTGATGCACAAAGTTCAGACAGTAATGGTGGAAATGATGTTTACAACACAGTCATACACACCAAGCAAGGAGGTGTCGATATAGTTCACTGAAAGCGAGAGAAAGGAGGTAAAAATACAGAAAGCACAATAGAGCAAAGTAAGAGAAGTTAAAAACGCAAGAACCGAGATATAGATGTACACAACTTTTTAACCATTCTATTATATGTGCTATTTTAATGCAATTTACTTTACAAGTTTTTCTATTTTTTAATTAACTCCGTTCGAAGAAAGGGGAGTTCACTGATCCTCTCAAGCTGAATGAACTCAAAAAAACTGTGAAGTAAGTTGCCTTAAAGTTTAAGTTGACCCAACTATTCTTTCTTTTTTCTTTTTTATCTCAGGCCACCTGGAAATAAAAATAAAAGCTATTTATCTGGGTATTCTGCTGCTTTACCCCGCTCACATTGATACTATAGCACCCTTGTTGCTTTTTTGCCTGTGGTCATCCTCAACCTAGCTGATGAAATTAATGTTTCTCATGAGATAAATTGTCTCCATAACTGTTCACTGTAAAAAAAGATGTAGATGCAACTTGTTTAACTTAAACAAGTAAGTAACCTGGTTAACTTAAAAGTTTGAGTTAATTGAATGAAATTAATATTAAATTAAGAAGAATAATTTGTTTTTTACATTTCTTAAATGATTTGAAATTCAGTGAACCTAAAATTTTACGTTAAAAAGTTGCATATTTTTTTACTGTGTTATTTACGCAAGGTCCTCCATTCTGTTGATGCACATAAAAGCTACTTGAGCACTAATAGCTCCCCCTTGTGGAGAACCTTCTCCCTGTTAAACTGTCAGTGTGAGTTACAAGCCAACTCCACAAGGTGTATAGATAAGATGAAAACACTAAGTCTATTTATATACATATAGTTTTATAGATGTTATTGCAAAAACACACAAAAAAAAATCATTTTTTTATTTGTACTGTATTTATATTTACTTGTATTTATTCTAATGCTAAAAGTTTTCACTGTCAGAAACACTCTTATTGCCAAGATAAATGGCTTTGAACTATTTTCTAATATGACTTTTGCACAGCACTGTATATCAATCAAAAACTTTTATGTATTTAGCAGAAGAACAGCCGTTTATTTCAATATGATTGTTTCTTCTTTTTTGCTTGTAATAAGTGATAGGGCAGCGCCCCAATGCCAATAATGGACAAACGCTCTTGATATGTGATAGTAAACATTCCTCTGTTTAAAACACAATTTTAAATACTATTATTAATAGTATTATAATATTTTTTAGTTTAGTTTTTATATATTTTTATGACAGTGTTTCTATGAGTGAATCATATTTGTGTGTGTGTGTGTGTAGGAGGTGTACCTGCACTGTCGGGTGCTGGTGTGCGGGCAGGGTGAGTCTCGCTGTGCGCAGGGCTGTCGTAGACGACTGAGAAGAGAAATCTGGACCGAGCAGCACCAGGAGAAACATATGCTGACCGGCGGACCCATCTTCATACTGCCAGACCCCTGACACCCACACTCCACACTCCACCATCACTCATTCACCTTTGATCTTGACCTGTGCTGAATAATTAAAGGGGAATTCCATCAATTTTTCTTCATAAATAAATTGTTAAGATGCAAACAAGGCCATTCAGAGTGAGGATGGATGTAAAATACATCCTCACCTGCATCCACAGTGCTGCCTGAGTTATGATATTTTATGATAGTTTTATCTTAAGATTTTAGCCAAAGATGGATTTTTTTTGGTGCGGAAAGGTACATGCAGGGTGTTCTAAGGCAAAAGAAAACTCAAAGATTCTTTTTTGTTGTACCAGTAATTCAGCATTATCAGCCTAAAAAACTCAGAAGGCCCATCAAGGTTATTTTGGATAGAATGGCTATATGTGCACCGAAGACACTGCGATCCCTGGTTCCTATCACCACCACTGTAAAGAAATTCATACAGTGCTCCATTTCTTATTAAACCAATCTGAGTAACTTTGTTTATAGCTCAACTATTGGATTATTCAGAAATGTTGAAAATTTGGTGGAATACCCCTTTAATTGTTTTTATCAACATCACAGTTTTGAAAAATGCTATTTTCAAATTACAAGCATTGTAATTTTAATTTTAGCTTATATTATAAACAGTGTTGTCTTACATTTCATATGTGCATGAAGTCAGCCTGATAAGACAGAGCTTATTAACCGTCTGTAGATGAGTTAGACCAACCAAAGCAAACAAACACCCCTGTGCTGTGTATGTGGCACTGCTACAACCGTCCGGCACACTGCCTTCAATGATCAAACCTGAAGCCTGAAAAAGTGATTGTGACCAGGCCTGGAACTCACAGAAAACCGTCACAATTTATATCGCAGTCTCAATATTGTTCAGAAAAATCACATTTAGGCTTCTAACCTGTATCGTTTAGCCGTAACCTGAGCTCTACAACTGCTCACTCAAACCTAATGACCCTATATCTACACACACCATATTAACCCCTGCACGCTCCAGCTGAGTAATCCCATCTGCAACTACAGAATGATTTCAGCTAATCTCTCACTCATCACTGTACACCTCCACCTCAGTTCATCCTCATCACACACGATGACATCGAATTTACACAGCGTTTAGAGAGAGACACACTTCATATAGATCTGATTCAGTGGATCAGCCAGCAGTGAATTCATCTTACATTATTCAGGCCTGTGAGTTAATGGATGCTCTGTAGCACTGAACTCATTCATTTCCCTTTACCAGTCAAATACATATAATCATAATAATAATAAACAGACACAAATAAATATGCACTTTTGAACAGTACTATGTATGATATATATATATATATATATATATATATATACACACATATGGTTCAGATCCAATCTCTGACATGATGGTTCACATTCATTTAGTTAAGTGACTCAAATCTCTCATTGGCTCTGTTTACATGCACAGATTTTTGCCAATCCAATTTAATACATATGAAGCGGTGAGAGGAAGACGTTGTGTTCTGAGACACATAAGTTGGACGTCCGTCCCACCGCCGTCTTTTAAAGATCAGAGACCAGTTTCTGCTCCGCCATGTTGAATGGTATAAACTCTCGCTATGACGCGACGAACATGATCAGAACGGACTTAAACTTTCAGGGAATGTAATCAGATACAGACATTTACACGGTTATTATTCTACTGTTTAACAGATTATTTACAGGATTACTCACCTCGTTCAGTCGGATAGAAACTGCATTCCGATTGGCCTCAATCGGACTAGTCTGTACAGATTGAGGTGTTTACATGGACGTATTCTATTCTGATAAACTGTAAACGTGGCTATTGATGTAAACGAAACTGTCTCATAAAACGACCCGCATGCGTATGTCTTAGTAAGGTCACGTAAGCAAATCATGTGATCACCAATGAACAGCAAACAGACTAACGAGCAGAACGAGCTTCGCTGTGAAGATAATTAACTCTGATCAGCTCTCAGCTTCATTATTAGAGCGAGACGAAGGAGAAAAAGGTGAGATGAGCTGCTTTTCCACCGTTTACAGGCTTTAACTTCTGTTTTGGCGCTGCTGCCATGGTAACGCTGAATGATTGGCGCAGGCACAGTGGGGAAAAAAAGCGCCTGAATTCTGATCTAAGCGTCACATTAAGGTCGCACGGCCACGAATCGGATACGTATCTGACTAGGACCACATATGAAAGTGCCCCAGGTTGAATTTGAAAAGATCGGATTTGCATGTTCACACAGTCCTGAAAACACATTAGTGTTTCAGTCACATTAGGGCAAAAAATCGGATTTGTGCCACTTCAACTGGGTAATGTGAACGTAGCCTTTGTGTCTGACTAAGACCTTGTATGACATACTGTTTCCTATAAAAATGGACTTAAGCTGAAACCATTTTAAGTGGCATTACTGAGTCAAGAGAATAAAAACAGGCTGGTAAACCATGAAATACTAATTTAAAAGTCTGAAGTGTTCTCGGGGAAGGGGTCCGAAGAGCATCCCGCTTCACAAAATGTTCTTCTGCAGCTTGTGTGCAATTACACATTTTCTCCAGAGAGGTCTCCAAATCCCCAAATATACTTACATAGTGTAGGTTTAATTTTAGTTGAATATTTATGGGTGATCCAGACTTAAAAAGTAGCCATTTCAAGCTTGATATGTGTTCAGAACTGCAGAATATAGTAAATGGACAAAATTAATGACGCTAACACAAATATAATTGGGAAGTCAGTGTTACATTTTAATAAATTACAAATATATTACATACAGTCAGAGCACACACTGACACTGAAAAGGTTAGGCATAATTTTGACTTTCAGCCACAGTCATACAAATTTGTCTACCTGTCCTTTTGCTGTTCTGCTTCGGTCAGAGTTATTATTCTATTCTAAGAATGTTGTTTTCATTATCACGTATCTTTTTGGGGGGCAATGTTTCTGGTTGAGAGCAGTATAATTCGAAAGGTGGAATACTAAAACTGTACACTGACTAGTTCTTCCACTGGGTGACTTCTCAAAGCTTAAACAGACCTGTTTTAAAACAGTAGCCCTATGGGTGTACTATATACAAGCACACAAAATCATAACCTATTTATCATCAATGTCCACAGATTTTTTTACTTTTCTGCATTATTTGAACACAGTAGCTCTCCTTTGTATTGTGTGGAGATTTTATGATGACTGGATCGGCAGAAACGCTCCAGAATTGTGTGGAATAACTTTCATTAACTTGCATTAAAAGTAAAGAAATGCCTTCTTCTGTAAAGTTACCATTTTGGAGATACTTGTTTTTCTTTGGACGGCGATGTTATATTACCCTGTAAGTAAAGCTATAACTTCATATATAACAATAAAGAGGAATGTCTGGAACTCTGTGGTTTGAGCTCCTTGTTCTTATTTGCCCAAAATGAGTCTTTTGATTCTCTCTTTGGAGTCCACTGAGCCTCGGCTGCATCCGTCTGCAGGGGTTTTGCGATGGTGTGTCGTTATGGTTTGCAGGAAGAGCTCAGGTTCTTACAGTTCATCCTTCTCCTCTCCCTCACAGATACACGCTGCCCTCTGGCCGTTCATGAAGGGTCTGCAGCCCAGAGTCCATACCGTGTTGTACATGGTGTCTGCAAACGTCTCACAAGCTGAGAGAGAGAACAGAACAGTTTACCCTGTCATCTAGGTAACATACAGTTTATCAGGAACTTTGTCCCTGTACTCATTGCACATTAACAGTCGACCCATTTACCATATAGATGCACTTCATAGATATACAGTTACTGACTGGAGCTCTGAATCTGTCATCTGGGGAAACAACAATCAGACACTTTTGTTTTTGTTGTTTAATATACCTCCAGTGAACATATCCACTTCCAGTTCACTCACATAATAACCTTTGACTTTGCACTTATAAATATGAAAAAACCAGTATGTATTCATGGCATAAATGAGGATATTATTGAATGAATTGTACGGACAGGGATATTTAAGGTCTTTGCTAGGCTCTGTAGCCTTTACTGTTGATGTTGATCCTGAGAACCTTCACCTTCACCATGACTGGTACTTGTGTGAAATCTTCTCAACCAATAGCACTTTTATAATGACGCCACGTGTGATTTAATTAACAGCATTACCATCTAAATATCTAGAGCTTGATTTAATTTTATGTAACCTTTCTATACATACAGTCACATGCAAAAGTTCGAACTCCCTGATCAAACTAAACGTTGATTTTCTACGTGAAAATAAGTTAACGCATCCTCTACAGAGAACATACTTAAACATAGCATTTATTCTTCAAATGTTAGTGAACAATTTCAGACATATTTGAAAAAATAAACCATAAAGTAATACCTGTGCCAAAACTTTGTTATGTACAGGACATATTTTATATATTTTTTTTCTCCAATGTGTTAAATTCAGCCAATAACAGTAGTTGTGCATTAAAATATGTGTTCTCTGTAGAGGGCGTGTTCACTTAGGTTCATTTAGAAAATCAACAAGGATTATGTTATGATCTGTTTGACCAGAGGTGCCAGAACTTTTGCATATATATATGTATACAGTGCTCAAAGGTTGTTTATTAATTTCATTAAATCAAAAAAGCTACAACAATCAGCAACAACAAACATGTTTACTAACTGAAACTCTAACTCGACTCCATAATTACCTGAAAACTTATGCAAGGCGAGTAAAAGTCCTCAAACATTAGAGTCTCTTTCCTCTATGTAGGTCAGTATTTTGTATTTTTTAGGTCAGCTTATTTGGTTGCATATTCTTTCTTTTGGAACAACAGCTTAAAGTTTCTGGGCATGAGTTTACACAGCTGATGATCAACTAGGCTTGTCTGGGTTTTCTCTTGTGGATGTCCAGAGGCAGAGTCTGAACACTTCAGGCCTCTTTCTGACACTTTAGTATATTTTTCACTCCTGATTTTGGTATTTGGTATTTTTCACACTGATCTCTCAGTGTGTCTGTAATCTTTCTCACAGACTCCTTTATTACCAAGAGACCGTGGGCCTCTTTCACCAATATTACGTTTTTTCTTAAGTGTGTTCTTGAGAAAGGTCCTAAGAAAAAGTCTACGTCAGATTCACGACGTGTTCTTGAAGCGCAGAACTGTTCTCACCTTTGTGCTCTTGAGTGTGGATAGACTCTGTTCTTATGTACGAACAAATCCCAAATAAGAAAACACTGGCGAATGTCAGAATCTTGTTGAAAACTGCGTAAGTGGGGTTTAAGAAGAAAATTGTTCTTAACGTTTGGTGAATGAGGCCCAATATTTTTTTTGTTGGATAAATTTAACTCGATATTCAAGTTTTCTTCAAAATTCTACCTGAAATTTAGAGTCAGTCATGTCAGACGGTGAGCTGGAGATCTCTGGTTTTAACATTTGGATTAGTTTTCCAACATTTATTCTGAAGTAAAATGGGGGTTTAAATAAGTTTTATAGCTTGCTATTGTTTAGTTGGACTCAAAGTATCGATTGATAAGTCATAATATAGCGGACATTATGTAATTTTGAATACGGTAAAGCACAGATTCAACAATTCATGAAATAGTAAATCATTCTAAAAGACAAGTGATAGAAGTGTCCCAAAAATACTTCTGAGCACTGTATATAAAATATAATCTTTTTTTATTGTCACTGTCCAATGAAAATCAAGTATCTCCAAAATAGTAACTTTACAGGAGAAGGCAAAAACACTCCTTTCAATGTAAGTCAATGTAAAAAGATTTTGTTCAAAAGTGATTTCAGAGCATTTCTATTGGTCCATTCATCATCAAATTGCTTGCACAGCGTAAAGGACAACTGGTGTTTTGAAATGATGTAGACAAAAATGGAGATACATGGTTTTCTTTGGACAGTGATGATATGTTTGCATTGGAAATGTTTCAGTAACCTAAACAAAAGTGTCTGAATACTGAACCTCCCTCACTGTATAATGTTACATATCAAACGTTTGAAAAACAGTATTCAAACAGGGCGATTTCCCCTCACATTTTTAATCTTTCTAGTGTTTTTGACATTTTCAGAGGCATTTCTGCCTCGAGCCCTGAGAGCGACGGTGTAAGAGGAAGAACAGATGTTTGCAGATAACACACAGAAGAGCAGTGAAATGGAGTGACTTCATAAACTGAAGCTCTTCAGAAACTCATAAAGGCCGCTATCTTGTTTACCTCTCTGCACTGGAGTGAGTGTGCGAGTCGAGGGTGCGTGTACGGGAGTGTTTCTCACCTTCGACCTTTGACATAAAGCCCAGGCTCTTCTTCAGGTCGCTGCAGATGCCGTGGAGACACCAGCGGAACTTGGTGTCGCAGCGGTACTTGTTGGAGCCGCAGGTGTCGTAACACATGTCCAGCTGGTTACAGCACTTGGTCATGGCCGGGATGCCCATGTCAAACTGTGGAGGAACAGTGTGTGGATTTAGTTCATGCTGGGTTTAAAAGCTCCGGTCAGGCAGAGTCTGTTTTCATCAACTTGCTGATGTGTTAACATCACTTTTAAAGACCTCACCATGCCTGACTTGACAATGCAACTACTGTGTTTTAAGAGATACACGATAGCACTTCTTTCTTTTCTGATATCGATACTGACAGCCTGCAAAACGGCTGATACTGATACCATTTCCTTTCTTTTAACCCTTTAACAAGCCTCACCGGCAAAGGCTCACTGATGGGCTTAAAGTTTTATAACACACTTGTATAACCTACAATTAGCAAGTGATTGATAAGTGATCACATCCCCTACAGGGAACCCACTTCTGCGCATTTTAATGCTGAATTTAACATAAAATAAAAAAATACAAAGGCCTCTGCAGAAGTTATGGCACATCTTATTTGTGTTTTAATTTCCACTGTTGTTAAACATATAAATAAAAATTGGGCACAAAAGTTGCAGAAAAGTGTCAAGTTTGTTCCCTGTATAGGTTGTTTTAACATTTTTAACTTAGAAAATCAACAAAGTGGTAATAGACCAGAGGTGTTCAAACTTTTGCATATGAAGATGGAATAAGTTTTTTTTTTTTTTTGGAATTTTGGACTATTTTTATTGGTCCATTCAAATGAAATTTTACCCTAATGTAAAGCCCAGATGCTGTTTTCAAATTCTAACAAACAAGCAAACAAACAAAAAAAAACTGAAATGGAAGGTTTTGCCCCATCGTTGCATCACTATTTTGTCATTTATATCACTTACAGTGCAAAATTAGATGATCTGAAATGCAAACTGCTACTCATTGTTCTTAGGCTAATGCTAATGCTATCCTACATATTTCTACTGTCCTTGCATGAACTTCTTTACTTTGCTTCACAATATATTGCACTACAAGCAATTCTGTGATAATTTCATGCTAAATAAAAAACAGAATCAGACTGAAAAAAAGCATAAAATACAAAATGTGCCATAACTTTTGCACAGGCTTCATGTTTTTATGTTTTTAGAAAATCAAGAAACAATGTAATTTGACCAGGGGTTCCCAAACTTTATTGAATATTGAGTATTTTCTTACTGCAATTTTTGTATATTGTGTATATTTACAGCGGGGTCCAAAAGTCTTAGACTACATTATTATTATATATATTAACATGACCTTCTTTACTTTGCTTCACAATAGATTGCACTACAAGCAATTCTGTGATAATTACATGCTAAATTTGTTACAGAATCTGACTGAATTTGCCATTTTTTCCTCAGATACACAATCCAGCAAGTTCTGCCGGTATTAATCCGACACTCATACTGGGTATCAGTGCATTCTCGAACATTATTTTCATAGTAGTTACAGAATAATTTATATCAGTAACAGAATGATGTATAGTAGTTACTGAAAAACATTATAAGATTAAAAACTTATGTTTTTAAAAACAGAAGAGAAAGAACACCAAGGATTAACACTGAATGCCTAAAAACACTGAAAATATGAACAAACTACTTACCAGGTAGCTCTCGGTCATGATTACATGTTCTTGCATTCAATACAAGACAAACTGTAAGGCCAATGTGCCTCATCCAGCGTAAGATTATTATATTTATAACGTACTACACAGCGGAAATGTATCTCTATTTGATGCAGGTTGTTAGTCTATGTTAGTCTATGTTAATCTATGTTAGTGGTGATTCAAGAGACACATACACTTTCCGGTACCTGGAAACCAAGCAGGGAGGATGTGCAGCCATTGGGTTCAGGAATCTGGTAGCCTGGGCGGGCCTGAGGAGCTTTACCTACAACCAAAGTGACTGTTTGATGAAGATGAAAAGCACCTCAATAAAATCGCCAAACACACACACTGCGGTCTTCATTTGGACTGATTGAGTGGTCACTGAAACAGTTCAATCCCAGCTGCAAACGCAGGTTAGGATTTGTCCTGTAAGCGTCAATCATAGATTAGATTCATCACTATCTACTATGAAGTAAGAATCTATCAGCAATACCTGAACTTTGTCCACGTCAAGCTGAAGCTCTGCTCTGTGTGGCGGCGCTACTCTGTTCATACTAATCTGATACTGAAGCAGTCGTTTTGTAACAGTTGGCAAACATTTAACTCTCCAACATTGATTCAATCCAGCTGTCAGCTTTTCAAACAGCTGTTTGAACGTCCCAAAGCAGACTTAGACTTCAGGTTTGACAGCACGACTTTGAGGTGTGTTCACTGAAGAGTGGTGAGATCGACAGAAAGCAGAATCAAACCACCCACTGGAGGCACGTCTTGAGTCTGAGGGTGTCAGGATTGAGTTTGGCTTGGTGAAGCTACAGCACTGGGAGAGCAGTGTAAAACAATGTGTTCTTAAATCATCCATGTCAGTTTCAGCAGCCTGTGATGTTGCTGTACTGTGTCTTAGGCCACCTGAAAAATGTGTATTTAAAGCTCTTTGTTGAACATATTTGTCATTTTTGTCATATTTGACATCAGAATAAGTACAAATAAACATCAGTACAAGAAATTATTATTTTATGTCTGTCATTATGTCGGCTTAATCCTTTCCCAACCTGTCCTGGAGATCTAGATTGTACCAGTTTTAACTAGTCATTTCTTCATTGGGTTATACTTCATTAAGTAATGTGTGGAGAACCAAACCTGTGTCCAGTCAAGTCTTTTTTACTTTTTAGCATAAATAGACTTTTTAGTCTATTTGAACTTATTTGTATTTATTCTAAAGTTATAAAGGTATAAAGCCCCATCAAATTACTTTTTTGCTGAAATTCCAAGTAAAGGTAAGTTAACACATCCTCTACATGATACAAACTAACATACACACAACTTAAATTAGTGCACGATTTCTGTTTGCTGAGTTTAACGTATTCAAAAATAAAGCATAAAATACAAAATGTGCCATAACTTTTGCACAAGCCGCATTTCATGTTTTTAGAAAATCAAGAAACCATGTAATTTGACCAGGGGTGCCCAAACTTTCTTGCATATTGAGTAATTTTTTGTATATTGTGTATATTTACAGTGGGGTCCAAAAGTCTTAGACTACATTATTATTATATATTTTTTTCATTTAAACCAGATAATAAACAACAGAATGATTTAGAGTCCTGAAAAAACAAAGTTGTGACAAGGAAAATGAAGAAGAAATATAACTATAATAAAAGTCTTGCACAGGCCATATTTTTAAAATATTTTCATTTCAGCAAATCAAAAATAATTTTGCATTCATACATGCAGAAGCGTGTTCTCTGCAGAGGTCGTCTTCACTTATTTTCATTTTAACAAAACATTGAATTTGACCAGGGGCGCCAAACTGTTTGCATACGATTGTAGTTTCCAGATAAATACTCATAATTAACTGTCACATTAAGACTTTTGCCCACTACTCTATTCTGGATAAAAGAAAACAAAATCCCAGCGCTGTTCTCACCGAATCTACAGCGGTACTGGCACACGCCGTTGCGGCCCCCCATCAGCTCCACCACTGAGTCGAAGTAGCCGTTGACGGCCTGGAAGCTGTCCCGGATGGAGCCGAAGCCCCAGTCAGACTCCTCATCTGTGGCCTGGGTGGCTTCAGCCTGAGCCTGGCCTTCTTCCACAGGGGAGTCAGCCTGCACTGTGTTAGCCCCTATAGGGTCCACGAGAGGGTCCATTTTTGGTGCGTCGCCCACTAGAGGGTCAGAACCCACAGGGTCCCCGGCTGGCACCTCTTCAGCCGAAGCTGAGCCGATGAGGGTGGCAGCCAGGCCTGTGGAGAGGCAGAGCAGGAGCAGGACAGCACAGCGGGGAAACATGGCGCTGCTGGGAGTCCCAAAGGTCCTGAGGGAAGAGAGACCGTCAGTGGAGTGAGAGGACGACACACCGAGCAGCACAAACAAGCCTGGGGCTGAAGTGCGTCGTGGACAGGACTTCGACCTCTGATTAGATCAAGCAGACAGCGAGGCAGTGGCTGGTGATAAGGTCAAAGGGCAACACGCCCTATCTCCTGCTAAGGGCAGGACAGAGAGCACGCGGCCCTGTTAGCACCGTAGAGCTAAACAACTTTTAATCCTCACTTCACTTCCGTTATCTGACATTTTCCTCTCTTTTATGCTACAGTGCACAATTTCTGCCAAAAGCCTTGATCCTATTGTCTCCATTTCACTCATACTGCAGCACCACTGTGCTCTGAAACTCAAAGACAGAAGCTTCGTTCATCTGGAATACAAAACGAGTTAGTTTGACTCAGCAGAGTCATATTTACACTGAAAAATGAAATTGTGGTGGCCTGGGATGAAAAAATGAGCTGAACTACACAAAAAGATGGTTCTTTAAGGGTTCTTTAGTAAAGAAAATGGAACCACGAACACTCAACAAATCGCTTTGCATGATTAAAAGCTACTTAACATCATGAAAGCGTTCTTCAGACTGATGGAGAATGTGTTTTATATGGTTCTATATGGTTCTTCAATGGTTCTCAAGTAAAGAAAATGGCTCTATATAGAACCATGAACACTCAAAGAACCCCTTGCATGACTAAAGGCTTCTTTGCATCATCAAAGGGTTCTTCAGACTGATGGAGAATGTGTTTTATATGGTTCTATATGGTTCTTCAATGGTTCTCAAGTAAAGAAAATGGCTCTATATAGAACCATGAACACTTAAAGAACCCCTTGCATGATTAAAGGCTTCTTTGCATCATCAAAGGGTTCTTCAGACTGATAGAGAATGTGTTTTAAATGGTTCTATATGGTTCTTCAATAGCTCTTTAGTAAAGAAAATGGTTCTACATGGAGCCACGAACACTCAAAGAACCCCTTGCATGATAAAAGGTTACTGCAGATTGATGGAGAGTGTGTTTTATATGGCTCTATATAAAACCTCTTTGAAAAGGGTTCCTTTTGTTGTTACAGGCTTGACATTGTAACAATAGAAGAGCCTTTTTGGTGCTATATAGAACCCTTTTCAAAAAGGTTCTATAAGGAACCATCTACAACACATTCTCCATCAATCTTAAGAATCATTTAATGATGCAAAGAATCCCTTTATTCATTCAAAGGGTTGTTTGAGTGTTCATGGTTCTATATAGAACCCTTTTCTTTACTAAGGAACCCTTGAAGAACTGTTGTTTGTAGGGGTGTAATACAGATGCGCCACAGGCCACGCCTGTTTTATTTTCACTGTAATACCAGACGTCTGAAGTTTGTACCCTGATGAAAAAGGGACTGTTTGTGTTGTTTTATGTTTGTCGTTGTCACTTTGTGTATTTGTGTTTATTGTGTTATTATGTGTCAGGATGTGGGTTTAGCTGGGGGTTCTGTGTGTGAGGAGGGGTCAGGGTGAAGTGTGTGGCTAGCGGTGACCACCCTGTGGTTTTGGTGTCCTGTATGTGTCCCTTTCTGCCGATGTGTTCAATACCAGTGCTTAAATATGCCTTGTTTTGCTGTTGATAAGCTATGCTGGCATGTCCAGCAGGTCAGACACCTGTTTAGCCAATGTTTCTTCTGAAAAGGCTTTACACTAGACGTTGAAACATTGCTGTGAGGGTTTGATTGCATTCAGCCGCAAGAGCATTAGTGAGGTCAGCTACTGATGTTGGATGATCAGTTCTGGATCACTCTAACTCTTCCCAAAGGTATTGGATTATTACTCCTCTAGCCTTGTGCTTCTCATACCAGTCCTCAGAGACCCTCGAAATTGAAGTCAAGTCGAAGTAGCCAGTAACAGCCTGGAAGCTGTCCCACAGTTGGAATCCTCCTCTGGGACCTGGGTGGGTTCACTCCGTCTACAGGGGATCAGCCTGCACCATGTTAGCCCCTACAATTTCCACGACAGGGTCTATATTTGGTGCACCAGACAGTCACATTATTCACCCAACTCCCAATGCAGAGGCAAAAATATGTCCTGTCTGGGGGTCCCTGCGGACTGGTTTGAGAACCACTGCTCTAGTTGACACTTAGCATTGGACATAGTGACCTTAGGTTCATGTGCTGCTGCTCCAGAGCATCCCATTCTATTGGTCAATTGTTTTCTATGCAGATTATAGGCCTACAAGCTGTGTGTGCACAACTGAACTCCTGAGTCAGCTACGTGTGCCTTAAAGTAGCTGAATTCACTAATTAGAGGTGCTGTCAATACATTTGGACATATAGTCCCTATAGTATTAAACAGGAGCTAATTTGTATTTAGTTATGGGAGTGAGTAACAAGTGTGGGCATACATGTGAGCCTTTACAGTATAAGAGTTCAAGATTAAGAACTGAGCAAGCCTCAAGTTTAAGAGGTTAAATATAAAACCAGGCTATGTAAGTTTGGATGTGAATACAGTTTGGAATCCATGATTGGGCAACGTATTGCAATACCTTACCAAGGCTTGGAGTACATCTGGAGGGAAAACTGACTCCACAAATACAATCAATGAAAACCAGTGAATGACCAAAGGACAGTATTGTCAGCTGCAATAAAACTGACCTTATGAAGAACACCTGGCACGTCCTTGTCTGCATTTGATATTAGTCACAGAGTTTTTTCATCAACTGGCCGGCCTGCCATGTTGCTGGATCCAAAAGTGCATGATGTAAGAAAGGAGCTGATATCAGCAACTTTATTTAAAGCCAACCTATGACTGATAAGGCATACGTTTTATCTTCAAGCCAACTTTACACCCTCTATCATTAGCACAAATATTCTCTGAGTAATCATCATTCTTGGTATATTGGTGCCTATTCGGAGTATATGAAGGTCTTTTTTTTAGTATAACAACCCATGACCTGTCTACAGTACTGTGTAAAAGTCACACCACTAAGTACAGCCATTACTTTTTTTTTTCAGAAAACAATGTGAACTTGATTTTAAATGCTTTTAAATTGTGCATTAATAATTTATTTAATTAGAAAAAAATAATATTAGAATAAATACAAATAACATCAATTAGTAGTGATTTAATGTACGTCACTGTGTTCACTTGACCATTACGAAAGCTCTCCTTGTGGAAGCCCAGTATTATTTGTAGTTATTATCCAATATCTGGTTTCAGGTGAATCAGGTGTGCTACTGATGGAATTGAACAAACTGATGAAATTTAACAAAACTGGCACACTAAAAATGTGTTTCACCACAATAGAAACAGTTGACTTGCTTGCTCACCAATGGAGACGAAAATCCACTTCACTTCCTTCAAAACAGACAAAAATGGTCTTATAGCTACTGTAAAAAAAGGGGTTAAAGACAAGTTGAAAACTACAAAGCATCTACATGGACTCTCAAAATACAGTGTGTTACTGAAAGTTGGTATTCAATGACAGAAATTTTGAAATTTGATAGAATTTAAGTACACGAGTGATGTCCCCAAGTTGGGACTTTCTGTAAAATACAATAAAAATAAGAATCTATAATTTGCTTATTTTCTTGAACGTTTATTTAACTGACAAAAGAACAGTTAAAGTTTTGGTTGACCAACTTGATTGTATTTTTTAAACATAAACAAATTTTGAATTTGATACCTGCAACACCCACATAGTTGGGACGGGGAAAATAAGAGTGAACAGTTTATAAAATATTTAAGTTACACCATTGAAGCATTCCACAACAAGCAGGTGAATTAGTAACAGGTAATCATGGTTGGGTATAAAAGGAGCCTCCACCAAAGGTTCAGTCTTTGTAAGTAAAGATGGGTCATGGCTCACCACTTTGTGCCAAACTTTGTGAGAGAATTGTCAACAGTTCAAAAAGAATATTTTATATCCTAAATGCAGGATTGAAAACAATTTTGGTCTTTCTTCATCTACTGTACTGTGAAAAGATTCGAGGAATCTAGTGAAATCCTGGTCTGTGTAGGGCATGGCCAGAAACCACTAATGAATTTGCAGGACTTTCAAGCCCTCAGATTGCACTGCATGAGAAACCATCATGCTATTGTGTCATACAGCCACGTGGGCTTAGGAGTACTTCAAAAACCGTCACTTAACAGAGTCCACCGCTGCATCAAGAAATGCAACTTGAAACTCTGTTACACAAGTAGAAAGCCATACATCAATTCAATGCAGAAACACCGCCAAGTTCTCTGGGCCCAAGATCATCTCAGATGGTCTGAAAGAAATGTGTGCTGTGGTCCGAGAGTCCACATTTCAACTTGTTTTTTGTGTAAAACGGACGTCGTGTTCTCTGTGCCAAAGACTAAATGGATCATCCAGACTTTGATCAGTGAAAAGTGCAAAAGTCAGGGAAAAGTCAGGGAAAACACTGGGAATCTTGTCTTTGTACTTTTGTCAGTTAAATAAATGATCAAGAGAATAAAAAAAAAAATCACAGATTCCTGTTTTTTGGTTTGTAATTCAGTCAATACAAGTTTTAAAGTTTGATACCTGGTCTTACTTTGTGGTTATGGCTGCCTTCCAGAAAGCTTTAGCTGCACTTTATTCTCGGTTCTTGATTGAGTCAAATATTAATCAGCTTTCACTGGTGGAGAAATTTCTCCTTATGGAAGATCAACAACATGCGCTCCTCCTCTTGCTCTCAGAGGAATCCCCAACATCATACGAACTACTCCATCTTTTATACATGACCTCTGATGCACTTCATCACTTTACTTGGCTAGCTGGCTAGTTAGCATGCTAAAGTCTACATAGCTAACAACAAGAAGGAGAGAGACAATGCAGCATAGTTCAACACCGAGTTGATAGCCAGACAAAGATATTATTCACAAGTTTTATGTATTTCATGTTCAAACGTCTAAAAAAACGTGTTTTGCATTGCAAAGTTTGCATGTCTAGCTGCTAAGTTCACTGAGGCTGACAAGCTGAGGGTGAATCTGCTCTGTTTGACTGTCCCCCCCTCCAAGGGTATGTTAAAAGTATTGAAATGAGACCCCTAGAGTCTGCAGTTGTGTATTGTCTTACCTGATTGAATTCAATGCCCTCTGAATGGCCTCAAAGGGTACAAAATATATTCAACATGTGTTTTAACTTCACTTTAACAATCCAAATGCTGTGGATGTCAAACTCTGAACCACATTTTCCCAGAGACACTGCATACATCACAGCAACAAACCATTTACTGTTCCCCCGTCACTGTGGAGAGCAAGGCTGTGACACCTGTGTGTTACTCTATATGACTGAGAAACATGCAGCTTATTCATTACATTACCACCATTAGCACACTGCAGCTGATTATATGACCTCACCATCACTAAAGAGAAACTCATAAACCCCTCACAGATGTTTAAACAGAATCTCAAGCCACAAGGGTACAAAAGGTAAGACGTTTTATTGATTAAGAGCTCTATTCATCTCTATTTACTGTGGCCCATATCTTCTCCCACACCAGCCTAAAAAAGAAAACAGGGGTGAACAGTGCACAGTCTAAATGTGTCATGATGAGAGTAAAGAAAGAACAAAGTGATACTTACGCTTTCGTCTCCTCACCGACTTTTGCTCTGTGCAGGACCTTTGAGATGTTCTCTTCAAGATCCTTCAAAGGAAAGAATGATAGAAAAACTCAAAGAAAGCTGCTTTATGAAAAACTTGGTTCTTTGGCTTCATATACCAAACCTGAAGTACAAAATCTGGATGTGATCTTAGACTCTGAGCTCTGTTTTATCCCGCATGTAAACGCAGTCACTAAAGTAGCTTTTATCATTTGAGAAATATCACTAAAGTTTGGCCTTTTCTATCTCAGAGTGACGCAGAGAAACTTGTTTATGCATATGTTAAAAGCAGAGTTGATCACTGTAATGATCTTCTTAATGGACTTTCTAAGAAAACAAACATCCCTTACAACTCATACAAAATGCAACAGCATCCTAACAAAAACAAAACAGAGAGATCAGATCAGTCCCACTTTAAATGAACTGCACTGGCTGTGTGTATCACTCAGGATATAGTTTAAAGTTCTGCTAATAGTTTTTAAGGCTCTAAATGACCTTAAAGCACCGCTTTCATCACAGAGTGTCTGTCCATTTATAAACTTAGATCTGTGGATACTGACCTTCTGCAAACACCTTGAGTAAAATACAGAAAACATGGAGAGCCTCGTTCAGTTACTCTGCTTCTAAATTAATACTTATAATTTCTGGTATTACTGTTAGGCTTTATCTGCTGTCTGTAAAGCACTTTGAGCTGCCACCAGCATGAAAATGGCTATATAAAAAAAAAATATAATGAAAAAAAAACGAGGCAATTAAGTAAACTAATTTACAGTCCCCCCCCCACCTTATCCAGCAAAAGCAGTTACCTGTGGCTGCACAGCTCTTATGTAGTCACCCAGTGTAAAGTATGTAGCTATGAGAGTGAGGAATGGTAGTCTTTGAGTTTGAGGGGATAAAAATGAGCAGGACAGAGTGTTCATCTTGCCTTAATGGTGCTCCTTAGGTTCCCACTTGAAGCAATGAGACGCATGACTTCAGCCTATAGACAGACACAAAGAAGCATCTGTATTTAGTGTTTCATTAGCTGGGGACGCAATGTTATGTTCACTTCATGTCAAAAAAAGGCTTTAAAGAGGAATTCAGTCATGTTTTAACATTTCTGCATAATTCAAATCACTGAGATGTGAACCAAGTAATTCTGAGTTCTGACGTGAAATGATTTGTTGCAGATTCATTGTTTTTGTTTTTACAGTGGTGGTGATAGGAACCGAGGGGGTGCAAATACAGCCATTTCATTTACTATTCAAAATGAATCTTCAAAGTGAATCTTCACCTGTCTTTCATCATTCTTATAAATGTTAATGGTAAAATCTAAAAATATAAGATTTAATTGCATTTTCCTGCATGAAAAACACATTTATTTATTTTGTTACACATCATGGATCCTACCAAACTTTTGACTTGGTGCCCCATATAAGTACATATATTTGCTCATATAAAAAATATATACGTAATATGTGATGTTTTAAAATGTAGGTCCTAAATATATTTAACTGTGCCAATTTTGAATATTTAAATATATGACAACATATGCATATATGTAGATACAATATATGTCCATTTTTAATATTTGCATATATGCCAAATGGAAATCTTATAAATATTATGGGAATATATGTAAATATTTTACAAACTTGACACACTTTGTATTTGATCTATTACACATTCAGCAGGGAAATCAAGGTAATGTTTGCGCATTTGAAGCAATTAAATTGTTCATTGCAAGTATTTATATATATCCTGCATGTATGTCTCTGCTATGAAAGGCTTTTAAAAAATTACATTATCTCAACACTATCTTCCACAGCATCTTAGGCATCAGGTGTATTCATAACCATTTCATGTAATACCATTCTGTGAGGGAGCTTTTAGAGGTGGACGTCTGGTTCCTATCACCACCACTGTGAACAATTCTGACTCTGTAAGTTTTTCTAGAACGGAGCGTTTCACAACAAACCACTCTGAATAAATCTGTTTATCTTAATTTCAGAAATTTTGAAAAATCCCCTTTATGTACTTTTGTGTCTTGTATGCTTCCCTCGAGGGAGCTGGTAGTGACAGTGGACACCATCGTCTCTCTAATTTCCTTCTGCAGCCTCTGTACTTCCTTCCACACACTCCACACCTCCTGCCTTTTAGACTCCACTTGTGCCATGGAGGAGACCTCAGCCTCGCTCTGCTTCACATCTGGGAACAAACCTTCCTCAACAGCTGTGAGGCCACACTGACCAGAGCCTTCGGATCCCCTGACTCAAGAGAAAAAGCACATACAGACCATGTCAAGCTCTACAGCATTCAAAATTAAGGTGCCAAAATGGGTTTTTCAGAGCAATGCCACAGGAGAACCACTTTTAGTTCCAGAAAGAACCTTTCAGTGGTTCTCTAAAGAGTAACAGCAATTAAAGGGGCCATATCGTAGAAAAAAAAGATTCACCCCCTCTTTTTTAATGAGTAATATGTAAACTTCAATGTTTAAGTTTAAAGCATAAGTTAAAGCGTTCACTCTCCACACAGTCTATATATTTGAAAACTAAGCAGAAAAAAGCTTGTTCTAAATTAGTTATTTCTGTGATGTCAAACCAACACATTTAATTCAAAGGGATGAAGAGAGTTTGGAAAATGCTCATGTAAAAATGAATTAAGATGTTTTTTGGTACATAAATCAACATTATATGCATTATAAGGGGCTTTCAGGGAAAAAAGAAAAGAAAAATATAGCATATGTGCTCTTTAAGGTTTTTTCCTAGTAACATACATCCATGCAGTTGAAAGCTCCATCATAATAACATGAGCAGACAACTGCTGCCCCCTGGTGTGCAGCAAAGGTATTGAGGGGGCAACTTATTTTTTTACGGGAAAAAAGAAAAGCAAAACAGAAAGTAGGGCTGGACAATATGACAATATATATCATTATTGTGATAAATTATGTCACAATACCATACAATATGCATTTTCTGAACATAACATGTATATCGTCTGTACTTGCAGAACACTGACCATCTGCATGTTTCATTACAAAGAGAGCAAAATTAGTCCTTTTTAACTGGATTTAGTGCCAAATATTCAATAAAAATCATGGTTCTCTTTGAGTATTTTTTCAAAATGTAGCACTACTGGTTCTTTCTTCTCTATTACAACAGATCAGATGTCTGAAAATACTGTGAAATGTGTGAAATATTGTGACAGATTGTGTATTGTGAAGATTTCTTGAAGTATTCCAATATTAGATTTGTGCCTCATCGCCCAGCTCTGACGGAAAGTCACATAAAACAAGCACTGCCTTTCATAAATCACAGTGTATGGAATGGTTACAAGAAGGCAAATGAAAAGTGCTTAATTTCATACATAGTAAGTGGAACAGGGCAGAAGTGTTTTTGAGGTTTGAAGTGATGTACAAAACTGTAGTTCACCTACATTAACATTTAGTTTTGCATTGTTTCATTCTAAGTATTTATGTGAATAAAATCAATTAAATGGGTTGTTGCCACAAATTACCACAGTTTTTTTTAGGTTGAACTGACAATTTACAAAAACAGTGTACTGTTAGCCAGCGTGCAGCAATTTCTTTGTTTAAGTCATTAATTACTTTCACTCTAGCCCAGCTTATAAATAACGTTTATTATATATCAAAAGACAGATAGTGCTGCTAATGTAACAAACAGTCCTGAATTCTAAAAAGGAATATTTTGCCTAAGAAAACAATCTGTTACTGTGGCTTCTGACACAGTTAATGCACGAGTTAGTGCCGCCTCATACTGAAGCAATAATAAAAGGCACTGCTTAGAGGTTACTGCATGCAGTTATAGAAGTGACCCATATTAATACACTGATCAGTCTATTGCAACACCTAGACAAACAACTGAAAACTAACTACTGGCTTTGAAAAGTTACTGTACACAAGATAAAGACTTTATTATGCCAGTCTTCAAAACTATCGTGCCAGACATGGCGGCACGGCGTATGATTATGGAACTGGTCATTTTCATAACTGTGGAACTGGGAGAAAGGTGACTTTGTGGAGACTATTCAGGAACCAATGCGGCCTTAGAACCAACTGAGAGTGACATTATAAGGATGAACCCACATGGACACAGTGTTTGTTAACAGAATATATATGTCTAATACATATATATATATATATATATATATATATATATATATATATATATATATATATATATATATATATATATCTTAGTTAAGTCTTAGTTAAGCCGCAAGTGATTATGTGACTGTGTCGACCCTTTTTTTTTATGTTTCTGGTAGCGCTGCGATGGACTGGCAACCTGTCCAGGATGTTTCCTGCCTTTTGCCCAATGACAGCTGGTATAGGCTCCAGCACCCCCCGCGACTCAGAAGGATAAGTGGCTTAGATAATGGGTGTGTATGTGTGTGTGTGTGTTTCTAGTATTTTCAAAAATATTTTTGAATAAAATCTCTTCATTTATATTTCAATACAGGATCAGGAAAGACACTTTTACAAGAACGCTAATTTAAACTTGTGTAAATAATTTTTACATATTAACATATATTTCTCTTTGTAAGCTGCAGTTTTACAGTAAATCCCATTTTTTTACAGTGAATGTTGAGTTTTACTCTAAAGAGTTCTCGCACAAACACACCACTGTTTTCCATTTCTAACAATAATCTGACACCTGGTTACACTGCAGCTCAGTATTCACAGTCGGTGACATATCTAGAACTTCCAGAAGGCCTAGAGCATTTTTTTTCTCACAAATTGGTCTGATTGTAAATTAAAACATGAGTGGTTGTTATCACTGTCACTTTCTAGTTATGCTATGAAGTCCTAACCAATGGAAGATCTCGCTTGACTGAATCTACCTAGAAAAAAATTGGACAGTTTTCTGTTGGGATTTTCAAGAATTTGTTTCCAACCAAAGCAAAAATAAAATAAGAGTAGCACATAAATACTTGCAGAGTTTCTAATACAACAGGCCTGGTGAATATATTAAACAACAATAAACTAAAATTACAAATATGTTCTTTTTTATATCACAGAAATCATTAGGTCTTCTCCAAAGGCCTAAAAGGCCCTGAAGGTTTTCCACTGAAAAACGTTTTTCATAGTCATACCGTGGTGAATTACCCAACAGTAGTGATCTGGCCCTGAACGTTACTGAACTGGTTCAAGTAACTCACAGCTTGGTAAGATGGGCGACAGTTTTAGAGCTCTGTACCTTCTTCCTGTTGGTTTTCCATGTCTTTGGCCAGCATGTCCTCATACTCTGCTCTGACTCTGAAGAGCAAATTAGAGCATATGATTTAAGAAGTTCATTCTATCAAAATCTTTTGAAGAACTTGGACATGAAATCAGTCATTTCAGAATAGACTGAATCTCAGAATGATAATACCTGTCATTCTCCTCCAGAGCTCTCCTCGCTTTCTCTTCCAGTGATGACACCTGCTGTTCTGCTTCCTCTAACTCCCCTGATCCTGAGACGACTCCAGAGGGCAAAAATGCAGCCTAAACTCACACAAACACAGAAACATAATGGAATGAAAGAGAAGCCATGCCTGATTCGACAGATCTCTCAATCTAGAAAGAGTTTAAATGCAGCAAACAACACAATACTAGCATAAAATATAAAGTCTGAAGCCAATATTATATGGGTCATTCTCCATTTGTAGTGGGAAACCATGTCACAAAGGTTGCAGGGCTTAAAAAGATGCTTAAAATATGAGGCACAGCTCCAAAAGTCAGTATGTACATTTACACAGTTGACCTAAGATTGAATAATACTTTTTCCTTATGATTCTCTGATTTTTCTTTTTTTATGCTGATTCATAATCGCTCTGCATCTGTGAAAACAGCTCGTCACAAAACCAATTTTCAGCATTTGAGAAACAATTTTCTAAATAAAAGACAATATTTTTAAGTGTTTTAACTTAGGAATTTGTATAAAAAAGATTCATGTTTACTTTTTATATCATTAATGTTATACTACATTAAACAAATACATATTTTATTAAAAAAAATCATTTGTCACAGAGATTTGGGGTCACTGGTGTTATCAGGTCTCTTATATTACATATATAAGAGATTATATTAATTATTACATTAATTTAAGTTTTTTTCACAGTATCTTCAGCTCTATTAAACTGCTTCTTTGGGTCAAGGCTCATCAGAGAGGAGGCATCTCAAGGCATGAGGCGAGTCCACACTGGCTTATTATATTTCATTAATTTATTAAGAATTTTGTTTATCAGGCAGCTCAGAACTTCTATGTATCACCTGTGTTATTATAGAGCTTTAATGGCTGAGTAATTTGTCAAAATAATGGCAAATATCATTTTTATTACTGATTTTAAATAATTGCACAAGTTTCAGCCACAAAATCCTCAGTTTTAACCAGAATGTCACTGGAGTCACAGTCACTGGTGTTACACCATATTCATATAACACCAGTGACTGTAAAATAGGTTTGGAATTAAGCTCTCCTTTTTACATATATAATAATAGGAGATGTTAACGTACATATTAGTATTATTTCGTTTTGGGATGAAAGAAACTGATTTTTTAAAAATGTATCCACATGAACTCCCACTCCAAATGGAGAACGACCCATAACTCTGAAAAATGATTATGAAATACTTATGTTGGTTATTTGACTTTCTCCAACAAGTGATACAGTCATATGCAAAAGTTTGAACACCCCAATCAAATGACATGTTTTGAAAATTGTCAAAGTGAAAGTAAGTTAACACTCTACAGAGGACACACTTCTGCACATCTTAATGCCCAATTACTGTTTATGTGATGAATTTAACATGTTAGGAAAACAAAACATTAAATGTGGTCTGTGCAAATTAATAATTTTATTTTTTTTCCAGTATGTTAAACTCAACTTAACATATATCTAAATGAGCAGAAAATGCTGTATGTAAGTGTGTTCTCTGTAGAGGATGTGTTAACATTTCAAACATTTGACTAGGGGTGCTCAAACGTTTGCATATGACTGTACTGTTAGCACCAGCGAGCCTGTTAGAACATACATATAGAGTGTTTACTGACTATAGTCTTATATCACTGTTGTTATGTGACATTTTCTGCAGTTGCTACACTAATATGAATTATATGCAGCACATCCTGGCTGGTCAAATTTCTTATATACAAAATAGCCTGTAGAGAAGCCGTTTAATCTGAAATGTAATGTTCTTACTGTAAGCTGGAAGGTTGACTGTGAGGAAACGACAGAGTTCAGGTACAAATCATACTCCATCTGAATAAAAAGGAAAATAATTCTGAGGAGTTACATAGTGATGTCTTTTTATACCAACCAAAAATAAGGAGTTGTAATAGTTAAAGGACTCAAATCCTACACTTTTCTTTTAATTTTCAAGCTCCACTTATGACAATTATGTCAATTTACCAAATACAGTCAGAATTCATTTTTAGATGCCCATTTTCAAACCTCTCTTTATACCTTAGAATTAAACATGCTGTTTCTGTTACTGTGCCTTTAAGGCTGATGTATGTAAATAAGCTCTGTTCTGACTGGCTGCCCTTTATTGTGTCTCAAAAAGCAGCCTGAGCTGAAACACTCCGTATAACTTCAGTGTGGGCGTGGCTAAACTGCTGTAGGCTGAATAGGTGGATACGGGTAAATGTGTTGGTTTGACATCACAGGAACCACAAATTCAGAGCAAGCTGTTTTTGCAGCTTCGTGTTCATATACAGGGACTGGAGGGTGAACAATATGTTCTGAAACTTGAACAAGGTTTAAATACAGTGCTGTGAAAAAGTATTTGCCCCTCACCCGACTTCTTCTATTTTTGTTAATTTGTTACATTTGAATGTTTCAGATCATCCCATTAATTTTATTATAAGATAAGGACAATGTAAGTAAAGACAAAATGCAGCTTTTAAATGATCGTTTCATTTATTGAAGATAAAGACTTATTCAAAACCTATATCACCCATGTGAAAAAAATATTGCCCCCTTAAACCTAATGACTGGCTGTGCCGCTCTTGACAGTAACAACTGCAATCAAATGTTTGTGATAACGTGCGATGAGTTTTACACATCGCTGTGGAATTTTGGTCCACTCTTCTTTCCGGAATTGTTTTCATTTGGCCACATTGGAGGGTTTTCTAGTATGAACTGCCAGTTTAAGGTCTTGCCACAGCATCTCAATGGGATTTAAGTCAGGACTTTGACTCGGCCACACCGAAACCTAATTTTGTTTCTTTTGAGCCATTCAGAAGTGTTTGTTTCAGTTCTTTTGTGAACTCCTGGATGAGTCGCCGATGCGCTCTTGGTGGCGCTTTTGGTAGGTCAGCCGCTGTTCCAAGTTTTCTCCATTTGTGGAGTCCCGGAGCCTCAGCAATGGCTTTGTAACCCTTTCCAGACTGTTAGATTTCAGGTACTTCACTTCACATCTGTATTTGAATCTCTTTAGAATGTGGCAGCTGGTTGATTTAGAAACTTAGGGGCAATTACTTCCCAGGTAGGGCTAAACAGCATTTTTCAATAAATGAAGTCAACATTTAAAAACAGCATTTTGTGGTTACTTTGCTTATTTTGTCTAATATTAAAGTTGTTTGATGATCTGAAACATTCAAGTGTGACAAATATGCAGAAGTAGAAGAAATTGGCAAGGGGGCAAATACTTTTTCACTGTATTACATCAAACTCTTTTATTTAAAAAAAAACTGAGGAGTACTTGGATTTCCATGATATGGGCTCTTTAAAGTAGCAATGTCACAAATATTTACATTTTTGATAATATTTTCCTCAAAATAAGTGAAGTTACTGCAAACTGATGAGGAAAGCAGCTGTTTTGTCTCGAAAAGCATTTTAAAGCCAAGTGTCCTCTAACTTGCTGTAAGCAGTACCACTCTGTTTGCGTAAATGGTTCAAGGAATATAATCTAATGTACTTTACAGAAGAGTAGTAACTGTGTAAGGGGGTAAGTATGCTCAGTGAGAGTTTCTCATTGGACACAAGAGGTTTGTGTATGAACAGTTTCTCACCTTGATTTCTCCGAGGACGCTCCCGAACGCAGGAGAGCCGTCACAAACGTCACCAAAGACATCACTGAACACCGCGAGACGCTCTAGGCACGGGCCCCTGCAGGCCGGAACCTTCCTCAGCTCCTGACACATACGCACAAACAGTGTCCTCAGCGGAGCCCTCACATCAACACCTTACTGCTCTCCCAGATCCCTGAATACAGCGCAGTTCATTTCTGACTGAGACGCAGACGTTCAACAACACTTCAACCAGTTTACTCTTCTTGTATTACATCAACAACTAGAAGAGCTCTAAAAAGTGACTGAGAGTGACATTATTCAGGCACGAACGCAGCATCAGAGTCAACCTGAAGGTCTTCAGCCATTCTTACACAATGAAATCTTAACTAGCCGGAAATTCTGAAAAATTAAGAATAAATTGTGTTATTTTTGTTTGGAGATGGACAGACTACACTAGATTCATATGTATAAGATAATGAGTGAGCTTTCAGCAATGTTGTCTACAATAATCGTACTTAGACAAATGAGCTGATTACATAGACTTCTCAAAATGAAAGAAAAACTTTTTTGGGAGAACTGAAAAAGTTTAAAGCTCTCAACTGTTAAACTTTTATTTTAAGAACTTAATTGGACAGGTGTCTCACTTCACACTCTGAAAAACATTCCAAAAATATTGCAGTCTTTAAATAAGTAAAGCTATCTTAAAATAAATCCCTTAAAACTTTGAAAACTGTAGCAAATTAATCTTATTCACACAAATCTAGTCCACGCTTGCATTTTTAAATGAAAAACCAAGATCTACTGTACATTTTCAAGATTTTCTGGCTTGTTAAGATTTTTTAATGCACTGTGTTGATCTCTTTGGAGTTAATAAAGTGGTTTATTGTATTGTATTCTATGTGTGGCTTTTTATTTTTTATTTTTTTTAACACTGAAGCTTGTTGAAGCATTCTCATTTCAGGAAACTGTGTATCAAATGAAATTTTAAGAAAATCCTTAAAATAAATGCCATTTTTTGGATTATTATTATGACATCTGATGAAAGTGTTACTTAAATAACTAACAAAATTCCCTACTGTACTATTTGTTTTTGCAAATATTTAACTGTATTAATGTCACATTATTTAACATAATTTAGCATAAATGATATTATATTATTTAATATTTAACTGTAGTACTATTATATAATACTTAAGTTAGCTTTAATAAAGTTAATGAATATTAATAATTCCTCATATTTCCTGAGTAATGGTAGCGTATTGCTTTTTTCTGTCTGCTAAACTAAAAGTCAGTATTGCTGTGGCATGTGCACAGGGGGTCCCATTTGCCCTCAGACTGCACAAGTGCACTCTTGGTGGGCGTATACAATTACTGTAATTGTTTTGCATAATTCAATCACAAAGCTGATCAGAGTGTTTTGGTCTGAGGTTCATTGTTCAACTTACAAACTCAGATTTCTCTACAGTGGTGGTGAACCAGGGGCCATATATAGCCATTTTACTTACCAACCTAAATGACCAGTGAAGCTTCAGTGTGTCAGCTTAGTTTTCTCTTCATACTATTTTGCCTTATGACACCCTGAATGTACCACCAGGAGTGGATTGTAAAAATATTATTCAGGGCAAAAACTTTTGTGAAACAATGTCCCAGGCATCAGGCAACATATTTGCAAACTATTTAATGTAGTAACTTTCTGTGAGGGAGCTTTTAGAGGTGGATGTCTGGTTCCTATCACCACCACTGTGAACAGTTCTTCGGTAAGTTTCTCAACAACAGAGCATTTCACACCAAACCACTCTGAATGACTTTGTTTACATCTTAAGCAGTTAAGCAGAATTTAATTGTTAAGTTCAACATTTATTTTTAAATATTTTTAAAGATTTTCTAGCTTGTCAAGATTTTTTATTCCACTGTGTTGATCTCTTTGCAGTTAATAAAGCGGTTTATTATCACGTATGTAGCTTTTTAAAAACTTTAAGCATGCTCAGTTCAGGAAACTGTGTACCAAGAAAATAAATGCTAGTTTTTCCTCATTTTGCATTACTAAAACATTTCATTATTTAGAATGAAGAATTTTAAACAAGACTTCAAAAAATTATTTCCATCATGCAAACTGCCAACTGATGACTGTTCATCAAGAAGGTCACTTTTACCCTAATTCAGCTATGTGAGTTAATTGAGTAACCCTGACCGCTCTAATCAGCAGTTGTAACAGCTTGTACTGACCTGCTGCAGTTTGCGCTGGTGTCGCTGTGCTGCCTCAATGCCGCTCAGACAGTTCCTGGTGATCAAGTCTTGCTTCCTCACAACCTGCCGGTCAAACCGTTTCCACAGCAGCAGCTGATCGCTGCAGGTGAGTCCAGCTAAGTAAGAGCGTGTGAACCAGTATCGGCCCTGATCCACCTCCACAGTGGGTGCACAAGGCCCCGGCTTCAGACTGCTTGGCTTCACCAGGAAAAGCTCCGTTGTGTCCAGGTTTTCTCTCGTCCTGTACGGATCCACTCTTGGTGGGCTGCTGGGGCTTCCTGTGCTGCTCCGAACATCAGGCTCCTGAAGCGTGGTGGCCATGGTGAAGTTGTACAAGGCATCTACCATTTCTTTCACGCTATCCTCCTGTGCCCTGCTTTCCTGAAGGCGGGAGAGGCCTGAGTGCTTAGACTCTGAATGTTTGGACTTTTCCCAGATTGGCTTGTCACGCCGGCAGTAAACGGGTCTGGGATTGAAGCTGTAGGGCCCCAGGTGCCCTGAGCTGTAGGTGTGGATGTCAGCTTTGTTGCCTCTCTCCACACAGAGGAGCAGCTCCTTCCGCTCCCGACGGATGTCCGAAGGCCTTAGCCTTTGCCCACCTGATACAGACATGGCTAAAGCTGGGGGGTAACAACAGGAAATGAGTGTGATGAAAAGTGTTAGGTGCCCATGTCCTACGTTACTCTTGTATATTTTTCTCTGACAGCCACTTGTAACATTTTGTGTTTTTTTGTACCAAAAGTCATCATAGTTCAGTCTTACATGACAATTTTTCAAACTCTCCTTAAACCAGGCTGTTTTTGCTACTGCAGTATGTAAACTGATATAGGTAAATGTGCCCTGTTCTAACTGGCTGCCCTGTATTGTGTCTTGTTCAAAAAGTAGTCTAGGGTGAAACACTCTTTAGCTGCTTCCTAATTCAGCAGCTGCATCCTTCAGAGGCTGCATTTGAAGGCCAATTACGTCACAGTGGCGCCAGCCAACATATCCTGAGGTTCATCGCGTGCTGGTGGAGATTACAGAACACAGTGGCATCAGCAGAGGAGTGAATAGCAGCTGAGGAGACACTTTTAAATGTAAGTGTTGGGTTTAAACTGAGTCGAATAGCGAACGATACAGATGTTAAAAAGGCCAATGTGGTCTGAAGCAAAACTTACACTAACGCTTTGTTTGTTTCAGGGAGCGAGGAGCCGACAGAGAGAAGCATTTCCAGCTCTAATTAATGAAAAACTATAAAACTAAAATCAAAGTTTCTGGCTCCATCTTTAAAGAACTTTAAAGAACAGGAAATCCGCCATAGAACAGACCGTCTCATTACAGTTCAGCCTCTGCGGCTATGTAGCCTTCAAAGGACACGCCCCTGAATTGGGACACAGTAACTTTAGTGTGAGTGGGCGGGGCTAAACTGCTGTACACTGAATAGGCGGATATATGTAAATGTGATGGTTTGTGTGACATCACAAAAAAATGAATGAAATAGGATGTTTTTGCAGCTTAATTTTCTTGTATGGACCAAAGACTGGGGAGTAAACAGTACGTTTTAATGAACTATGGGCCTCATTCACCAATATCCTCCTAAGTTTTTTCTTTAACGTGGTCTTGAGAAAGATCCTAAGAAAAAGTCTACGTCAGATTCCTGACGTGTTCTTAAACCACAGAATTCTTCTAATTCCTTGTTCTCTAGAGTGTGTAGATTCTGTTCTTACCTAAGAATAAATCCCAAATAAATATAACACTGGTGAATGTCAGAATCTTCGTGAAAACTGTATAAGTGGGTTTTAAAAAGGAATTTCTTATTAAGAAAGGTTGGCAAATGAGGCAGTTTACATGCTACATCAAAACTCTTATTTAAAACAGGTGGGGAAATCTCATTTTTCCATGATACAGGCTCTTTAAAATATCTATAACACAGTTCACAGATTCTGGTGCAGGACACAAACATGGAGAAACATGGATATTTGTGACAGTTAAAGAAGTTCTAATAAAATGTGCTTTTGGTCATCTTGTATTCCCATAGCAATCTACTCTGCACATTTTGACAGCAATTTGGGAGCTATTTCATGAGATTGACCCAGAAGACTGTTACAGAAAAGGAACTGTTATTGATTACTGAGTTGTGTATAGGGTGAGTTCCTCTGCAGGATAGCATATACCTCCAACCCTTTTTTCACTTCTGATCATATGATGGGGCCAAATCTAATTTTGACACATTTACTGCATGACTGTGGTCCAATTAGTTCTGATATTTTATCTTGAAGACTCCATTCTTGGGATGTATCGTCCTGAATGTAATGTTATATAAATGTCAGTTGTTGTAGCGCTGGCTGGGGTGAAATGACATCAATACCCAGAGGGAAAACTGTTTCAATTTTTCAGAAAAAATAAAGCAGATCTCCATGTTGTATTAATGAAGGCTCACTGATATCTGAACTCCCCCTAAACCCTCCTTTGGAGAAAAGAGGAGACTTACATCACCAGTTTATTGTAAGAGGTTTTGGTGATGAATGAGAAAAGCCTGAGTTCTCCTTCTACACTGACAGACTGCTGCGAGAGTTCTGTGATGGAGTTTTTAAACACTGTGTCCACTCACTGTCCACTCTATTGGACACTCCTACCTTGTCAGTCCACCTTGTAGACGTAAAGTCAGAGATGATAGCTCATCTGCTGCTGCACAGTTTGTGCTGGTCATCCTCTAGCCCTTCATCAGTGGTCGCAGGACGCTGCCCACAGGACGCTGTTGGCTGGATATTTTTGGTTGGTGGACTATTCTCAGTCCAGCAGACACACTGAGGTGTTTAAAAACTCCAGCAGCACTGCTGTGTCTGATCCACTCAGACCAGCGCAACACACACTAACACACCACCACCACGTCAGTGTTACTGCAGTGATGAGAATGATCCACCACCCAAATAGTACCTGCTCTGTGAGGGTCCATGGGGGTCCTGACCACTGAAGAACAGGGTAAAAGGGGGCTAACAAAGTATGCAGAGAAACAGATGGACTACAGTCTGTAACTGTAGAACTACAAAGTGCACCTATATAGTAAGTGGAGCTGATAAAATGGACAATGAGCATAGAAACAAGGAGGTGGTCAGAATGTTATGCCTGATCTGTGTATTATTTAGATAAGACTGTGGTGAGATGAGTCACAAGAGTTCATCCATCTGTGTGACAACATTTTGATCTAGGTGAGAAAATCTGAGGGTTGTTTCTCAGGAGCCAAATTTCATAAACAGGAGAAAATGGCTTTAGTCTCTCTCTGATCTAAGACAGGGCTTAACCACGTCTAGGAGAAGTACACGAGACTAAGAGGAGATCTCATTTAGAATATTTGTTTCCTCTGCGAATGGACAAAAACAGGCTTATGAAAACTGACGCTTGTTGGAATAAGCCTATAAAAGGTTTATGTAGACTTATGTCAGTTGTCATGAGAGACTTATGTAGCCTTACAAACGCTGCCATTCAGTAAAGTCTTACTGAAATGTAAAAGTTGTGAAAATGTGTGACAGCATGTTCCTCACTGTAAAGGACGGCTATGACTTAATATTTTAGCGTTAGCTTCTCTAGCTATATGAACACAAAGTCGTTAGTGCAGTGAATGAGAACTAAAAGCCCTTTATCTGCGCTCCCTAACGAAGAAACGTTTCCTCTGCAGACTAATTCACTCAGTCTGGTGGAATTTCATTGCCTAAAATTCAATGTTTGAGCTTTAAAACATTACTGTAATGTAAATGAAAGTCAGCTCTCACCCTGTTTGACCTGTGCGAGCCAGCCAACGAAAACACTGGTTGCTAGGGAAGTGACGACATCTGCGTGGTTACGTGGCGAGAGTTTGAAAACCATAATGCGAAACAGCAGCAGAATTTATACGATTTAATTAAGGAATTTATTAAATTATTCCTCTATTCTCAAATGCGTGCGGTGAGAACAGTGTCAGTTTTCAATAGAGACCACTAGTTTCCTGTAGAACACCTTTAGATCCCATTAGAAAGCCATCAAATGCCTTTAGAATCAGCCACTGGTCACCATCAGGATCCTTTACACTGTGATATCAACCCATCAAAAAAGCCAAAACACATTACAAAACCACCAGGAACCAACAGAAACACCTTTTCCAGCGGGGTCAACAAATAAAAAATTTCGTTTTATTTTATTTTTGTTGTTTAATTTGAAATGGTCGCCCTTTATGTTGTGTCAAAATCTCATGATGAATGGTCCGGTCGCAAATCACTTGGAATATATACACACATAACAAATTGTATATATATGCACACACACACACACACACACACGCACACACACACACACACAGACACACACACACATCGTGTATATATATATATATATATGTATGTATATGTATATGTGGGTGTGTCTGTGTGTGTAGTATATATATGGCATGTATTACACATATATATTAGCCTCGTTATATGTAATTTTTCATTGCATGTACACTTCTAGTATATTTCATCCCTTCTGGAAAAAACAACTTAAATTCTAGCTGGTCTTAAGCTGGTCCAGCTAGTCAGAGCTGGATGTCCAGCTTGGCCAGCTGGTCAGAGCTGGTACACCAGCTTTGTTCAGCTCTTTTTGATTTTTTGCTTTTAAAAAATCTTTCAGTGTTTGTACTGGACATATATGTGTGATCCATGCATCATATATATCAGATATACAGTATATGTATGATCCTTATATTATGCATGTGTTCATCCACCTATCACACTTATGTGTGATCCATATTGTGCATATATGTTCACATATGTACATATATTTTGAAATATATGCCTGACTCCTTAGGATACATGTGCATATAAGGCCATATATGTCTGATTTCTGTATGGGTTATGTGTGATGTGTGTAAAAGTACCTGACACCTTTTTTAATTAGTGAATACACCAATAGAACAGTACAGGCCTGAATGCCTGACCCCTACAGTGAGAGGGTCCAGTGGCTCTGTGGGGGCGTTTTGCTGGCAGAGTCTGGGACCACTCTCCCTCTTAGAGGGAAGGATCACTGCAAACCAATACAAAGTTATTCTGACTGATCATGTCTATCCTGATGTGAGGGTCTCTACCAGGATGACAAAGTCACCGTCCACAGGGCACGAGGGGTCACTAAATGGCTTCAGGAGTATGAAAATGATGTAAAGTAAAAGCTATGTTCTTCACAGTCACCAGCTCTTAACCCAGTTGAACACCTTTTGGAGATTCTGTGTCAATAGTGCTCTCCAACCCATCATAAACACCAAATGAAGGAATATTTTTTTGGAAAAATGGTGCTCCATCCTTCTAGCACAGTTCCAGAGACTCGTAGGATCTATGCCAAGGTGCACTGTATATGTATATATACACAGCACTGTGCAAACGTTTTAGGCACATGAAAAAATTGATATTCACAAAACTATTTGTCTGGTCAGTGTTTAGTTATTTACCACTACTGAAAGAAATACAAGCATATTATACATAACAAATCTTCCAGGAGATATCTAGAACCAAACTTTGTTCTTTACACTTAAAAAGATGGGTCTTCAAGGGTTCTTTAGTAAAGAAAATGGTTCTAAATAGGACCATGAACACTCAAAGTGAAATGGTTCTTCAGACTGATGGAGAACGTGCTGTAGATGTTTCTATATAAAAGCTTTTTGAAAAGTGTTCTTCTATTGTTACAAGCTTGACATCATAACAATAGAGGAAACCCTTTTTAAAAAGGTTCTATATAGAACCATATTCTCCATCAATCTGAAGAACCCTTTTACAATGCAAAGAATAATAGAATCATGCAATGGGTACTTTGAGTGTTCATGGTTCTATATAGAACCATTTTTTTTACTAAAGAACCCTTGAAGAAGACATTAAGAGAAGTTATTAACTACTTTTGAAAAACTATTCATTCTCGTTACTTTTAACTGTGTTTATTTGCATTTACTTCAGTGATATATGATGTTTTTACAAGTACAAACACACATTGCTAAAACAATAGTTTAAATAAAGTGCTTAGGTTCAAAGGACATTTGCACGGTACCTGTGATCAATGGAGAATTTCACTGGCAGTGAAAACAGTAATGTCTAATATGGTCAGACTATAGTGAGTACAGTAACTGTGTGACAAGTAAAACTGACAGTATCTCATCCTCAGTGCGGTATGATTTGTTTTAGAGAACTGACTATTAACACTTACAATAATCATCATTTCCAGTTTTATTAAAATATAATGTAAAAACCAAATGGAAATGTTTTTATTATTACAGAACAACAAATAGGCAAAACCACTCTGCTATTAGGTTGCCATTATTGTACGGTTATGATGTCATATGATTGCACTGGACCAAGTGCTCCTCACTCAACAGACAAGAGACGATGCAACCATTTTATGACACAAGAAAAATGGCACCTACTAGGATTTTAGGATGAATTTTGTCTTTTTTTGAAAATAAATTAAAATCCATAAATAAATTAATTATTGCTTATTGCTTAAGTATTTTGCTTGCTTCATACAACACATTTTAAAAGTACTGGACTTGTGCACTATATTGCGAAATGTGTAAACATTCCAGGTCTCCTTCAAGAAAATGAATGAAGCCAAAGGTGTAAGGTGGAGGTCAACATTGCTGTGCAGGACGGTGGGATTTAATCAGCTTTAAACACAATGTCACTTCATTAAAGGTAGAAAAGCCAAGCAGCTATAAAATACCTCCACTAGATTCAAGATTGGCTTGTTAATGGCTTTGAGTTCATATATTTAGCAAAAAAAGTTACTTATTCTGGTTAAGAGATGTGTAAAATATGTACAGATCTGAAATAATAAGCTGTTTGCTGTGGCTCCTTTTGTGTGAGTGTACTTATGTGTCCTCCACTAGGGGGAGTCACACATCATGCTCCACACCATGCTGGTCTCCTCATATCTAATACACGATGGATGGTGCACAACGTCCCCTCTGACAATTCTACAGACACCCAGAAAGCGAAAACCACACAAACTTGTTTTTCAGAAATATTTAATAAAATTAAATATAATAAAACTGCTCTTATATTTACAGTCAAGACATTCCTCATTTATCTTGGGCAACAGTATGCAGTGGGTCTACATGACCATTCGCTTCTTCATGATGCACAATTTTTGCTCTGTACAAAACAAAAAACGCTAACTTTTTTTTTTCTGTATAAAAAATATAAGTTAATTTAAAATTGAATTCTAATTAAGAAAATAACAATGGTAATAATCACTGATAATTGTGGTAATAATAGTAATATAATAGGAACAATAATATTTATAACAACCATAATAATAATAACAATAATAATGATAATAGTCTCTAAACATAGTGCATATGAGGGGAGAAAAACTGGGCTGTGGGTGATCTCAGTGAGGTTTATGAAGCTGTGTAGTTCCTCTTAACTCAGACTGCTGCTGTTTTTTTTTCATGGAGGTTTGGGTGGGGGGGTTTGGGGGGGGTGGGGGGTTTATGGCATTGGCCGAAAGCTAGCACACACGCGCGCACACACGCATACACACAGGACCAGAAAGTGCATGACTGCCTAAGATAGCACCATAAGAGTGTAGCTTACGTCTCCAAACATGAACTGTTCCTACACACATTGCACATGTGCCAAAAAAAAAGAAAAAAAAGAAAAAGAAAAATAGTTCTGCGCACATGCTCGATGCACTTCACTGGAAACTGTTCTTGATTCTTGACAGACACACATATCTGATGGTGTACTCCTTTGGTACCCAAGAAACCCTTAGTAAGCTGTGCGCCATCATATTGGTTACAGTCACTCATCAGTCCTGCTGTGTTTACATGAAGGATTTCAGAGCGCAGTCCTGTCTCTAAGAACTCGACCTCCTAGAGGCTGAAAAAACAGAAACGTGATCAAACTGATGTGAGCCAATTCAAGCTGAAGCACGATGCTGATTGGCTGGAAAGGAAAGACCATTATTCAGGGAATTCATCTGTTTTGCTTAGGATTCACCTTTCTAATGATTTCTGGCCATTTTTCTATACATACAAATGAACTGCACCCTAATCGCATGATTAAGTATCAACACAGTTTCAATTTTTTAAATTAGAAAGAATAAACACTTACTGTGTTACTTGTTTACATGAATTTTGGGGCATTTCTATTCATTCTATTCATACAAATTAAATGCACCCTCATTATGTGACGCTACTGTGTCATCTGCATGTATGTGTACAGTCATATGCAAATGCTTGAACATCCGTGGTCAAATTACAGTGTGTTGATTTTCTAAGTGAAAATATGTCAACATTTTTCTGCAACTTAAAACAATTAGTGTACAATTTAAATGAACATAACCTATTAACATTAACATATTGGGAAAAATAAAATATGAAATGTAAAATGTGGTGTCTCATCACACTTTGTTTCATTTTTATTTTTCAATATGTTAAAATCAGTAAACAAACCACAACTGTGCAGTAAAATGTGCAGAAGTGTGTTCTCAGCAGAGGACGTATTAAATTATTTTCACTTCGAAAATCAACGAGTCATTTGACTGGGGCGCCAAAACTTTTGCACACAACGGAACAGCCTCAGAAGATTTCATTTTTGACATTTTTGTCTTAATTCTGTCTTCACAGAATTCAGTATTTGGAGTTTCACTCTGGCTAAGAGTGCTGATGTTCAAGCTCAGCCAATAAACTGCCTTCATCTCCGCTGTGACTCCAGCACAGAGGAAACGGCACTCGCGTCGCTGATGGATCACTGCGCGATTTCACTGCACATCCACACTCACTGCCATTTCATCATTTTTTAAATAATTCATAACATCTAAATGGAAAGACATTGATTGCTTAATTGCTGTGTTACATTAGGATTAAGACGTTTTAAGGACTTTCAGTGGATCTTTAATGGTCCAAGCCTTTCATTTGTTTTTGTCCTGATCGTTTGTCTACACTGTAAAAATCATTCAGCGTTTTAACCTCAAAATAAACTACACAAGTATGTAACCTGGCTGCCTTAAAACTTTGACTTAACTGGATTTCTAATGGTAAGTTAACAATAATAATCTGTGTTCAATGGAGCCGAATTTTAAAGACAATCCGGTTACTTATTTTTACACTGAATCATTTTTACAGTGTAATCTCGTTCATTTTTCAATGAACTTTATTCTTATTTAATTTTAGAGACACAATCATTAAACATGATCCAATCAGTAAGCTTGAGATCGATCTGTGCTGCTTTAGAATCAAACATTTTGGGGAAAAGAGCAGCAGGACTGGAATTCGTTTTGCGTTAAAGGAGTTTTACCTTCCCTCTGCTCAGAAAATACCAAGACGTTTTAAAGAAGGACATTTAGTGGATCTTTGATGATCCAAGCCTTTCATTGTTTTTGTCCTGATTGTTTTGTCTACACTGTAAACAATGATTCAACGTTTTAACTTCAAAAAAGTACATATGTATGGAACCTGGTTGCCTTAAAACTTTGAGTTAACTGGATTTCTAATAGTAAGTTAACTGAATAATAATCTGTGTTCAGTGAAGGCAAAATTTAAAGGCCACCTAGTTACTTACTTCTTACATTGAATCATTTTTACAGTGTAATCTTGTTCATTTTTCAATGAACTTTATTCTTATTTCATTTTAGAGAGACAATCATTAAACGTGATCCAATCAGTAAGCTTGAGCTCGATCTGGGCTGCTTTAGAATCAGACTTTTTTGGGAAAAGAGCAGCAGGACTGGAACTGGAGTTTTATCTTCTCTCTGCTCAGAAAATATCATGAAAAAGAATTAAGCACTGAAGAAACATATTCAAATCATGGCTCATCATGTGCATAAGATGTTCTTTGTATGTCATGTCAATTCATCAACAGTAAACAAGCCTATTTTACTTGTAAAAAATAATAAACTGCGCGACTGACGTTGAGTACCATTAATAGTCATTCATTACTCTTAACGAGACTTTGCTGTTATTACTTCATGTGTCGGCCACTGTAACGTTTCAACATTCAGTGCGGAACATGTATTACTGGTTTCCCTGGAAACGAACGGATTGCCCAAGGTCAAGCTCTATTAGGACTAGAGGATCAAAAGCTGATTTGTACATCAGTTTGAACGGTCATAGATTTTGGTGGAGGAACATTGTGACTCTCGTGTGACTCCGGTGAGGTTCAGAATTATCTAACTTCTTCCGTCACAACAGCTCTTTGCTTTGGACAGATGCGCTGCAGGGTTTGTTTCTTTTCTTTTTTTTCTACTCCTCCCCACATAGAATAGGCTGTATTTCTTCATTCAAGTACTGCAAACGTTTTTTGCGCAAGTTAACACGAGACCGCCGGTGCGGAGAGCTCGTCTGCGCCCCCACGCACCTTCGCGAAACATTCCTTTCGTCTCTCTTAAAAAATAGCAACTCCCAAGCAGGTTCTGCGTATGATCTTTTTTCACCACAGCAGGAATAAGTTACTATTTCAGACGACCTGAACCCCAGTTACCAGTCGTGGAGCTCCGACTGTAACCGGAGGTTCAGGTTTTAAGGCCTCTTCAAATATAAGACCGCAAAAAGAAACACGTTTGAAAATATAGAAATGAAATTGACCCCAAAACCAAAACAGCAAAAGCGACCATCAGAGGAAAACTCTTGAAGCTAAAGAAGTCCAATTCTGACCAAAAGTGCTCCCACCCAGAGCAGGCTTGTGGTGACTGGATCCCAAGTCCTGGCTGTTGACCATGAGAGCCGTCAGGGTCAGAGCTCTACACCTCTGTCACCCGCTGAGGTAACTCTATGTTTAATTTTTTTATTTATTATTATTTTTTTTTTTGTTGAAGTTTTTCCTTTAGTTGCTCGGTGAATATCACCTCTCCTGCCCGGCCTCTCTGCTCCCCCTCGTCTCCACCGGAAGTGGGACTGTTCTAAAGGAAGTCCAGTGTCTCTGGCAGGGTACGGGCAGTGCTGCAGTCAGGGTCAGTTGTCCACTTTGACCGGCCCGCTCTCAGACAGCTCGCTCGGGTCGCGCTCTTCAGGCGGCACCCAGGCGGACGGCTCCTCCCCTCGTACTATTCTCTCCCACTGGCCCAGGTTCTCCCTGCAAACACAAGCACATTTCAGAAAACACTTTAAAATGTATCTAATTCTGTACTGAAATGAATATTTGAAATATTATGAACATTACAGCACTGTCACAATGTGACACCTATAATTTCTGCTACAAAGTGTGATGTAATTTGATTATTTCTATCTCATGGCTCATTAAAAACAAGCATAAATTCTATCAAACCTTCAGTCAGTACCACACTGTGTGAGCAGAAGAGGAGATATTTTATATGTTTTAGGCCTGACACTAATTTTTTAATTCCAATAACAATATTGATACCGAAACCTTATTGGCTGATACTGATAACAATACAGTATTTCTACTTTAACCCTATGGAACCGAGCGTCTCGCTGGCGATCCGTTCTGAGTATTTGTCCCATGGCCCCTTGAGTTCATTTAAATCTGCCCGCAGTAGAGTCATAGCACAAGCATGTCCACTGAACTGCGTCAGCGTGTACCTACGTGCTACCATGTTTCACTGTGGATCTGACGTTTTCCTGTATTGCAAACTCGCAAAAGATCGCAAAGTGCTTATTATGTATTTCTTCAAACACAGTAATGAGAAAATGCTACTGATGTGTGACTTACGCATGTTTTTCTTTTCCTTGATCACTGTATTATGTAGTTTTGATTAGTTAGTAGTGGTTATTTTAATAGATATTATTGTGCAGCACTTTGCCCGACACTCGTTGTCTTTTAAATGTGCTATAGAAATAAAGGTGACTTGACTTGACTTGATTTATATTAGCTAACTAACTGTAGTGACAGTGGAAAGTGTGAATGAACCTACTCATGGAAGGATTTTTGTATTTTTACTATTTTCCACATTAGAATAACAATGAAAGATGCCAAACTATGAAATGATACATACAGTCACTGGCCAAAAAACAAAAAAAAACCAAAAAAAAAAAAACCGAGTATCTCTAATATGGTAACTTTACAGGAAAGGGCAAAAAGGGCCTTTACTTTTAATGTAAGTTAAGGTAAACAGATTTTATTCTGATTTTGGGGCATTTCTATTGGTCCAGTCAATGTAAAGGAGGACTGCCATGTTCAAATGACGTAGAAAAATTTTAAAAATGCCGAAAATGAAGATACACATTTTTCTTTGAACAGCGACGATATGCAATAAATTTTTGACCTTCTATCAAATATGGCTATTTAGGCCAGGGGTGTCAAACACAACTACTAAAAGGGCCACATTAAAAAAAAAAATCTCCACAAATCTGTGGGCCAGAGAATATCTCTTTTTTCATATTTAATTAACATTTTGCTAAAACCCAAACTGGCCATTGTTTATTCAAAATACGCCAATACGTACAGACAACATATAGGCACTTGTATTAAACCTTGAAATATTATATTGCAAGCTCACTGAGAGCACGGCTCGAATTACTAAGTGCTTATTACATATTTCTTTAATCACAGTGACGATAAAATGCTACTGATGTGTGACTTATATTAACTAACTAACTGCAGAAACAGCAGAAAGTGTGAATGAACCTACTGACAGAATGACTGTTTGTATTTTTACTATTTTCCACGTTAGAACAGAACAATGAAGATGCCAAACTATGATACATATGGAATAACTGCAATCAGAAATTTTTGACCTTCTGTCAAATATGGCTGTTTAGGCCAGGGGTCTCAAACACAACCACTAGAAGAGCCATTGTAAAAAAAACAAAAAAAAACAAAACAAAAAAAAAAAAAAAAAAAACACCTCAACAAATCTGTGGGCCAAGAACATCTATGTTTTTTCATATTTAATTGACATTTTGCTATAACCCGAACCCATTTGTATCACGTATACAGGCTCTGTGATTGTAGCCTTTCACTCTCAAGACCAGCTGGGCTTCTGGGTGGAACTATGGGTGATTTGAAGGGTCTTTAATTGCAAAAAATTTGGAGTGGGATACCGTGTCACAAAGGTTGCAGGGCTTAAAAAGGCTTAAAATATTAGACACAGCTCCCAAAAGTCAGTATGTACATCTACACAGCTGACCTAAGATTAAATAACACATTTCCCTTATAATTTCTCTGATTTTTCTTTTTTTATCCTGTTTTATAGTCGCTCTGCATCTGTAAAACAGCTTGTCACAAAACCAAATTTCAACATTTGAGAAACCATTTTTAATATAAAACAAAATTTTTAAGAGGTTTAACTTAGGAATTGTATAAATCAGATTCATGTTTACTTTTTATATCATTAACATTATGCTAATTTTAAAAAATGCATTTATTTAAAAAATTCATTTGTCACAGAGATTGTGGTCACTGGTGTTATCAGGACTCTTATGTTACATTTTGACACAGTATTTTCAGCTCTATTAAACTGCTTCTTTGGGTCGAGGCTCATCAGAGAGGAAGCATCTCAGGGCATGAGAAGGCGAGTCACACTTACTCTATTACTCTTACTATATTTTATTAATTTATGAATAATTTCAATAATAAAATTAATTAATTAATAATTTTGTTTATCAGGCAGCACATAACTTCGATGTGTCACTGGTGTTATGTGCTTTAATGGCTGGGTAATAAAAATTTTGTCAAAATAATGCCAAATATCATTTTATCACTGATTTTAAATAGTGGCACAAGGTCACCTGACCAACCAATCAGTCAGCCAATTTACAAAATCCTCAGTTTTAACCAGAATGTCACTGGAGACACCGTCACTGGTGTTACACCATATTCATACACCAGTGACTGTAAAATAGGTTTGGAATTAAGCTCTCCTTTTTACATATATAATAATAGGAGATGTTAATGGACAAATTAGGATTATTTCGTTTTGAGATAAAAGAAACTGATTTTTAAAAAATGTGTCCACCTGAATTCCCACTCCAAATGGAGAATAACCCGATTAATCATGTTAGAGAGTTAACTTTGACACCACTAATTATTTGATACCAAAACAAGCAGAGAAAAGTTGGCAACACAGAACTGTCGATACAGAAATGTAAGTCAAATGTAAAAAGAAACCACTACACAAAATAAAGCAAGCAAAAACAAAAAGAATAACTCCAGGCATGTAGGGGTTAAGTGCACTGCAGAGCGTGTGAGCTAATGGCTTTTACACCATGTGTGGTGACTGTGAGAAAGCGATGTGATTCAGAATCAGTCACGCAGTGAAGGTCTGAGTGTGCGTCTCGTCCCTGAAACACAATCCGTGCTTGTACACAGTGAGGACAGCAATACTACAGGGCAGATTGACCCAGACATGCAGGAAGGGAAAACCCGCACTCCACTTTTTAATCTGTCGACCTTTTACAGCAGTCTTCTCACACTATCTGAGCTCCAGAGGAGAGCGTGAAAACTGTAGCCTTTAAAGCCCTTTCAGTGAGCAGCACTGATGCCATTTGCTTGTCCCCAGATATGGCTGGAAACACTGCAGGACACACTGCTCAGAGTCCAGCCTAGGACCCACTAACTGACGCTGCCACAAATCTGTTTGCATTCCCCAAGAATCAAGGTCACCAAGTTTTTAGGTTGGGCTCATACACGGACAAAAGAGTGACCACCACATTGGTCCTACACATCAAACTCTCTTATATAGAGTGGAAATTTGTATCCAGGCCAACAAATACAATTGACAACAGTATTTACTGCATTCGCATTGAGATATATACATACTAAGAGAAGGTACAGCATCTTTGTCCCCTTTTCAGCAATTAATGTTAATGCGTTTATGAGAAGAAACAAATATCAGAAGAAATGACTACTGGAAGTTTAAAACAAACACATCCTCAGATAAATAAACAAATACCTCTAAATGGAAATTAAGCTGGAATGTATTTATTTTTCTCCAACCACATCTTCACTATGATGGCTACAAGCCATTAGCAGGGACAGATAATCATCTAGGCTATTTTAAACAGAGGAGCAGAATATTTTCCAGTATGAATATAAGCTGTAGTTGATGGTGGCCCAGACCCTGTTAGTGTGGAGTTCTGTAAGGTCTGTTTTCCAGACTAAGACTGTAGGCGCTATAACAACACACAGATGCCGTACTAGTTGTCCTAATAGTCCAAAATGCAAGCAGTATTCATTTTTCCCCTGATTAATATCATGAACAAAAGAAGTTTCTCCTCATTTAATTTCTTGTTTTATTGGCATAACATGTATAGATCACCAACTGATCAATCATTGAGTGTGTTTACATGCACTTAATAATATGATAACTACAGAAAATCAGATTTTGTCAGAAACCCAATCAACGCATTTATATGCACTTGAGTAATCAGAAAATGGGAAAACTCCAGGTCTACATGAGTCAGACAGTGATCAGACTTCTGTTTTGCAACCAGCCAATAAACTCACATAAGAAGACGTGACGCAAACGTAATGAAAAACTCGAACTACATGCTGCAGCTTGTGTCACTTTACCTGAAAAAATTAACATACATCATCTAGAAGATGAAGAATATTTAAATTATTAATTTTGTCAAGAATGTAGTTGGTTTCAGTGTCGCTCCAAAAGTGTTTGGCTGCGTCTCGCGGCAACACTGCTCACTTATTTCCGGTACAGCAGTCTGTTTTTGCACATGCACAGACTGAGAAATACGAAAGAAATCAGAGTAAGAGTTTATATGCACTGGGAAATCTGATTACTGAGCTAAAATCCAGCCTCTTTATCTGATGTCTTTATTGGATTTCTAGATCGGAGTATGGTGTTTACATAACCAGTGAATAATCGGATAACTGCAGAAATCGGATAATGATCGGATTATTGAGTGCATGTAAACACACTCATTATCTTCTTTAACCACGGTAACTGAGAACACGTTCTCTTATCCAGTAATGACCCGGTAAAGCACAGCTTCACTCTAGAGATCCTTACAAAACACTGTAAAGCTCTAAAATGTCTGTATTTTTTAAACCTTACCAAACATTTTATGACCAAATTGTGCTTATATACGGTTATATATTAAGTAGTAAATAACTGTAGTGACGGTTGAAAGTGTGAATGACCAACTCATAGAAGGATTTTTGTATTTTTACTTTTTTCCCCACGTTAAGAAAACAAGGATGTCAAACTATGAAATGACACATACAAAATAACAGTAATCAGAAATTTTTGACTTTCTATCAAATGTGGCTGTTTAGGCCAGGGGTGTCAAACTCAACCACTACAAGGGCCATATTAAAAAAAAATCTCAGGAAATCTGGGGGCCAGAGAATGTATTTTCATTTTAAATTAACATTTTACTATAACCTGAACTGGCCATCGTTCAAAATACACCAAAACATACACACGAAATATAGGCACTTATATTAAACCTTGAAATATTATATTTCATTTTTAAGCCTATCCATGTGCTTGATCGAGACACCTGGCTTTTGTATTTTTTTTGCTGCAAGTTCAATAATCCTTGGGATCAGTTTCTGAGCTGCTGAGCTGAGTGTTACATTGGTTTAACTGTAGCTGAAATGCAGCTAGTGTGTGTGGTGATATGAGTAGTGTGGTACATTTGTGGTGTAACTGCTGTCATAGAGTGTTTTTTGGGAGGAATGCACATTATGTTGCAGGGCACACTGGGGACTGTAGCGCAGCGCATTGTGAAACTGGCTAATATTGATAAAAAATCAAACATAATTGTGCAGGTCAGATAGGATTGTGCCTTGTGTTTGACATATGCCGTTTAGACCTACCTGAGCATTAAAATATGTACAATATACACACATATATACGCAGAGAAAGAGAGAAGAAATATGATTTTCATATGCAACATGCATAATTTAGTTCTCTTAAAGACATAAAAGTAATGCAAGTAACAATTCTTATTCAGTCAGTGCCTCTAATGTGGTTACAAGACATTTCACTCTAATGTGTTACACTACTTTGTTACAGGGAAAGTAGTCACATTACTGTAACACAGTACTTTGTATCATTTTACCCTCCATACTGCATATTTAAGATGATGAAAAGCATACTTTCAATCAGGTCCACAGTGTTGACTGGTACTGTAGCTAATCAACTCCTAATGCACCATCAGTGTTGAATGGAAGTGTATATGTAAAACGGCCTAATGCTGCAGTGATTGGTGAGTAACTGACCTGCAGGCACTAAGAAGAGGAGCGGAGGGAGGGAACAGCTCTGCCAGGGTGGTGTAACAGGGAATGGCCACAGCATTATAAAACCCCACCTAGAAGCACACAGATCGCACAGGACAGTGAGACTCTACGACAGTAGGCTGTATAAAGAACAACACTGACTATAAGGTTTAACAAGTACACACACACACACACACACACAAACACACACATTTATATATGTATATATATGAGGAGCTGGCAACTTATGTCCCCTGAATGGACTACACGCTTCAAATGTCCATGTTTCAGTCAGAAGAAGCATCAAACCCAGGCTGAATCCCAAATGGCTCTGTACTCCCTAAATAGTGGTCTAGCTATGAAAGTGTAGAAATTCTAGCCTCTACAGTCAAATAGTGCATCATTTATTGAGTATGGATGAGCCCCAAATGACTATTTCTTAACTATATTTTGCACAGTTTGGCTGCAGGTTCCAGTATTTAAATTCCTACATAGTGCACTACACAGGGAGCATGGAGTTATTTGAGGTTCAGCCCCAGCGTGAGAAGAGTGGCGCTGCTGGATTGGTGCTAAATAAGACTTGCAGTAGTAATTTGGTGACCAAAAAGTGCGTATAAAGTGAATCTTTTTGCATTAAACAGTGCTGTGTTATCATATGTTCACTGTTATACAACAAAAAGTTACAAAAATGAATGAAATGACGCAGAAGACAGCAATGGGTGACCAAACGTTTTCTTCATTCAACGGCTCACAGTTGCTTGACAAAGTACCATACTCTAAAAAAACTACACTTCTTGGCAGAATACCTGTTTATGTTAATTATTAATTAATAATAACAAATTATTTTCTGAAAAATTGTGCATTTTGTCATATTTCATGTTGGCCACCGATTTATAAAAGCAGTGAGCCACCTGAGGCCGTACGTTACTGCGATTTTATCATAGGAAAGGGAGTTTTAGGCAGCCTTCCTGTGATAAAATCGCAGTAACGCACACCCTATTATACATATATAAATTATATAAATGGCTTTCATACATATATATATATATATATACATGCACACACACACACACATCATGTAACTCTGTTGGCTTACCAATTCAACTTGAAATAAAAATAATAATAAGGGCTTTTAAAGGCAATGGCTGTTCAGTTTCTCTGCAGGTGCTGCTTTACCTGTCCCTGCGGAACCTCGTTCTTCTTATCCCTGTCCATCATCGGAATGGGCTGCATTCCTATCTTCTTCATCTCATCCCCCTGATGAAGAAGAGATGACAAGGAGAAAGTGCAATCAACCTTCACATATTTTGCCCTCTTCTCTCAAAAATGCCCTCGTGTTTGACCACACTGAAGCTGTCTAAATATAAATGAATATGATTAGAAATCTGCATTTTAAAAAGAGCTGTGATGGAACAGCAGCGAAGTTCACCTCAGCCCAAAACTCTGCGTAGATGTCGTTGGCTGTGAGGCGAGTGACCGGCCACAGTTTGGTAACAGAGCAGAGATCGCATGCCGTCATCATCAGACCAATCACGCGGTCCCTGCCATGGACGAGAAACAAATCAGGATTACGATATCATTGAGATATCATTACCATAGCTACTGAACCGGCGGCCCAGTGTATCTGTCCTCTCAAGGCACAAATATAAGCTTTGACTGAGGTGCCCGTGCAAACGAATGATCTCTGACCTGTGCGCATGGTTGTTTAGATCCAGTGCCCCTGTGCTCAGCAGGTCGGCCAGCTGCTTGCGGTTGCCGAAGTAGAGTGCCAAGTCGGTGGCGATGATGGCCTTGCGGATGATCTCCAGCACCTGTTCGTACTCGCTGGAAGTCAGGTTGGAGAAAATATTGTGCCCTTCCAGCTATGGGAAACAAAGAGATCAATAAAAAAGCAAAAGCTCCACTTAGGAGGCGTCCGGCTCAGCTGGGGGGGAGCAGCAAAGCCGACAGAAGTCCTCTCCCAAAAGTGAGCAGCTGACAGCGGCCCTATTTGAAGACGGGACTTTTATGTAATAAAAAAAGTGGGGGTGGGGGAGGAAACAAACCGTGGTTCAGGCTTTGGTCTATGACTTCAAGTGAGGGTTAAGAACGACACCAATAAATGAATAAATTTAATTAAAACTGACGAAATTCATGATTCTTTTGCATAGCATGGAATCTTTTTTAGCCTACTTCAGTTTACAAAGTGCTTAGTAATTAGATGATGAGCTGAATAAAGTGGGAAACCATCGCCTGATCCGGAATCTTCAGGGACCAGTGTGCTGCGTCTCAGAGAGTCGAAACCACCCGAATCTTGAAATGAAGAGAAATTGCCCTTAATTGTCCATTTATATGAGACAGTAGGATCCTCCTTGATCATTTCAGATTTTTGTTGCCCCAGCAAAACAACATGGGTTGAGATCATGTTAACAATTTAACAAGACTCACAAACCCTTAAAGCATTGTTTTGTCTGGCTAAAGAGGACTGCACAACATATTGCTCTTTAATCGAGATCAGCTTGCGCAGCGCTGATATCCCAGAAGCCCTACAACCCATCACAGTTTTTTTTACTGGTCCACTTATGACGTTCGTGTGGTCTCATTAACCAAAAACAGTCATGGTTCATTTTTACAGGGCTATTTTCCAACCCATCTTTGTCCATTAGAATTAAACAGACTGATTCTACTGCTGTGCCTTTAAGACTGAGATATGTAAATGAGCTCTGTTCTGACTGGCTGTCCAGTATTGTGCCTCGTTTATTAGAAAGCAGTCCAAGCTGAAACACTCCTGTTTCACTCCTGTTACATAACTTCAGCATGAATGTGAGGAGCTAAGCTGCCATAGACTGAACAGACGTATATAAATGCTGTGATTGTTGTGACGTCACAAAAACAGTGAACTTAAAATGTGCTGTTTTTGTAGCTTCATTTCCATATCTGGACTACAGAGTGAACGTTTTCCATAATACAGTAAACAAAGTATATATATATATATATATATATGTATATATATATACATATAGTCTGTAACTGTAGAACTACAAAGTGCTCCTATATAGTAAGTGGAGCTGATAAAATGGACAATGAGCGTAGAAACAAGGAGGTGGTCATAATGTTATGCCTAATCGGTGTATATATATATATATATATATATATATATATATATATATATATATATATATATATATATATATATATATATATGTATATGCAATAAAGAACAGTCAACCAGAACAGAGCTCATTTACATATCTCAGTCTTAAAGGCACAGTAACAAAAACAGTCTGTTTAACTCTAACGCATAAAGAGTGGCTGGAAAATATTTATGTGAAAATTAATTATGGGTGTTTTTTTGGTATTTAAAACAACACAAACGTCATCAGTCAGAATCAATAAATAAAAGAAAAGAAAAGAAAAGAAAAGAAAAATGCAGGATATGGGTCTTTTTAAAAATATCATACACCACTACTGTGAAAGGATCAAGGAGGAGTTACTTTCTTTGAGGGAAGTGATGGAGTCTGGATGGAGTGAGAGAGAGGAGGTGAAGACAGGGACAGGATGCAGCTTGAGCAGCTCTGTTTTCATTGTAGGAAGCCCAGAGGAAATGGATGCAGTTTGTGGGAGCTCTACCTGCAGGATAGACACAGTCTGGGAGAAATGGTGCTGCTCCATGGTGGACGTGGAGTAGAGGGCCGCCAGTGGATGGTCAAACTTCTGCAGGTAGCTGTTACTGTAGCCCCGGTGGTCCAGGTCATGACACAAACAGGCTATCAGCAGGCCTTTCCTCTGTGTGTGAGTGTGTACATCAGGTAGAAACAAGAATCAGGCCATGTTCACCAAACACGAGGCTGCACACTGTCAAAAGCCTCACACCTCATCTTGTTTTGAATTTTCATGCATAAGTGAAATTAGTTAAAATGCCCTCTACACACTTCTGCACATTATAACGCACAAATTATATTTATTTGCTGAATTTAGCCCCTGTGTGGTGTTGGGGTTTGTGGGATCCATTTTCAATGTTTACCAAAAGAGAAAATGATGTGATTTATTATTATTTCAATCTCAGATTCTTGTCCTTTGCTCATTTTCTGTGAAGAACATATAAAATAACACATTTTCAGTGTCTTCACTCTGTTCACTCACTACACATGTGTTTGTGTGTGTGTGTGTGTGTGTGTGTCTGTGTGTGTGTGTGTGAGGGTGGACAACATGGACAGGCTGCTGACTGGCTACAGCTGCTAAAGGAGAACCATACACTGGCCATGCGATATTTTAAACATCTGGTATTTTTACATAAACTGTTTTGGCTGTATTGATTTAAAAATCCAATAATGTGGTGGCTCACCAGACCACTGAGTAACAAACACATCAACACCACACAAGGGTTAACATATTGCAAAAAAAACCCAGAAAATATAAAATGTGCCATCACTTTCGCACCAGCCAAAATTTATGTTTTCTTTTTCCAATTGTTAGATTCAGCAAATATACAGTAACTATGCAAACTATTGCAAATGACTGTATTCAGTTCTGGTGTTGGAGTAAGATGATTAGGTCCACAATCTTTGGCCCACCACAAAGTGGATTAAAATGTGTGGCAATATATCGATTTATAGGAGCTTTTCCCCCCAAATAAACCTGGTTAACCCATTACTGTCCATATCTGACACTTTATATTTCTTTTGGTCCATATATTTCTGAGCCAGAGCACAAATCAAACCATATGGCTAAAAAGTGAGGTTTATCGCTTAATTTATCACATTAAATTCTTTTGGTGACATGGGACCACTGTTTTGTTAAAAAATTCAAATGGCACTACAGTTAGATGTTAATTAAAGGTGTAACTGTAAAAAAAAACAAAAAAACATTTTAGATCAATCAAAACAAACTCAACAGCATTTTTTTCTTATTATACCAAAGATCAGTTTCTGGATATAAATTGGTCATATTTTTGTAAACCAACAAGAAAATGTATGTTAAAAAGACTGTTCATAGGAAGGGTAAGAAAGACTTTCAATACCAATTTTAAGAAGCTAAAAATTATGATAACTGATCATATTGGTCAATATAATTGAATATAATAAACATTAAACAAACTCCAGTAGTTTTAAATAGTACTTCACTGACTGATACAACTGTCTACTGTCAACTCTGAATGATCAAATATGACTAGAATTACTTGTCAAGATTTAATACATTCAAATAAACAGAAGCCTTAAACACAGAGCTGCTGAGATTTGGGTTTTATAGATTATTTAAATTTCTATTTAAAGTTCTATTCAGATGAAGATGTGCTATGATACTGCACTCAATGCCCTCTACAAAGTGGTACACCATCTTTAAAATCCCCAGTCTTCACATTAAAGGTCTGTGTTTCAATATAATAAATCAAAATACTGTTGTTTTCTTAGCCGTCTCCCTGCTGATACAGATAGATCCATGAAATCAGCTAATTACTGGCTGATTTTATCAGCTGATTAATTTATCGGTCACGCTCTAGTTCAGACGGGGGGACGTACTGACCTCCAGTTCGGTGAAGATTCCAGAGGTTTTCTGCAGGATGGCGTACATGCAGTGGGCCACCGTCACAGCATGTTTCCAGTTGTGGTATGGAACTCGTCTGTAATTCTTCCGTACCGACATTGTGAAGCGACACAGTTTCTCCAGCTCAAAACTAAACACAGACAAAAACGAGCAGTTCAGATACTTAAACAAACGTATGACGTTACATACGATGACTAAAGAACACGGACAGCTACTCAAATTTAGCCCAATTTCATTCAGTCCTTCTGAAAGCAACCAGACATCTGAACTACTTTCTTATCTAAAGCACACAGACATCGGTGTTTATTCTAAGGCACTCTTGCGTCATTTACACCTGCCATTGAAGCAGCTAAGAGGTCTTGGGATTTGAGAGGCGTGAGGCGTCATTCTCACCTGCTTTTTCCACATGAACTGTGAATCATGTACACAAAGACTGCAGGCCAGAGCTCCTCATAGGGGCTGATATCGAAGTGGAACCTATAAAGGTCAATGAAGAGAATAAATCTTATATCTACTTATCTCCATATATATATATATATATATATATATATTATATATATATATATATATATATATATATTCTGTACATTTTAATGCACAATTTCTGTTTATTTGCTGAATTTAATATATTACAAAAACAAAACATAAATCATGGCCTGTGCAAAAGTTATGATTCATTCCCCCAGAAACCTTTTTAAGGTCTAATATATTAAGTTTGTTAAAAATATGACTATGGTGGGTTATGGAGCTGTACATTTAGTTTCGAGAGGAATATATATTATATCGCTGTTGTCAGAAGAAAACCTCATATCTTTATTTCTGACGTTTTCCAGTTTTTGACATAATTTGAAAATGCCTGTTTCCATTTACATTGTGTGTAAATTTCATGATGTATGGACTAAAAGAAATGGCCAAAATGCCTTGGAGAAAACATCTGGTTCCATTGACTTACATTAAAAGTAAAGCATGTTTTTTCCTTCTCCTGTAAAGTTACCATTTTGGAGATATGAGTTTTTTTTCCAACAACAGCACTATGTATATATGTAAAAGCAAAACTGTCTGCTGTTCCAGTTCTTTTCCTGTAACTGTGTGTACCGTGTGATTATATTTCATCATCCTGCACATGATAAACTCACACTCAGACTCTTTACAGTAAATGGATGCTGTTCTTAAAGGGGCATTTCCCCGTATATGTGCTGGGTGCCTGATTTAAAATTTTCAGCAAACTTTTTTCAAAAACTTTTTTTTTTATTTATATTGGGCTTCATCTTTAGCTTTTTTCTTGGTTATATTAAATGGCTTATTTTCTCACAAATTCTGACAAATGCTGCCCAAACTTAACGCTTTTTTTGATATACAAACAATAATGCCTGGTTGAATTGTTAAAAACAAACCTAAATAATTGATTTTTGAATTAATTTTAATTTTAAAGTAGTTTTAAGTAACATTTTCCAATTGAAGTGACCCATTTCTCATTACCGCATTATCAGTAATATCGGTAATGAGACACATACGTGGACACACCACAGTAATGAGAATTTGGGTCAAAAATGCCAAAAAACGTCAAAATAGTAAAATGAACTTTTTGCTGCACCAACTGATCTAAATCACATGAACACTTTATCTGTGTGATGTTTATGACACTCAAACATTTATGGGAATGTTTTGAAGTGGCTTTGTTGAGTGACCCGTAACAGAAAGAAAACACATTTTACATTTATGTTTGTCTTTGTTGACATTGAAACATACAAAAAAGTTGCAGGTAGGGATTTGAACCTGTAGATACAGAATGTAAATCATATGTAAATACGATCCCCTACGTAAGTAACTATGTAAATAAGTGTTATCACAGAATGACTTTTACATATTACAAAAACAATGATAATAACTGTAGAATAATGAACAAATGTTCTTTAATTACTGATGATATACATAACATACTCAGAAAGATGGAGTGTGACATCATTTATCATTGGAAAAGTAATATATGGTTGGATTGTCAAACACCACAGCGTCTACTCACAGCTCAATCTCTTTGTATATGGGGTCTGGAAGGGTCAGCTGTGAGAGGGTCTTCCATTCCTCCGATGTGCAGATACTGTGATATGAAAGCTTCTCCATCGTCACCCTGTAGATGCACTCCGAATGTCTGATCCGGTGATACATCTGCACACACACACACACACACACACACACACCTCGGTCAAACTTTCCTTCATCTGCAACTTATTTTCTGTTGAATTAACCCATCGTACAGACATACAATCATATGCAAAAGTATGGGCGCCCCTGTTTTGTTGATTTTCTAAGAGAAAACAAGTTGACACATCCTCTACAGAGGACACAGTTCTGCAAATTTGAATGCAAAATTACTGTTTATTTGCTGTTTTTAACATATTCAGCAAAACATTAAATGTGGTCTGTGCAAAAATTATGGCACATTTTATGTAGAAACTGTGGACTGAATTTTGCAGAAAACTGGCCTTTTAAGTGTGTTCTCTGTAAATAATGTGTTAACTTCTTCTCACTTAGAACATCAATAAACCATTTAATTGGACTGGGGGTATTCAAACTTTTACATAAGGCTGAACATATACACACACACAAGCATATGCACACAAACACACACGCAAACCACCATCAAAAAGCTTTGTATATGAAAAAAAATGCATTTGCCAAGTTTCCTCTCACCCAATCCTGCGGCACTCACAATATTCCTTACTCTTTTTTATAACTAACTGAAATAGCTGTGGGTGCACTGGGTGGGTATTTTTTTTTCACAGTGTTTTCCCTGCAATTATTTAGACACTAAAACTGACACCGAGGAAAACAAGCGTTAAGCCAAATTTCCAAAACAGTAACATGTTATGCCAAACCTCAGACACAATTCCAGCTTTGTATTCACATATCAAAAAACCAAACCACACTAATGGCAAACCTCGGAACACAATTTATCTCACACACAAACACTGTGCTGCCATCTAACGACGTGTGCTGAGGTCCTATTTGTCCTCTGAGTGTAAGTATCATTAAATAAAGTTAAATTCTGAGTGAAGATTCAAAGCATTTGACGTATCTGATATAGACAGAGGGCTGTTTCTGGCTGTTTCTGGCTTGTGAGTGGTTTTGGGGTTTATGTGGAAAATAAGTGACCCCAAAAACACCCAGTAATGACAAATATCTTATTAATGACCATTCTCTGCCAAAAAACGCACTGAAGCAGATAAATCTAAACTCCGCCACAGTGCCTTACTGTAACTACAGTTATTACATCTCAATCTAACCATCACCAGGTAAAAAAGTGTTTGTAGCCTCAAAATATTAAGGGGTCACATTAACTAGCATCGATACAATACTGGGTGTCAGTATTGGGCTGATAACCCCAGAAAATACTGGATCGGATACCGAAGAAAAAAAAAAGAATGAAGCTGACCCGATTCTGTCACAAATCTAGACTAAAACAGCACAGAACTGCTTGCTGCATCACAAAACGCAGAGCAAAGCAAACTAAGTAACGCTATAACATCAGTAACCACACGATAAGGTCACATGACGACAGTGAAAGTGTGGCTAGTACAGTGTCTGAGGACAATCGTATGCTGAAGTTTGAACACCCCCGGTCATTACATGTTTTGTTGATAATCTAAGTGAAAATAAATGAACACATCCTCTACAGAGAACTTAAACACGGCATTTCCTGCACAGTTTAGTACACAATTTCTATTTATTTGCTGAGTTTAACATATTGGAATGTGCAGAAGTGTGTTCTCTGTAGAGGACGTGTTCACTTATTTTCACTTAGTAAATCAACAAAACATACAATTTGATGAGGGGAGCCCAAACTTTTGCATAAGACTTAGTTTATCCTGTTGTTTTTGGAAGGTTTGCTGCACTGGGGACTTCACCATAGTAATAAGAGTGCTATATAAATATTACATCGTATAATTTTTCTTCATTTTAAAGCTTAGTACTTTTTAAAGGAAAAAATATTGACTGTGTGTTAGCCGACACTCAAAGTTTCAGCATCAGTATTAGCATCTAAAGATAAAAAGAAAGACAGAGATAGATAGATAGATAGATAGATAGATAGATAGATAGATAGATAGATAGATAGATAGACAGATTGAAAGATAGATCGAAAGATAGATCGATAGACAGATAGGTAGATAGGTAGATAGATAGATAGATAGATAGATAGATAGATAGATAGATAGATAGGAAATTTAGCAGCCAGTATCAGTCACACAACACAGCACAGTTATAATAATAAGAGTGATACAATATAAAAAGAAGAATATATACAAAAAACCTATCTACAGGTGTATATATACAACAAATCTGCAATAAGATCTATCCTGAGATAAAAGGCAGTGCAATAATGAATGTACGAGGAGGTGCAGGTAACAGCTTATACTGACAATACTGAATAAATATGTGCATATATCGGTTCTGAAAAAAGCAGCATTGTGCATGCGTACATGGTTTGACACTGTGTGACATACTGTTATTTATAATGAACAGAAGTACACTGCTTGGGGACGCGAGCCCTCCTAAAGAGGACTGTATTGCTGTTAATGTTGTTGTTCGTTAGTCTAAAGATAAGTGTATGTATTATTGTGTTATTCTGTGTCGGGGGGTGTGGGTGTTCTGTGTTGGGGGGTGGTCACCATTAGGGTTAAGCCTGTGGCTTTTAGTGACCTCCCCTACGAGTTCAGTGTTTTATATGTGCCTTCCTGCCCTGGTGTTTACTAAGGTGCAGTTCTTGTGGTGGAATCATGGCGTCCCGTGTTTTACTCTATGCTGACACTACGGTATATTATACAGTGTCTAAGCAGCATCTAAGCAAGTCTGTTTGAGATTGCTTAAAGGATTGCTTCACAATGATCAAACTTTAGCTAACACACACACACACACACATATATATATATATATACATATCATCAGCTAAAATCATCATTAATTAGCTAAAATTTCTTGATCGTACTACATATAATATTCATACAATTTTGATTTTGCCTTTTTGTTCATTGTACGCAACTGTTTATGAACAAGCCTAAAAAGACCAAAGCAGCCAATCAGCCATGTTGCTTTCTAGCTGTTGATACTTAATTGCTTCCAACTGATGATAGAAACAAATCAAGCTCAAATAAACAAACATTACTCACTGCTGCCCTCTAAAGGTGTTACAGCACCAGTCACAACTTTTGTTGTTTCCGTAAGACCCATAATGTGTTTTCTGCTTTCTTTTATTTATATGCATTTGCCTCAAACAAACAGGCACAAACACAATTCACATTCTCTTTGTAGTAATGTAAATATACAACTGCGAAAGCTAACTGTGGAAAATACTTGCGATCAGCTAAAATAACTGTGATGAGGCAATTTGGAATGATTGTGGCAGAGGCCTAGCGGTCAATCAGTCAAGATATGTTTCATAATATACTATAACTATACTAATGTACTACAAATATAGTCTAATAAAAATATAATCCTGGCTGATGGACTGCATGTGGGGGGAGGGGAAAATGAGATTTTTAGCTGAACTACTATCAAAGCGAGATCACCCACAGGCCCTTCAGCAGGGCTACGCACAGCACTGGTGAATGCACTGGTCTGCCACTTACATTTGCACAGTGTAAGGCCAGAGCACAGAAGACAGCGAACATCTTAAAGTTGTTCTCGTCCGTTTTAGTAAAGGCACTTCCGCTCAGCTTGTTCACCATCTGCACGACGCCTATAACGGTCCCCCGGCTGACGATGGGCATGCACAGGATGTTCCGTGTCGTGTAGCCAGTGTAGAGGTCCACTTCTCTGCGGACAGAAAGGAAGAGAAGCATGAGGAAACAGAGCATAAAAAACCCCTTCAATTATAGATGTAAATGATCTGACGCTGAGTCAAGATAGGAGAGAGGAAACAAACAGAGCAAAAAAGCTCTTTTGATGGTAGATGTAAATGAATGTCTAATTCTGGCCTCTGTACCCGTGGCCTATCCACTCCACTTTCATTTGTGTGCTCGTATGGAAGGTTTGTCATATTGGGGGATATTCCAGGTCATATAACAGTTCGTTCCGGCCACGCAAGCTGATTGGTTGGGAAGCGTTCTAACTGTGCTGTTATTTCACCATAACATCACGTTTTTTTCCACAAACACTGTATCACTCCGCTGAGACGCTGTTGCTAAGTAACGACTTTGACAGCTGTAGGTGACGGTCAAGCCATTTGAACGTTTTTACTTCTTACTTTGCCACAAACAGAAAATGGACACTTTTAAGATCACATTTGACCAACAGCCGATTTGGTCAGACTCTGAAGATGAGACGACACTAAATTCCCAAACTGTCATCACCACTGAGCAGCTTTTCAGTCGGCAGCTGTGACAGAAGAACAGCTAAACAACCTGGAATCAGCCAGAAATGAACCCAACACCATTCGCCAAACTAAATGGGCTGTAAGATGCTTGATAGTTCTGCCTCCTGATGGGATTTGGCTTAAAGGTTACAAATAGAGACCACTAGTTTCCCGTAGAACACCTTTAGATCCTATTTCAAAACCGTCAAACGCACCCGGAATCAATCAATGGTCACCTGTTAAACTATTAGGATCGTTTACATCGTCATTTCAACCCACCGTGAAAAGTCAAAACACACTACAAAACCACCAGGAACCAACAGAAACACATAACGGTTTCTATGGCGTCTTAGTATGAAGGCAACAGGACACAATATACGATCCGTCCTGCTGTTTAGTTATTTGTTGTTTGGTTGTTGTTGCTTATCCACATTAGGCTTTGGTTCACACTGCCTGTCTCTAAACTGATTTCACTGAATGTGTGTGGTGAAGTTTTCCCTCCCATATGTTTAGCCGACTTCTACCCATAATGCCTTACATGCAAGCATCAATTAAAAGAAATGCACAATGTATTGTACTGCATACACAAGTCAAAGTTTGGACACACCTAATTAAATATGCATTTTTCATAATCTTAAAGACATTTTGATCTCAAGGCTCGAGTTTGAATTCTAATGAAATTTGCTAATTGTGTACAAAGTGGTATCTACATGAAAAAATTAGCTTAAAAAATACATTTAAATCTAAAAAAAAGATAGAAAAATGATATAGTACTCTCCAAAAGTTTTCCAAGAAAATTATATTTAAGTATCTACTCTGAGGAGGGAGTGTTTATTTGTTAAAAAACAAAAACAAACAAAAACATTTAGCATTAATACGGTAAGTGGTGATTGTATATATGTTAACGTGTTGGCTGAACCGTAACAGCCCAGTTTTAACTGTATTTTTGTATTTATCATTCAATAAGCAGCTTAACTAATCAATCGTTCATTAAATTAATCTATATGATAGTTGGGGACGTCCAAAAGAAATCTGGAACCAAAGCTGTGTTCTTTTAACTAGCTTTGAAAATGTCTTTAAAAAAATTGTTACTACTGTTTTTAAAACTGTATTCATGTTTATTTGTATTCATTCTAGTTAAGTTATACACCGATCAGGGATAACATTGGCTACGTTTACACAGCAGGTAAAAGTGCCCAAATCCGATCTTTGTCCTCAAATGTGACACAGATGTGTGTCTGTGTGTCAGTGTGAACAGCAAAAAACACACTGAATCTGACATTTTCAATTCCTATTTGAAACGCTTTCATATGTGGTACTGAAATCTGATACGTATCCGATCTGCGGCAACGCGACTCAGTCTGAACAGCCAGATCGGAATTCATGCGCTGCTGAGACTCATAAACATTTAGTCTGATGTTTCTGTACCAAAACATCAGAAGAGACTTCTTTTGTGCATGCGGGTCGGTTTAGGAGCTGATCTGTTCAGACTGATGTCTCATACAGACCACATTTAAAAGATAATCTGAACAGACAAACAAAAAAATCAGATTTGCTGAGAAAATTTGAAGAAAAAGAAGATTTGGGCCACCTTTACCTGCTGTGTGAACATAGCCATTATGACCACCTCCTCAGTACCTCAGTAACACTGATGTGGTGGTGGTGTGTTAGTGTGTGTTGCGCTGGTCTGAGTGGATCAGACACAGCAGTGTTGCTGGAGTTTTTAAAACACCTCAGTGTCACTGCTGGACTGAGAATAGTCCACCAACCAAAAATATCCAGCCAACAGCGTCCTGTGGGCAGCGTCCTGTGACCACTGATGAAGGACTAGAGGATGACCAACACAAACTGTGCAGCAGCAGATGAGCTATCGTCTCTGACTTTACATCTACAAGGTGGACTGACAAGGTAGGAGTGTCTAATAGAGTGGACAGTGAGTGGACACAGTGTAAAAAAACTCCAGCAGCACTGCTGTGTCTGATCCACTCAGACCAGCACAACACACACTAACACACCACCGCCACGTCAGTCTCACTGCAGTGCTGAGAATGATCCACCACCCAAATAGTACCTGCTCTGTGAGGGTTCATGGGGGTCCTGACCACTGAAGAACAGGGTAAAAGGGGGCTAACAAAGTATGCAGAGAAACAGATGGACTACAGTCTGTAACTGTAGAACTACAAAGTGCACCTATATAGTAAGTGGAGCTGATAAAATGGACAATGAGTGTAGAAACAAGGAGGTGGTCATAATGTTATACCTGATCAGTGTGCAGTGTTTTACTGGTCATAACACACTCATACTCTATATATTCTTTAAATGCTCCCAGCAAGTATATATGGATCTTCACGCTGAGAAGTGATCCCAGGTGGCTCCTCATGAAGCTGCTTGAGAGAACGTGTTATTTTATATAGTGTGTAATATATATACAGACACTTTTGTCTTCTGGAAGTTATTATCCTTGCTGTTAATGCCGAAACACTAACACAGCACATGAAGAGAAGAACAATGCATCTCTCCGTAGCCATGGTGACGGCAGCTTCATGTTTCTGCTGGAGAGTTGCAAGGCCGTCTCACAGTTTGCCCTCGTTTATACCTTGTTTATACCCTCTCTCGTGATTAGGGTGCCCTCCACAGTGTAACCTCATATGGAGTGACACTGTAGTGGAGTGTCAGTGGTGAAGGGTGGGTGAAACGGCAAAACACACCACAACTAAAGACATTTTAACAATACATATCAGCCTTTATTCATCAAAACTGTTCAAAAAAGACTGCAGATTTGGTCGCCTTTAAAGACGTACAATCCACACTGCGTCTGATTCATGAAACTTTTGTATGTTGGGGAGATTTGAGCACAAATGATGAATCAGCTTCGGTGCGTGAAATCAAGCGCCAGCCAACCAGTACTTCATTTATCATATCATTTGCGTGAAGCATGCACCAATCCATGAAGTTGTTTCAGTAAGGAGCCAATAAAACAACAGCGTTCAGTGGTTTGTGAGCCAATGGCTGTGCTCATGGGCGGAGTCTGAGGTTGTGCTCCCCCTACTGATCAAACGTCATAATGCTATAATTATGACAACTGAACAGAAAAATGTGAAACAAAGAAAATGTGTTACAAACTCAATTCCAAAAGGTTGGGACAGTAGGCAAAATGCATTTAAGGTAGAAAGCACTGCTGTAAATCTAGTTTCACCTGTTTTTGAACAGTTCAGAGAAAAGATATGGAGTGTTTTTTGACGTTTTTCAGTTTTTGACATCATTTAAAAGACCCCATTGTCCTTTACATTGTATGTAAATTTTGTGATGAATGGACTAAAAGAAATGACCCAAAATGACGTCTGGCTTCCACTGACTTACATTAAAAGTAAAGTAGGTTTTAAAAATTATACTCAAATTCACACACACTCCTATCAGGCGTGTGATCTGAGTGAGATTTTGTGAACGAGCTGGAACAGTCAAAATGCAAAAAAGTCACGTTTAAATATGGCCATAAAAACTCAATTCAATGTTTGGAAAAATAAACTATTTAATAATGAAAAGAAGGAAAAATACATGAGAAAAATTTAAAGGCACAGTGTGCTGACATCCAATCAGCTACTGGTTACTATGCAGTCTGCACAGTTACTAAACACCGTTTGTTGTTGTTTACAGACTCTACAACTGATCGAAATCTGTTTTTTCTTATACATGCGATTGTTCAGTGTTCCAGAAGTACTAATGATCCCCACGCTGCACTTAGGAAAGCATACAGTGATGTAATTTACCATGCTAATGATAACTTACACTGCCCACCTCTAGCAGGTTTCTAGCTCATTTTGAGCTTTGGGGAACCACCTTAAAGCATATTGACACGAAACGTCCACTCAGTCCTGCTAGCAGAAGCATCTGTATTCTGTGACAAACAGCATGATTAATAGAGCCGATTAGGTTATTTTGCTACATCTAGCCCCAGAGTCTTTCTCCAAGGCAGTTAATTATACATGACTAACGCCATGAACACTTAGAGGGACGCTGCAGTCTACTGAAGCCTTGTGTGAGACTCATGTCATTTCTCCTCATCCAGCAGCCCATAACAAGAACTTGGTTGTGCGAGTTGTAATACAGCCATGTTATGTACAGTTTATATACAGTGATAAACAGAAATGCTGTTACCTGTTGAACCGTGGGTCTGCATAGGCGTCTGGAATATTCAACACCTCTCCTGTCCGCGCCACTTGACCAGCGATGCCTTTCTCTATAGAAAACCTAGGACACGCCAAATCCATGACATGAAATTAAAACTACGCCACATCATCATTATGTTTATAACACCTGACAGGTGTTACGTCAACTTGACATTAAAGTTGCCAAAAACAGCTTTTATGACAGATGGTGTTTATGGGAGTAAGCTGTTATAAAGTTTTGTGTAGATTTAAAGGGGAAATCCACCAATTTTCCAAACTATCACCATAATTTGATGGTCGAGATGTCAGCAAAGTCATTCAGAGTGGTTTGATGTAAAATGTTCCATTCTAGACAAACCTCAGATTTTATTTACAGTGTTTGTGACGGTCTGTTTGTATGAGTCCTGACATCTACAACACTAATATAGCCATTTTGTTTACTATCCAAATCCACCAGTGGACCTACACGTGTCTTCTGAGTTTATATATGTGATGTCGATGATGGTAAAAAGTTTCCTTTGGCCTTGAATAAATTAAAAAAACATTTTCGGCCAAAGTATTATCTCAGAACCATCATAAACCAACGTCTCAGGCATCATGCAGCAAATTTTGTAACCGTTTCGTGTAACAACTATCTGTGAAGTAACGTTGTGAGACATTAAAATCTTCAGACATCTGGTTCCCATCACCACCAGTGTGAAAACTTCTCCAGAACGGAGCACCTCACATCAAACCACTCTGACATCTCAACGTTTATGCAGAAATGTACGTTTTTCAGACTGAATCAACTGTCATGGCGATTTTATATAAGTGTCATTTAGACCTATAAACACTGCCCTACAGACTACATTTCTGACTGTAAGGATAGTGTTACAGAAAAAAATCAGATTTCTGACACAGTATCTTTATAGTGCTGTTAGTTTATAGCTACTGAATACTTACTGTACAGTTAGGATTTGTGTATTTTTTACAGTAGGCAGTCAAGAGAATCATGAGAACACTTTCACTGCTCTCCAAAGCAGTGAACTGTAGTAATTTCTGACTGTATCGAATGAGGCCGGTGTCCAGGTCACGCTAGGACACTGCGCTGCGGCTGTGGTAGGTCTGCACCCTGTTAAAGTGACTACATCCTGAGTGGGGGGGGGTATGCTTATCTCATTACTCATTACACACACTCAACACTGTCACATGCACGTCGATGCCACATTGCTAAGGGCTTAGCGCCTCTGTAAGCCACAGAAGAGCCTGCACACTGTCCAGGGTGGAGCACCCACAGTCAGCAGGAACAGCCAGCAGAGCTTTAAAGAACAGCTGCCCATCAAGAGTTCTGGGACACCCAGCTTTCCAAATGTTTTTAAAGCAAATGAACATGTTTTCTTTGTTAATTTGCAACAAAATATTAAAGAATAATGAGGTTTATGTAACAATATATAAGCAATATCACGTGTGCAAATATCTGTGATTGACGGCTACAAAAGGGAGAGAGAAAATAAACAAAAACAAAACCAAAAAAATACCCAAAAACCCCAGATAGACTGAAAAGCCACCATTTAGCAGCTGTAACTGCTAAGTTGGAAATGCCTGGAAACTGTTCGGACAAAGAAAGCGCGTGTAGCAGTTGTGGCTGCTGAGGGAGGGTTTAATTTTACCTTTCACAAACATTTACATATGTAATAAAATAAACCTGGTTAGTCTTTAACATGTCTAGTTATTGCAAACTGACAAAGAAAACATGCAAATTGGCATCAGAAACACTTTGAAAGGCTAAGTATAACCAAACTCTGCACTGTACACAGCATATCTAAATAGACAGCACCACTTTACTATTACGCTACCCCTACTAAAGCATTTAAGAAAGGTTTAAATCTTGTTTATACTTATTAATTAGGTCATAAACATCTTAACACATTAATAAGCAATAACAGCAGGCTGACTGTTAAGCTGTAAGAAGACTATTTTCTCTATTATTTTACTAAAAAACAGAGGTTGACAGATCGGAACTGAGGAATCACGGCTATGTTTCTTCAATAATAGTCTTACAACTGCTGTTTTAAGACCATTGTGCCTGTTTACAAAGCACAATTTACACACCTGGACAAAGGCTGACAAACACTTCTTTAAAAATGCTGTTGGAAAAAGATCTAAAACACAGGTAGAGGAATTTAACCGCATGAGTTTTTGAGTTCTGTCTCATTAGTCTTTTCAAAACTATTTATAGTGTTTTGCTGTTGAATAAAAATAGAGTTCACTATTTTTGTATTAAAAATGAACTCAAAATCATTACATTTTGATGTTGAAGCCTCAGTGAGATAGTCATGGTTAATTTAGGATTTAACAGGTGATCAATTATTGAAAATAAAACTCTTGGGTTGTTTCCGTTATCAGTAATAAGTTTTGAGTAGTATTTTTGTCTCTGTTCAGACCGCATTGTTATAAATATCAGTGCTATTTTTAAGAACAGTCAGTCTTCCTCCACTTCCTTTCTGCTTTGCGGCAGTTCCTTTTCAATAGGTTTATCTGTTCATTTTTCTATGGCACTTTGTGGTCAAGGGTTTTGTTTCTTGTGTAACACGAGATCTAAAATAGTTCTTAGCTTATAGTTAAAATTGCTGACCACATCATGCCCTGTTGAGTTAATATACACAGTGGAGGTTCATAATGTGGAGTGTTACTAAAAGCAGCCGCTGTTGAGGTGCTAAAATATCATTTTTCCTTCATTTTTGTTACTCTGTCTTTCATGTCAGCAGAAGCAGACATACTAAAAACCACACAGCAGTGATTTGAGATGGCGATATGCTAATAAATAAAACTTGTGACGAGACTAAATCCAAAGTGTGACCATGAATATGTGTCAGGCTAGTTACGTGCTGAGTAAAATCAAACGTGTGAATTCAGTAACTTTTTTTTCTGAGGTTTCATCAACATGAAAATTGAGTCAGAAGAATCCTATCATGATTAGTTACACAGACAGACAGTAGTTCAGACAAGTCTGGTAAGAAAGAGGTGCGTATTTGGGTGGACGATAAACAACCACCAGCAAGACTGGCTCCTGACCATTAAGTAGAACAGCAAGACATTCAAAAGAAGAAACTGTTGAAGCGAAATGTTTTTGCAATTAAAAATACTGGAAAAAACAACAGCTAGACCACCTCCCTTCTCACCGTCCTGTACAGTATGGATAAAATCATGATTCTATAATTCTGTGGAGGAGTTTCAAAAAGGGAAGCTGCCTCATCTGAACTGAGGTTTCAGTGTCATAAAATCTGTTTCTGTTCAGAAATAACATCACTGATAGTGCTGGTTTTGTTAGTTAGTGCTCTTACAATCAGCAGTGCCACCAAATTTATATCAGTACGTGCTGCATTGCGATTGCTTGCTACAGTCCGAACAGAGAAGCAACCAGTGGTACCAGATGAGTTCTTATTTGTTTATTTACTTCTCTATTTTCATGCCACATTTTACTGATCGCCTGATAGATACCAAAAACCAACATATCGCTGCTGTCGGAAGAAAATCTTATATCTCCAAAATGGTAACTTTACAGGAGAAGGAAAAAACCTACGTTACTTTTAATGTAAGTCAGTGGAACCAGAATTTTTTCCAAGTCATTCTGGGCCGTTTCTTTTGGTCCATTCATCATGAAATCAACACACAATGTAAAGAGCAACAGGTATTTTTCAAGTATGTCAAAAATGGAGATATGAGGTTTTGTTCCCACAGCAGCGATATGCTGAGCATGCACTGCTAAACATACAAAGGACAGCAAAGACTCACCTAATTTCTTTGGTTTTCCTAAAGACCGGTTTCCCTTCATTCTCCTCCCCGATATCAAACAGGTCAGAGTACAGTTCTTTATTATTGTGATCAACCTGGAAGAGGGCGCACCTGTCTGCATTCACCAGGTTTTTTGCATATATCTGGAACACAAGAGAGAACAGCATGCACATCTATTAACACATCTCCTGTTTGGTTGCGTAGCGCGGTCGAGCATGGTGCAATAACACACGCTTAACAATGCAAGTGCCCAAAAAGGGGTTCTTTGGAGTGAAGAACAACTTCTGGTTCCCTAAAGCAGAGGTTCACAGACCGGTCATCAGGTCCACCCAGGCAGTCCACATTTTTGCTTCAACCTGACCCTCAACACACTATGACATAGCAAAAATATGGACCGTCTGGGAGGCCTTGAGGACCGGTTTGAGAACCACGGCCCAGAAGAACCTTTCAAGAGAGTCACAATTCAGCTCAACGCAATTTGATGCACAACATTTGAGGAAGGATCTTTAAAAGTCACATGGGAAGCATTTCTGCTGTCTGTATTCTCCTCCTGCATGTTTGTGCATGAGAGGCACGGCGAGGGAAACATCTCGTTCCTTCTCGAGTTTTACGACATTACGCTGAGCCTGTTACTGTCGCTCTTTGCTCATCTGTAGCCTGTGGACTTGTGGACGTGGGAAGTGTCTGGCAGACGCTTTTCTGAAGAAAGAGTTATGACTATTATTGGTTTGAGTGCTTTAGCATAAAGCGTTGCTGGGAAGAGGCTGGGGCTGATAGAATTTCAGACGCTCCGACTCCTGAAGTCGGAGTATGTGACTGGGGTCGCGTCTGTCCCCTTGCTGACCTGCCAACATCACTTCCTGTGCTGCTTGGCTCAGCAGGAAGAGAGGCAGACGGGGAGGGGGGGCCGTGATCTGATACTTGGCATGTGTGTGTGTGTGCGTATTGATGTGTTTGTTTTGGTATATTTTCAGGACAAATATCCTGATTTTGTAAGAAAGCCAGAGAAAAACAGGTTTGGATTAGTCTTAGGCCTTCATTTGAGAGAGAGCCATCAGTGGAACATCTTGCCTTTTAAAAGCTGTATTTGAATCAGAGGGCTACAGTCACAAAGTCTAGCAACAGCGCACGGGCAGCTGGGTTTCAGGGTGGAACTATGGATGGTCAGACCACGAAAATGCATTAACAGCATTTATGAAATCTATTACGTATTAATCATTTATTGCATTACAGTGCTACTAATGTGTTCTCTTTGACACCATAAATGGCCAAATTATATCTTTTTTAAGTAAGAAGAAGTAAACACAACCTCAGCAGTTAACATGTTTATTTACAGTTACTTTGTATTTTGTATTTAATTAATGTATAAACACAATAAAATAAAATAGTATTTGTGGAATGTGCAAAAGTTTGAGCATGCTTCCAGTAGCGAAGTCTCAGAACTTCATTTGTTAGGCCTTGATTGACTCGTTAGAACTGGTTAGGCAGGCCAGGAATCGTCATCAGGAATTGTCAGCAGATGACAATTACAAAGTGTAATAAATGCTCTGACTCTTCAAACCTTGTGCTTACACTCAACAACCATGAGCTCCTCTAAGCAGCTGGCTAAGGATCTGAGAGTGAAGCTAAATGATGCCTTCAAAGCAGGGGAAGGCTGCTGCTTGCACAAACATGATCTGCATATTGAAGAGGGAAACTTTACCTTTGACTTCATCAGAAAAGGCAATGCCTAAACAACTAGATGTCCCACTATCCCACCATCCAACCCACGTGGATATGGCGATCGTGCTTTCTTTAGGTCGGCTCCCCGACTCTGGAACTCTCTTCCCCCAACATGCCCAACAGGCTAATTCTATCTTCAAAATTAAATCTAATCTTAAAACCCATCTCTTCTCTCTTGGTTATAACTATCCACAGCCTTAAATGAACTCTCTGCCAAGTCTTGTCATGTCTCTGCTTGTGATCCTACGGTTTTGTGTTCTTGCTTCCATGTCTGTCTCTTGTGTTTTGTGTTTTAAAAAAATTTGTAAGCGTCTGAGTACTTGAAAAGCGCTATATGTGTATTAATATTATTATTATTATTATTAGATAAGCCAGATGTATTCTGGAAACAAGTGCTGTGGACTGATGAAGTGGAAATGGAACTCTTTGGCCACACTGACCAAAGGTATGTTTGGAGAAAAAAGGAGCAGCAATTGATGAAAAGAACACCTTGCCAGCTGTTAAGCATGAGAGTAGATCTATTATGCTTTGTTATTGTGTGGCAGCCACTGGCACAGGAAACACTGCAGGGATAAATGGAAGAATGGATTCCAATAAATAAAAGAAAATTCTGGAAGTAACTGTGACACAGTCAGTCAAGAAGCTGAAGCTACAACAGGACAATGATCCTAAACACACCCCAAAATCCACCATGATCTACATCTAGAAACGCAAGCTTTTGGAATGGCCCTCACAGTCCCCTGAACATCTGACCTGACCTGAACATCACTGAAAATTAGTGGCTAGACTTTGTTGCTGTGCATGCAAAGCAGTCCAAGAAAGACTCTTAGCTGGCTAAACCATATGAAGCACTTACTAGTGTGTCCAAACATTGCACACCACAATTTTTTTTTAGTTAATTAAATTTAAGTTAATCAAATTTAAAGTAACTGATTGTTTAAAAAACATATTTTTTAGAAAGGTTTGCTGCACAGGCTGCTTTACGCCTTTTTACAAAAGTTAGATGTTTTGTTGATTTTCTAAGTGAAAGTGAATCAAGACATCCTCTACAGTAACCATACAAACTTAAACATACAATTGTTCTGCACATTTTTCTCTGTAATTATTCTTTATTTGCCAAATTTAACATACTGGGGGAAAAATAAGACATAAAAGTGTGGCTCATGTAAAAGTTCAGACACATTTAATATTTAAATTAAGTAAATAAACAGAAACTGTGCACTAAAATTAGCAAAATTGGCTTCAACATTAGCCATGTTGAAGTGTGTTCCCTGTAGAGGATGTGTTCATTTTTCAGTTGGAAAAATCAAACTGGGGGTAACTGTAATTCGACTGGGGGTGCCCAAACTTTTGCATGTATGACATCACGTCATGAAAATGAATAAAAACAAACTTGTGTGTGCATGCGTCTTTAGGAAGCTGAAAAAGAAGAAGAGCAACAGAGGGACAGGATGAGGAAGTGAGAGTGAGAGAGAGAGAGAGAGAAAGAGAGAGAGAGTAAAAGAGTGAAAGACTATGTACACAAAATCCAATGTAGAGAAAGCCCAGGGGGAACGTGCATGAGCAGCTTCTAGAGGGGGTTATCACCGAACATGGCGAAAACCAAAAGAGAAGAGTTCTTTCATTGCTCATATTTCTTCACCAGTGATGGCGACACAGATGAGCGACAAAAGAACAGCATGTTTTCTCCTCATGACCAGGCATGTGACCCTGCTGAGGAAAAAAAAGCAAACATACTCACCATAATATGTTCAAGTAGAGAATCTATTGCCACAATGTTGTCGAAGTATGTTCTGTAGGGAGTTGGGAAAAAAACAGAGGAAAGAGCTGCAATTTTAAATGGATAGTTTGATTCCTGTGGCCACCTTTTGTCTTTCATGTCAGGTTATAACATCACACATCAAAGTCAGTAAGTAAGTAAGTTAGTAATTAAATAAATAAATGAACAAAGTACATGGAAGTCATACACGTATGTGGTATAGCCTTCTTTCTTCTATAGGGTGAACAGTATTTGAGTTATTTGTGGCCTGGCTCAGTTTTACTGTCTTATTTTATAACACTGAGAATAAAGGCTTTGCTATCCGTGGACGTACATGCGCCCATATGGTCACTTACTTTGACACATCTAGAAGGAAGTCGTTGAGCTCCGTCTGCTTGGCCAGACCTCTGCAGACCTGCAAACGACAGGACAGAAATCTCAATGACAGACAGTTATTAAAGCAATAAGCCATGAGAGACTGCGCGTTACTGCAATTTTATCATGGGAAGAGTGTTACAGGACAGGAAGCGGAGTGCCTAAAACTCCCTTCCCTGTGATAAAATCACTGTAATGCACGGCCTCTGGTGGCTTATTGCTTTAATAAGATGGCCAACATAAAATATGATAAAATACATGATTTTTCAAAAAATAATGTGTTATTATTAATAATAATCAACATTAACAAGTATTCCGTGGGGTTGACGCTACTTCTGACTGAAACACGGACATTTGAAGTGTGTGATCCATTCAAGTGACATTCTTCAGACTTTTATACTGCTGTTTTACAGGTAATCATACTGTAAGTACTTTAATTCAAGCCTGTGATATTAATAATGGAGCTGTTTAGGCTGTTGGCTCTTTTAGCCTGTTAGCTAGCTGACCAGCCTGGTTCTAGATAAGAATATAAGTCTCCAGCCCCTCAGTTTAAACAGAAAACGGGTTCTTACTTCATCAGTACTCTCGGTGCTCCATGTGAGCAACATTAGAGTCAAAGATTATTCCATTAACAGCACAAGGGTCAAAGTCGTGGTGCAGTAATACACAATTCAGTTGTTGTGTGGTGGTCATAGGTGCGCGTATATCGTGGATTTTACAAAGGCTCTGAATGCAGCTCAGCAGATTTGAGAACTGGATCTGCTACATCATTTTTTTTTTATTCACTCACCCATTAAAAGTCATGCATTTCAGTTCACGTGTCTGTTATTATGCCATCATATATCCAAATCTTTCCTCGAGAGGTACTAATGCTCAAGCTCAGCATGTGGTGACTTGCTGTTGTTAAAGTCAGTCAACATTAAGACTTCACTGTTAAGATACTATGAGTGCTCGACATACTGCTGAGAGTCCTGAGCGCTGAGTCTCAGCTCTCTGATTTTACAGAGGGGATTTTAGACTCACATTTACCTGCTTTTGTAGACAGTCATTTGCATTAGTAGTTGTATTTATAGAACTTAGGGCCCAAAATACATTCATTCCATATATGGTAGGTGCCTCAGCAATGAACGTTTAAATACAGCCTGTTTTTTGATGCATTTCTTACCAACGTAATGTAATCTATAACATGAACAGCCCTCAGTAATGTTACAGAAGATAGATGAAGTGATGAAATAACTAGTTTATAACTAGTTTGTAGCAATAATGACGGCCTTCTCTGCAGGCTAGGCTAAGACCCTATGGCCCTATTAAAGCTGCTGAATTTCAATCACTGGTTATTGTTTTTTCTGAAATAATTTTTAAAAAAGGATGAGTTATAGTTTGAACAGCCCTGGTCAAATTGCATATTTTGTTTATTTTCTCGGCGAAAACAAGTTAACACATCCTCTACAGAGAACAAACTTAAAGATTGCATTATTCTGATAAAGTTAGTACACAAAGTCTATTTATTTGCTGAGTTTAACATATTGGAAAAAAAGAAAAACATAAAATAATTAACAGGCCATATTTCATTATTATTTTTTCTAATATGTTTACTTAATAATCAAATAAACAGTATTTGTGTATTAAAATGTGCAGAAGTGTGTTCTCTGTAGAGGATGTGTTTCACTCAGAAAATCAACAAAACACATTATTTGTTGCATACAACTCCATATTACAGGCTGCAGTTTAAATATTAAAAAAATTTAAAATACAAATAATATGTACACTACCTTTCAAAAGTCTCACGGTTTTGAATGAGAAAAAAATCATTTAAAATACACGTATAAAAATTACTCCTATATGTTGTTAATATTGTATAACTTTGAAACAAATTATAGGAAGCTATAAAAATTTTGGACATTTTTATGATGAACAGATCTATATGTGATTGCATAATAACCATCATTTATTCCTAATTATAATCACCAGCATCACTGTAATATTTTATCTGACAAGTTTTGACCAACATTAACACTCAAAGGTAATACGAGGGGGTGGAGATCACGTCTGCAGTGGCTGAGATTTTTAAAACGTACAATTAAAAAAGAAAAACATCTCCCAAGTGAAATCCCCATCACGCAGGAGCCTATATACAAATGTAAAGTCATTATAGTAGTGAACCGTGCCGCCTGTCACAGCTGCCTAAAAACAACAGAAACAGTTATAGCAGAAGTTGGGACACCTCTGGGGTTTATCTTAAAGTTAGGACAGTATTTAGGAGATTTGGTGTAGTTTTCTTATCTGGAGTTAATGATGAGATCATGAACTTAAGCCCTGTTGTTCTATAATAGCTTCTGTCCTGAATTCAGTCCTAACTGAAGTTGTCATGGTGACTCAACAGATACGATAAGATTTCAGAGTTAAGACATTGCTCTAACACAGCTCCAGGTCACTGTCCTGCAGTTCCTGATGTTCTAGAAGGTTCCTGAGCTCACACTGAAAGGCAGACGCACTGGGCCCTGTTATGTGCTGGGACACCAAGACTCAGACTGCTGTCACAAGCTGCTGGCAACTGCTCATGTGCAAACAAGGTTGCGGCGTCATAATTATGTCCCCGAGGTGCGTGTGTGCGTTGAATGTATGGTCTGGTTGCTCACACTGGGGCTCTGAGACAGCCCACTCCATTACACTGTGGATTTCGAACTTGAAAACACGTGTGTGGAACCAGAACAAACACGCCGCGTTTCACGCGACAGGAGGAGCGTGTTTGGTGACCCCCCTGGAAAGTTCACCTACAGTGACGTAGGAGTTACAGAATGCTGTTTGTACTCACCTGCACTTGGTGAATAGCTACAGAAGCCCATGCCAAATTTGCTGTGGCAACCTTAGAAAGAAATGAAAAAAACTCCCTTAGACAAAAGCAGCACAGCTAAGACCCACACAGTACAGTACAGTCTAAAGCTTAGACACACCAACTTTTCCATACTTTGGAATGAAACTGTACACAGAATTGTCAAACAACACACACATGTATATATTTTAGATTCCTCACTCTTGGCTTTCTCTCAGGAGGCCTGTCATGCTTTTGGAGGTAAATACACAAAGGCTTCAACTATAATTTATATTTGTCTCAGAAACAAATTACAAGTATTTAATCTTATGCTTTTAGATTAAAATGTACAGAGCCCTGCTGGTGACATCCTGTATAAATAAAAATATTGCGTGGCCACCACTTAAGGCATGGGAACGAGATAATTAAGTCATGGCCACGACTTAGTAAGGCATGGGAACCAGATCCTAATGCATGGCCACGACTTAGTAAGGCATGGGAATGAGATTCTTATGTGTGGCCACGACTTAGTAAGGCATGGGAACGAGATCCTAATTTGTGGCCACGACTTAGTAAGGCTTGAGAACGAGATCCTAATGCATGGCCACGACTTAGTAAGGCTTGAGAACGAGATCCTAATGCATGGCCACGACTTAGTAAGGCATGGGAATGAAATCCTAATGTGTGGCCACGACTAAGTGAGGCATGAGAATAGATCCTAATGCATGGCCACGACTTAGTAAGGCATGGGAATGAGATCCTAATGTGTGGCCATGACTTAGTAAGGCATGGAAACGAGATCCTAATGTGTGGCCACAACTTAGCAAGGCATGGGAACGAGATCCTACTGCATGGCACGACTTAGTAATGCATAATCTCGTTCCCACACCTTACTAAGTTGTGGCCACGACTTAATTATCCAGTTCCCACACCTTACTAAGTCATGTCTACACATTAGGATTTTATTCCCACATATTAATATGGCGTGCCGGCACATTATTTTTATTTATATGCGATGTTACCAGCAGGGCTCCGTAAAATGTCTAGGACAAACAGCAGACAGTATTGGGCGATTCAGAACAATGGACTGACCACCCCAGAGTCCAGACCGCAACGTCACTAAATGTCTTTGGGATTCTGTTGTTAAATATTTGTTTTGAGATTTTTTTCCTGATGCTAAAAAATAAATAAAGGTAATAAACGATTGAAGAATTGAAGAATAATTGCACACTACTGTCCGTCCTCCGTGATGTTAAATTCATACACTATGTCTGTATTGCTGTTTTTATAGGGGGAATATCTCTCTGTGTCGCTATATTATCAGAATAAAGACTAAAGATTTGAGCAAAACGCTAACTTTCCAAACAATGAATGAAAGCTAGCTGGAACAGTCGGCAACCGATGATGACTTTACTAACAACTCTGGAATTTTTGTTGAACTATTAACCATTTATAGGAATGATATCAGTGTCACTTATACATTATATGCCCAAAAGTATGTGTGCACCTGGTTATACAACGTTTCTTCTCAAATGATAGGTGTTAGTAGTAAGTTTGGCTCCCTTTGCTGCAGTGACAGCCTCTGGTCTTCTGGAAAGGCTTTACACTACATGTTGCAACATTGTTGTGCGGATCTGATTGCAGCCACAAGAGCATTAGTGAGGTCAGGAACTGATGTTGGATGATTAGTTCTGGACACTCCAGCTCATCCCAAAGGTACTGGATGGAGCTCCATCTCTCCAGCAAACAGACGTACGGTCACAGCTGAGCACCTGTGTCAGCAATGTGTACGCTGAACTAATTAGAAGGGGTGTCTGGATCAGAGTATGGGAGTGGAGGGGAGCGGCAGACATTTCCGCTCCGCGCTCAAAGCGTTCTGCGATCACTCTGCTCCAACTCCGGTTCGGTTTTAATTTCCCGCTCCTCGCTCACACATCAGAGGAATCCCGCTCCGTGTCTGTTCCATATGACTCATTCTTATGAAACTGAGTTGAGCGTAAGGACAAGTGTCTACACACTTCTTTTCATGAGCGGTATAATTTATGGCTGTTAATAAATGAGAAACTAAAACATTCTATGCTACACAGGCTTTTTCGGCAGGCATAGGCTTGAAACAATGGCCCAATCACAAGCCGGAAAACCGCAGAGGGTAAACAAATGCATGAGCTTTTAAGACAGTGGGCCTCATTCACCAATATCTTCCTAAGTTTTTTCTGTGTTCTTGAGAAAGGTCGTAAGAAAAGTCTACGTCAGATTCATGACGTGTTCTTAAACCGCAGAACTGTTCACACCTTTGTGCTCTTGAGTGTGAGTAGATTCTGTTCTTACCTGAGAACAAACCCCAGATAAGAAAACACTGGTGAGTCAGAATCTTCATGAAAGGTCGGTTTTAAGAAGAAATTTCGGTAACACTTTCTATAAATGTCACCTTTGTAAGCATCTATAAACACATTCATAACATGTTATAATGCATTCATAAGACATTATAAACATAGCTATAAATATTTATGAAAATGCATTATACGTTATAGCCATGTTTATTATGCATTATGAATTGTTAACATAATACATTATAAGTACTGTTCATAACAAATTATAAGAGCTCATAAGTCGTATTTGTCCGCTCTAAGTAAAGTGAAGCGTCCTGTACTAAATCCTCCTCCAGTGTTAAGAGTGAGGCTTCAAGTTGAAGTATTTACTGAAGGATTTACTGAAACACTAAAACATTCACAATAAAGCACATTACAGGCTTCAAATGTCAGAGTTTAAACTAGAGCTGCCATCAGTGTTTTACCCAATGTGGGAAAGTCAATGTACACCACCGTTAGCTTGGTATTTGTCTTTACTTTACGCTCTCCAAGCTGGGACTGACTTCTTTGGCACTGACATTATAACATGTTATTAACACTATTTATAATGCATTATTTTGACAATTCATAATATATAATAAACATGGCTATAAAGTGTAATCAGTGTAATTCTTTTTTATAAATATTTATAACCATATTTATAATGCCTTATAAATACATTATAACATGTTATAAATGTGTTTATAGATAGCTTACAAATGCGACATTCATAGAAAGTGTTACCGAAATTTCTTCTTAAGAGGTGTTGGTGAATGAGGCCCAATCTACTTTATCATCATTCATGCAGCAAAATGGGCAACATGAGACAAATGGTGTGCAATATCCACAGAACTTTGTTGTGATCAGTGAGATCAGTGAGATACACAGCAAACGCTGTGTATGAATGATCTGATATGAGCGATGTCAGAGTGAGAGAGAACTCAGACGCTTCGACGTTCTAAAAAGCTGCTCCGCACTATGGGCAAAATCACGCTGCACCACTCTCACTCTGCTCCACTCTCACTCTGCACCACTCTCACTCTGCTCCACTCTCACTCTGCACCACTCTCACTCTGCACCACTCTCACAATCTGGTCTGGATCCTTTTGGACATATAGTGTGTTTTATAGCACTGTTCCGAAAGTCAGAGCCGTCATTGCGCCTCCATGAAGACATCTAAGACAGAACCACACAAATGCATGCAGCAGTGTCTGTTTTCCTCTCTGTGGTGGTCTGTACCTCCTGGTGGCTGAGGTTGAAAGGCTCTCTGCCCAGGTGGCGGTGCAGCTCCAGCACGGCGATGAGGTCACCGATGGCGGTGAGGATGGGGAGACACAGAACAGAGTGAACACGAATCCCTGAGTCCTGCCCTGTGCCGTGGGGGAACCGCTCGTCCTGTATGCACAAGAAACATACCACACCACACATGAACACTCCGGTAATGCAAGTAATCAGCTCTCAAATGCAGTGATGCATCGTTCCAGTGCAGGAATCTCTCAATGACACTAAACTTTCCCACTTTAGCTGCTCTAACATGCTGATTCCAGTCAGACAGTGCAGGAAAAACAATATTTCATTTTTACATATACACTCTACTGTCATCATACAGTCACTCAACTGTCAACACATGAACATATAACACAAGACATATAGGGCCCATATTATGAAAAACTCAATTTCCCTTCACTTTTTTGTTTAAAGTAATGTGTAAACACTGTTAAAGTTTCTTATTCACATATTCTGATTCTGTGACAACTTCTTACACATTTTTTCAGCTACACATTTGTTCAAGTTGTATGCATTTTTGGACTCTTTATCTAGAAAACAAAAAAGTTCTATCTCCAAAATCACTCTAACTTAGTTCTATAAGGCTCTATCTGTGAGCCAGTCAGCACACAAGAGGACCAATCAGGTCCTGCTTCCTTGTCATGTTACCACGCTGCTCAGTGACTGTGGGAAAAGTTTATAAAACTGTGTGAAACATGAAACTCTGCTTGTCTTCTTGCAGTTCTTTAAAAAGTCTTATCATCTTAAAATGTATAAATTTTGAGCTTCAAATTTAATCAAATAGTACACATTTGAATTGATGGGGTTACAACATAATTACAACATAAACATTAACTTCATGAATTCGTTCATCTCTTCTTTTTCTTCTTTCTCCCAAAATAAGACACTTTGACTCATTAGAGTCACATTTCTGACATAAAACAAAACCTCATACAGCCTTTAGCCTGACCTGCTACACTGACCTGCTGGGACAGTTTATTACAGTAGCTGGTTTCTGTCTAACTAAAGGAAACTTACACTAATGGTTCCTACCTAAAACTGACCTCTGCACTGGACAAAATATTTAAAACTGAACTTCATACTTAATCTGCAATGCTTTTTTGAATAAGAAAAATCTGATTTGTCTTAAAACAAGAAATAAATGTCATTAAAAAGTAAATAAATATTACAAATAAATGTCATAAAATGTCACGGAAAGCATTAAATTTCACTTTCTGAAAAAATGTAGACATTCGGTCACAACACAAATTTTAAGTTTTAAAATAAATTATGAGTATAAACTTTTTGTGTTCCTTTAAAATAATTGCTTCATTTTTTGTTAGAACCTTATAATTACAAGCAGAAAGTGAGTTCTTAGGATGAGAAGGTTCTATCTGCATTTGACCTGCTCCCTTTACAAATCTGATAGGGTTTTGATATTGTACATTTAGTATACATTCAGGGTGTCTGTTATTTTCATGTATGAAAAATCTTTGAAGCTCAAAATCTCAAAACTGCTCAGAACACAGACAGAACCTTATAATACCAAGGGGATGATATATCCACCTATTCATCCTACAGCAGTTTAGCCCCGCCCCTTCATGCAAAATTTCTAAGCAGTGTTTAACAGCAAAAATGGCCTGGGTTCGATTCCCAGGGTCATTTCTGTGTGGAGTTTGCCTGTTCTCCCCGTGTCTGCGTGGGTTTCCTCCGGGTACTCTGGTTTCCTCCCACAGTCCAAAGACATGCAGTCAGGCCAATTGGACATGCTGAATTGCCCCTAGGTGTGTGTGAGTGTGTATGTCTGTCTGTCTGCCCTGCGATGGATTGGCGACCTGTCCAGGGTGTATCCTGCCTTCCGCCCAATGACAGCTGGGATAGGCTCCAGCACCCCACCGCGACCCAGAAGGATAAGCGGTTTAGATGATGTGTGTGTGTGTGTGTGTGTGTTTAATCTCCTAGTGCTTTCTGAAAGAGGGCAGCGAATCAGAATAGTGTTCATATATATATATATATAATATATATATATATATATATATATATATATATCAGTTTAAATGGCACAATAACAAATACAGCCTACTTTTTTCTAAGGGATAAAGAGTGGGTGGAAAATGGTTATGTAAAATGAACTATGATTATTTTGGTACATAAAACAATTGTACATAATACAGTTACAGACTGTAGTCCAACTGTTTCTCTGCATACTTTGTTAGCCCCCTTTTACCCTGTTCTTCAGTGGTCAGGACCCCCATGGACCCTCACAGAGCAGGTACTATTTGGGTGGTGGATCATTCTCAGCACTGCAGCGACACTGACATGGCGGTGGCGTGTTAGTGTGTGTTGTGCTGGTACAAGTGGATCAGGCAGCAGGGTCACTCAGCGCCACCATCCAAATTTACACCTGTTGTGATCCTGACCACTGAAGAACAGGGTAAAAGGGGGCTAACAAAGTAGGCAGCGAAACAGATGGACGACAGTCTGTAATTGTAGAAGCTGTAGAGCTGATAAAATGGACAAAGACTGCAGACACAAGGAGGTGTACCTAATGAAGTGGCCACTAATTGATAATACAGTAATTAATTACTAATAATAATATTTAATAATATGCATAATAATAAATATTCATTCAAGAGGCCGGACCTAGAAGACACAGTGATGAATCGACTCACCCCCATGATGTCTTCTACGAGTAGTGTCTTGCGCGTCTTGGCGACGTGAGCAGCGATGGTGGTCCCGAATGCAATGGGACCGGAGGGGATGAGCCCAGGAAGCCCCTCCTTCGCCCCCGTCGGCGTGAATAAACAGAGGCTCTGGAAAATAAATATATGAAATGCAAAACACCGTTCATAAGCGTGTCATTCATAACACTGACTCGCTCAGCAAGATAGATTATGATGACATGATTATCCATATCAGTCAGCCACTGCCCTGCTACTGAAGCAAGTAGCACTGTAATGCTACAGAAACAGCCAGCTGAAGCCCGGCCAGGAGAATATGAAGACAAGTACCTGATGGGGACACAGTGACTCGGTGGCAGTGAATTAACAGAGACAAATCCTGATGCTGAAAATTCATACGTTTGCTTGAGCCTGATGTTCCTTCAGATTAGCGGAGAGCAGGGAAGAGAGAGGCCTATTCATCCCTGTTTTCTAGCCGCTCACAGTGCCATCAAAGAGCTTTAACTCAAGCAGATTTAATAAGTAGGGCGCATGATGATATAAAGTGTTTAGTTTGATGTTATGGAAATTCCTCACATTTCTGGAGAACTCCAGACACTAAAAAGTAACAAGGATTCAATTCTAAAAGCCATGCATCAGTGCTGACTCTTCAAAACGCTCTTTTACAGTATATACAGGCATAAACGGCTGTTCAAAAGTTCGAAATCAATGTTTTCAATAATGTAATATCTGGTTGTAGGTAAATGTATCAAACAATTAGAAGGACACTTGAAAAATCAAATGAAGAATTTTTGTATACAGAATTGAGGAAATGTTAGATGTGTGCAGATGAACAAAGCTAAACGAATGAGAGTTAAAATAAATGAGAAAGCTGTAGAACAACAAGAAATAAAATATAATAAAAATTAATATCCAAAAATAATCATATTGCAAAGTGGAGATGAAATTTAAAGGCAGATAACTTGACAAAAAATGAATGTACAGTGTTTTACTTCATCTAATAAAACTTCACAGAATTCCTGAAATATTGAAAAAAAAATCTAAAAATATCTATTATTCTATTAAAAAATAACATTAAGATGGAAAGTGCTTCAAACTTTGAATGGTAGTGTATATTGTCTGATATTATTATTATTATTATTATTATTATTAGTGGTAGTAGAAGTAGTATTATACAACCCCATTTCCAAAAAAGTTGGGATGCTGTGCAGAATGTAAATAAAAATAGGATGCAATGATATGCAAATCATGTGAACCATATTTCTAAAGGAAAATAGTACAAAAACAACATATCAAATGGTAAAACTGAGAAATTAGATTGTTTTTTTTTAAAATATATGCCCATTTTGACTTTTATACCAGCAACTCTTTCCAAAAAAGTTTGGGACGGGGGCCTGTTTACCACTGTGTTTCATCACCTCTTCTTTAAACAACACTCTGTAAGCGTTTGAGAACTGAGGAGACACTGCTGTAGTTCTGAAAGTGAAATGTTTTCCTGTTCTAACTTGATGTAGGATTTCAGCTGCTGAACAGTTCGGGGGCTCATTTCTCATATTTTTCCATTTCATAACCCTCCAAAAGTTTTCAGTGGGTTACAGATCTGGACTACAGCCAGGTCAGTTTAGCCCCCGGAGCAATGCTGTTGTAATACATGCAGAATGTAGTCCTGCATTCGCTTGCTGAAATAAGCAAGGCCTTCCCTAAAAAAGACATCATCTGGATGGCAGCATATGTTGCCAAAACATCATGAATACTGGCTTTTGAACTGTGCACTGATAACATGCTGAGTGGTATTTAGCCCAGAGGACACAGTGTCCATGATTTCCAAAAAGAATTTCAAATGTTGATTCGTTGGACCACAGGACACTTTTCCACTTCTCCTCAGTCCATTTTAAATGACCTCGGGCCCAAAGAAGGTGGCGGCGTTTCTGAATCCTGTTTATGTACGGTTTCTTCTTTGCATTTTAGAGTTCAAACTTGCATTTGTGGATGCAGAGCCGAACTGTTTTTTTACAGACCGTGTTTTTCAGAAGTGTTTCTGAGCCCATGAAGTGATTTCCACTACAGAATCGTGTTTGTTTTTAATGCAGTGCTACCTAAAAGCCCAAAGATCACGGCCAACCAATACTGGTTTTTGTCCCTTGCATACAGAGATTTCTCCAGATTCTCTAAATCTTTTAATGTTATTATGTACCGTAGATGATGAAAAGCAAAAGTTCTTTGCTATTTTATATTGAAAAATGTTATTTTTAAATTATTGCACTATTTGATCGTGCAGTCTTTCACGGAGTGGTGAACCCCTCCTCATCTTTACTTCTGAAAGACTCCGCCTCTCTGAGATGCTTTTTATACCCAATCATGTTCCTGACCTGTTGCCAATGAAACACCAGGTGTTTTTTTTTTAGTATTATAAAACTTTACCAGCCTTTTCCTGTCCCCGTCCCAACTTTTTTGGAACGTGTTGTTGGCATCAAATTCAAAATGGGCATATATTTTTCAATAATTAATAAAAATTCTCAGTTTCAACATTTGATATGTTGTCGTTGTACTATTTTCAATTAAATATAGGGTTTAAATGATTTGCACATCATTGCATTTTGTTTTTATTTAGATTTCTGCACAGCATCCCAACTTTTTTGGAAATGTGGTTGTACTACTACTATCACTACTACAACTACTACAACTAATACTACTACTACTAATAATAATAATAAAGTTCTATTTATATGGCGCCTTTTTCAAGGTTCTCAAAGCTGCTTGAAAATGCCAAACATGTTGGAACAAAACAAATCAGAACAGACAACATCATAAGAAATGTAAACACGCAAACTGACCCTCAAAACAATAAAAATTCAGACTGTGGGTCAGAGGAAAACAGTAAAGCATGTAACACATACTAAACAAGTAGGGTTACTTACATTGTTGCATTCTCCAAGGAAGTAAAGTGCAAAACCATCAGCTTTTGTGGCTGTGGGGGCAGAAAAGAATCACAGTCAACTGAAGCAGAACAGATTGGTTGGTCAGTGGTTTGAGATGGACAGCAGGCTGTGCCTATTTAACCATTTAGCCCACATGTTTGACTCTTTTGTGAGACATTTGGAGCTACTGCTTTTGAAATTAACAACCATAAAAGAGAGAGAGTAGAGGTCAAATTAGGGAAAAGGTCTGACCTGTTTTCATGTGTTTTCTGGACTCTGAGGGCTGAGGAGCGGTCAGCACAGGGAATGGTTTGGCATGTTTGCATTGAGTGGACTTTCAGTGTATATCTGCATGCATTTGAGTATTTTAGTGGTGTTAAAGTGAACAAATTAATAACGTGTTAAACGTGTAAATTATTAACACCAATATTTTTTCATACCATTAACGTATTTTCCTAGTTTTTCCCACTTGAACCAAATGTAGTTTCATCCTGAAGCCCAGCTACTCGCATGTTATGTTGCTATGAATCCATGTGTCGTCTCATTCAAATACAGCTTTTAAATTGTATGTATTTCTTATTTCCAGCTACTGCAATGCTCACAATTCATACTTCATGTTTCTGAAATGTCATCTATGGGCAAAACACACTGCTGATGCCAGTAAGAAACGAACAAAAAAGCAACAGCAGAGTGGAAAGCTCCAGTTCCCCTCGAAACAGGACAGGACACAGCAGTATGAGAATCAGAGGCTACATCACAGAGGAGTTAAACCACTGACTGTATATATGATAAAATGATATATGCACTCATTGGTTGCAACATGCAGCCGCTGTTGCTCTCACAGGAAGTCAGTAAAGAAAACTGGAAACTGCGATCCAGTCTGTGGAAATCACACGATTTTTGTGGTCAGATTTATGTGAACCCTGAGTTTACACAATAAAAATAAACTGAGTTATTGAGACTGAGAATAATAAACACATTCTGAAGTAGCTTATTGTGTCCACTCACAAAGCTATACCAATGCACTACTTTTTAAACAAAGAAATCTCTTTAGGGCAAATCTGAGCAAACAAATCTAAATAATCATGATGAGCTACACAAAAAATGCAATTAACTGCAATTAACTGTCTTAATGACTTGACATCCCTAATCATCCCTAAAAGGTTTATCGTATGGCATGAAAATATATTCAAGCACCAAAAATAAAATCAAAAGATTGCTTTTCAAACTTGAAAGATTTAAAGTACTATTCTTAGCACTGCATTTATACCCACTCAAAAATTACAGCTCGGTTCATTCAGTCTGTAAGCAGCACCAAATAACTCAAAATAGCTGAAATTTTAATTGCATACAAAAACAACACAAAGAACAATATTTTAAACGCTGGTGGACAATGTTAAAAAAAAAAACAACCAATATATGTTTGGAGCACATATTTACAATATTTTACAGAACATATATATATATATATATATATATATATATATATATATATATTGTACAGTAATATATAGAGAATATTTTTATATAGAGAATCTTTTTTTAGGGTCATTTTTAAGGGTCAAACTACACAAAATAATTGGATTAATTGCAATTGATTGTTTTAATCACTTGAAAGAATTATGAAAACTGAGGTCATTCAGAACCGACTTATTTCACACCATGAAAATTTAGAAAACTTTTTAAACATGAAATATTTCATGGTCTGAAACAAAAACAGCCCCCTGTCGTGGTCAAACATTTTATTAGTGTTGAAATTTTAACTGTGTGTAAACACAAAATTAAGAGTAATATTTGAATATAAGATGCATTTTTAGACTCAAATACAATGTTTTTATTATGTTTTATTAATGTTTTAATGTTTATTTAGTGTTTTTTAAGAGAACAAAATCTTCAAGTAGGACAAGACAAATGTGAAGGAATCATTAACTACACGAAAAAAGCAAATTATCGTGATTTTCTTTTTTTAATAACATTTGACAGCTCCAGTGCATACATATCTGCAAGTGGAGGCATCTGTGTGTGTGTGTGTGTGTGTGTGTGTGTAGGGGGCAGGGCCAGTTCTCTGAGCTCTGCAGTGCTGCAGTGTGCTGACGAGGCGTGGGTGGATGAGATGTGACAGCCTGTGCACTGCTCACCCAGCAAGAGAGAGAGAGAGAGAGACAGAGATAGAGAGAGAGAAAGAGAGAGAGAGAGAGAGAGAGAGAGAGAGAGATGGGAAACACGCGTCGGGGCAGAGCCTGCTAACCTGGGTCAACCACACCACCACCCAGCTCTCTCTCTCTTGTGCTGCATCATTAACCCATACACCCGCTGCACTGCTGCTCCAGGAGAACGCTCTGTGGCCTAATGGAGACACATCACAGAGGCCATCGCCTCTACAGCTACGAGAGCAAAGCCAAGCCAGTACAACACCAACCAAAAAAGTTTAGACCTAGTTTTTCACACTGTGTTTAATAAATGAGTAACTCTTCCTCGTCAATTTGCAATAATACTCTATATTAAATTAAAGACTTTCATGGTTAGAACCCTGACTGTCATATAAAATGGCACTATACAGGTACATTTTAGTGCTCCAAGAGGCAAACTATGTACAGGACTGTGCAACAGAGACCCTTCATTCGTCTGATTTCCAGTTAAAACAGCCATACAAGTTACAGTTCTCTTCAGGAGACTCGCTTTCAGTTTTTCAAAGAAATCTGCAGGGATATTTTTCACACCTCCAATAGTTCAGTCTACAGAAGTTGGCTGTATTTGCTTCTCACAATCCAAATAATCCCAAACACATTCAGTGATGTTGAGGTCTGGACTCTGGGGTGGTCAGTCCATTGTTCAGCTTCTTTGTTTGATGTGTCCGTCTCCTTTTCTCAGTGAGGTTCTTCTTGACAGCTGCACATCCTTTCAGACCCATAGCGCTGAGTCGTCTTCTCACAGTGGAAGGATGGACAGAAACACCTGTGGATGCTTTCAGATCTGAAGCAGCTTGATTTTCTCCTCTCTCTCAGAGATGAAAGCTTTTAGTGCTGTTTATCTGATGGGGGCAGTTTTGTTAGGAGTCCCATTTTCTTGGCATCTGTTTTGTAAACTTATTTTCTGTTGACTTTGCTCTTCTTTCTGCAGGTAGATTATCTTATATCTCCTGAAAAATGATTGACTTGTACTTAATTGTTATTTTAACTGGAAATTTTATGCAGAGTAGTCTCTGAAACTTGCACAGCACTGGAAGAGCCAGTACTGGTCCAACACTACTAAAGTTTTGAAAATCCAGGGCTGCTGAAACCTTCGTGGGGCAGTGCCATACGCACTGCAAAAAACGGTCTCTTGTCAAGTGAAATGACCTTAAAGCTAGTCAATGAGTGTGTTTACATGCACTCAATAATCCAATCATAATCGGATTTCTGCAGTTATCTGATTATTTAAATAGTCATGTAAACACCATACTCCGATCTAGAAATCCGATTAAGGAATCTAATAAAGAGGCTGGATTTCAGCTCAGTAATCAGATTTCTCAGTGCATGTAAACTCGTACTCTGATTTCTTTCAGATTTCTCAGTCTGCGCATGCGCGAGAACAGACGGTGGATGTCGTGAGATGGCAGCAAAACATTTCTGGAGAGGAAATAAAGGATTTAAATATTCTTCATCGTTTAGATGATGTATGTTCATATTTTCAGGTAAAGTGGTGCGATGTTCTAAAAAAAGCCATGGTATGAAGTTTGAGTTTTAAATTAAGTTTACGTCGCGTCTTCTTCTGTGAGTTTATTGGTCGGTTGCAAAGCAAAAATCTGATTACTGTCTGACTCATGTAGACCCAGAGTTTCCCCATTATCTGATTACTCATGTGCATGTAAAGGTGGATTACTGACAAAATCTGATTTTCTGCAGTTATTGGATTATTAAGTGCATGTAAACACACTCAATATATCTAATATTTCCCATTTTGGGATGGTTGTTGCACTTATTATAAGATTATCATATTTCTAGAAATGGTTTACTTGTTTTAGGTAATTTAATCAGGTAAAATTATCTCACTATACTGGCAGATTATTTTGCTGGTTTTAAGCACATTTCTTATAACAAGCAAAATTATCTGCCAATACAGTGAGATAATTTTACTTGATAAAATTATTAAAACCAGTAAAAATGTCTAGAAATAAGCTAAACAATCTTAAATTAAGCTTACAATAACCTCAACTGGAGAAATATTAGATTTGTTGGGTAGATTTGAGATAATTTCACTTGATAAGACACCATTTTTTGCAGTGTATATTCTTCAGGGGGGCAGCTATTCGACCGTCGACGTTGCCTAGCACGTGTGGTTTAGTGCCATACAGGCAGCAGTCCATCCTCAGTGGGTTGGAACTACAGTGATACTGGATAAGCTGCAAACTTAGTGATGGGACTTAAAGCAGTACATGTCTGCATGATGCAAAGAGGGTCTGACCTGTTTTGATGATGTTGCACAACTCGTACAGCAGGAGTTTGTTGTCGCCGCCCGTGTCCAGCCGCTGCTCCATGTAGCTGTTGAGCTCATAAACCACGCCCTGCATGTTAGTGTCCTGGTACTGCTGGACACAAGAGACACACACCATGCAACTAGCCGTCCCACACAGACACACAAACGACAGGTACTGCTGAAATGTGGCGCCCGGTCCACGTCCACACGCACCTGCCACATGACACGGAAACACGCTCCAAAAACAGATAAACAGCTCCGCTTCACGTTCAGTTGCTTACGGTCACCACTAAACCACAGCCTCGTTATTTATGGTTTATTATTAGCTTTTGGGACAATTTAGAAATGCACTTAAACATATCTCTTAGTTAACTGCACTGTGAGATTAGAACTCGCTGCAGCAAAACTGCATGTTAGCAGACGAGAAAGTACTGTGGTGGAAAGGATGAGTACTGTGTTAAAATCTTACTCAGTTAAAAGTGGAAGTATGAAGTAAAAATATACTTGAGTGAAATCTAAAGTGTCAACATTTAACAAAACTCAAATACATCAAATTTAAAAAAGATGTATCAGTATGAAAATTTGATCCCAGTGCCAATATCAGTTATTTTCTCTGTATATTCAGACATTTTCTCTCCATATTCAGTACCAATGTATACATATATTTACTCAGTATTGTCATTATATGCTGTTACCTGCACCGCCTTGTACATTCATTACTGCCCTGCCTTTTTATATCAGGATAGATCTTGAATGCATATGCAATTTTTGTATATATGCCTGTAATTTGTATATATGCCTGCTTTTTGTATATATTCTTCTTTTCATATTGTATCACCTTTATTACTGTATTATAACTGTCCTGTGTTGTATGACTGCTACTGGCTGCTAACTGTCCTTCAGGATCAATAAAGTGTCTGTCTGTCTGTCGTCTGTCTGTCTGCCTGTCTGTCTGCCTGTCTGCCTTCATATACAGTCATATGCAAAATATTGGGCCCCTGGTCAAATGACGTTTATGTTGATTTTCAAAGTGAAAGTAAGTTAGCACTTCCTCTACTGCACATTTTAATACACAATTACTGTTTATTTGCTGAATTTAAACATATTAGGAACTGAAAAAATAAAATGTAGCTTGGGCAAGAGTTATGGCACATTTTATTATTATTCATTTCCAAAAAAAAGCCTTATTCAAGTGTGTTCTCTGCTGAGGATGTTATTTTCACTTAGAAAATCAACCAAAGATGTCATTAGACTGAGTGTTAAAACGTTGGCATACGAGACAACATCAAACAACGGTTTGAAATATCAGTCAAATCCAAATCTGTCTGATGCCAATTTTTTAAAGCAGTTTGCCAATACTGATATCATCATGCATTCCTAATAAAACGTGAATTGTTTAAAATGGAGGGTTAGAACTTGTCTAGTATAGTCAGAATTTGTCCAGCCTTTTAAGCCTTAAACCTCAACAAGCTCTTTGTGGTGAAGCACCTAATGGGTATATATATATATATATATATATATATAAATATATATATATATATATAAATATAATGTTGCTGGTGTGTCAGAATGTTCTCTCCAAAATAAACTTCTTTACTTTTAATCAATGTTATTTCCTGAATTGAATGTTGATTTAATATTATTAAAAAAAAACAAACAAACAAACAAACAAAAAAAAAATGGAAAATACAAAATGTGCCATATCTTTTGCACAGGCCATATTTTATGTTTCTTTTTTTCCAATCTGTTAAATTCAGCAAAACAATTTATACTTAGAAAATCAACAAAGACATAACTTGACCAGGGGTGCCCAAACTTGTGCATACAACTGTATCCCCATTTCTTCTATGCCTAACTCGTCCTCTCTTGCTCTCTCTATCCCGTCCACTGTCCTTGTGTCCAAAGCTTTTGGGGATGTGTTTGGGTAATGAGGACAAGAGCCACACTGGCCTCATAAACAGGAGCTCTACCAGAGCACCAGCACCTCACATGGCACATTACAGTAAGCTCAGTGTCCTCATACATGGGCCCTGAGTGACCTTCCACAACACCAAGCTAATGAGAACACAGACATACAGCAAAAACGCCGTTCAAAAACGATGCCTCACTTACCCTGCTGACTTCTTTAGTTGAGGGGTCATCTGTGTGGGGACAAAACAGAAAGAAAACCCTTTGGTCAAACAGATGCTTTATACATGCTACAAACCGTATCAGACTTAGACATTTAACCCTTTCACGTTTAGTGTCCAGGCAATTGATTTGGCAATTTTTTTTTCTCATGATTCATCACTTGTTGGCTGAATTATTATAAGCCTAATGTAACATTAACCATTATCCTGAATTCAGACATGCTCAGTCTGAAAAAGCTGACAGTAAAAGGAATTCACTTTCAATACAGTCATACGCAAAAGTTTGAACATCCTCGGTCAAACTACACGTTTTGTTGATTTTCTACGTAAAAATAAATTAACAGGCTAGACGGCATTTTCCTGCAAATTTTAGTACTCAGTTTCTATCTGTTTGAGTTTAACACATTGAAAAAATTTAAAAAGAAAAACGTCATTTGACGGGGGGTGCACAAACTTTTGCAAATGACTGTATATAATGTATTTCTGTATACATTAACAACAGATTCATTTATGTAAAAAAAAGGTTTAAACATGTATATACAAGCTTCTACACGATGAACTCAGGAAAGTGGGACGCTTTGTGCTGACCGCTAAAGCAGAAAAACAATGTATTTTGTCTTTTTGTGAGTTTGTGAGTTTTTGTGAGATAGTATTTACTTCACTTTACTGGGACAATTTTTACTGGGACAGTACTTAAAGGAAACATATTTACTATGTACTACAGACAATACAATAGAATCCTATACAGAGTAAGAAAACACTTCATATAAACATTTCAAACAATCATCGTATAAAAAATCTGTAAAAACTAATTGGTACATTTCTTCAAGATCACCAATTTTAACAGATTTTAACTAACTGACAAGCCATGAACGCTATGGGTCAAAGCCTTAGCGTCTGAACGAGGGCCCACCTCTGCCTGACCAGAGTCAGAGCAGGAAAGGAAAGAAAAAGGAAAAGAAAAAGAAGGACCAAGCGGCGGTCACCCTGCTGTGGATGGCTTTTCTGCTGAGCTGGTGATTCAGAACACAAGCAGGACCAGGATGACCGCCACAGCAATCTGCACGCCTGGAACCGGAAAATAAGAGCTAAATCCCAGAAAACAATGACATCGTTTTTCAGGAAAGCCCTCGGATGGAATAAAGAACGATAGAACAATACAGGACGGAATGACGGCTGGGTCACATGGGTGCAAACTCTGGTTACTGGCTTTAAACTGACCAGTAAACTAACAGTAGCTCACTGAATGGACATCACTCAGGGTCACGAGTGTCAGGCATCATACATTCCTAACACCATTTTCCACCATTTGCTTAGTCTAATTAATTAACTGCCACCGCCGCTTTCACTGCAAGTTTGTTTTGATGAGTTCTGCCCAAGCTGTTCTTTCTTTGAGGAACTTTTAGAGACGACTGAGATTGGCTGAGAGGCGTCACACAGTTCTGCAAATATATAAATGTTGCACAGCTAAGAGCAGTAGTAGCAGCCATCTTGAAACATGAGCTTTGTCTGTCCTTTTTAATGGTTTGGCTACGCAAAAAAACAGATCCTGGCAGATCAGCTACACTTAAGGTAGTCCAAAGAGGAAAACTATGGAAATCACATTTTCACTAAACTGTTATTTTAGCTTCTAAACTGATGTCTGATACATTTTGACCATAAAATATTTGAAAAAATTAAATATTTTATGTGAAACATATTTGGCTCAGGTGTGGCCTGTATCCTAGGGTTTCAGTCTCGTGATTTTTAAGCGTGGCCGCTATGTTTAAGACCGAATTTCTGGCTTCGCTGCTCCACACAAATGTAACTAGAGGTGAAAGACGGCTAAAATTACTCACCTACTTTGGAAGAGGAAAAGCGTGACCTCAACAAAATCGATAAAGGCTGTGATCCTTATATAGTTTCCCCCTGAACTCCTGATCCCACTTAAACTGTCGGAAAGCTACCAAATTTGTGTTTTCCTGACATTTATATTTATCTCATACTCAGCCCCTCTCCCTAATCTGGAGAGTCTCTCAAAGCATTTAAAAGCACAGAAGCCCACCGGCTCTTCACGTCAGGGTGGGTAAAGGATCCCATGGTGTTGCACGAAGAGGAGAAAACCCTCTCTGTCATCACAGGAGGGTAACGACATCAGCTAATTAACACAGATGTGAACGATGCTCGCCTTTAGAAACGCGTCTGCGCTGACGCCGTCACTGAGGGTGCTGGGAAACCTGGACTTGTTCATCTGAATGAAAATGTAATACAGCTGGCCTGACCCAGCCTGACTGTTTAGACCTTCTCTCTCTCTCTCTCTCTCTCTCTCTCTCTCTCTCTCTGCCACAGAGGGTCATGTGATAGTCCACGATGATATAAGACAGGGACATACATGCGCATGGTGTCAACACTGCCCTGCAGAAAGGAGAGAAAGATAGAGAGATAAATACATAGAGAGCGAGACAGAGAGGAAGAGAGACTTTCAAACTCCTTGTGTCAGCTCAGCTAAATACACCCAATACTCAACAAGCTGCTGATCGATCTGTGGATGGATACAGACGCAGTCGTGTGCAGGCCAGGCCCGGACGGGAATCTCCACAACGTCAGCGTTTAAATGGTAGTCCAGTGGAAAAATCAAATGTAGATGTGTTAGGGGTCTAGTTTAGGGTGACCAGACGTCCCTGTTTTCCAGGGACAGTCCCCGTTTATGGAAGTCTGTGCCTGGCTGAAACTGTCCCTGGAAATGTCCCCGTTTTTAACTGTGCATTAAAAACACACCGGAAAGTCCCAATAAAGACCAGCAGCAGAGCAGACAGGCAGACGGCTCACTTTGTGCTCATTTTGGCCAACAGAGGGGGCTGCTGCTAACTACTGACCACTTCTGCCACTTGCTCACCTAGTTTTACAGAATAATGCTGTGTAAAACTCGACCAGAAGCTAGCAAGTGTCACGTGAGTCCACATCATCACCACAGACATCTTCTCAAAACACGAGGTAACCCAGGGATTAAAAGCAGGGGTGGGGTTACGGGACTTGAGTCGTACTACCAGGTGATAAACGTGCTTATTTGTACAGGCACACGATCTGCCTGAATGTAGCTACCATGTGATCTACAAATAGTGCATCATTTTTTAAACTGCGCCACTTTTACAGCCGTCCATATATGACATAAGGCACATGTTGATAGCTTCTGTCTCTCTAGAACTGGAGCTGTCCAGGGGTTTGTTTAGAATCTGACTATTGGGATGTAGCCACGGGTCTTTTTTCTGTAGCCACGGGTCTGTTTTTCTGTAGCCACAGGTCTGTTTTTGTAGCCACAGGTCTTTTTTCTGTAGCCACGGGTCTGTTTTTGTAGCCACAGGTCTGTTTTCTGTAGCCACGGGTCTGTTTTCTGTAGCCACAGGTCTGTTTTTGTAGCCACAGGCCTGTTTTCTGTAGCCATGGGTCTGTTTTCTGTAGCCACGGGTCTGTTTTCTGTAGCCACGGGTCTGTTGTCTGTAGCCACAGGTCTGTTGTCTGTAGCCACAGGTCTGTTTTCTGTAGCCACGGGTCTGTTTTTGTAGCCACAGGTCTTTTTTCTGTAGCCACAGGTCTGTTTTTGTAGCCACGGTCTTTTTTTCTGTAGCCACAGGTCTGTTTTTGTAGCCACGGGTCTGTTTTCTGTAGCCACGGGTCTGTTTTCTGTAGCCACGGGTCTGTTTCTGTAGCCACGGGTCTGTTTCTGTAGCCACAGGTCTGTTGTCTGTAGCCACAGGTCTGTTTTCTGTAGCCACGGGTCTGTTTTTGTAGCCACGGTTCTTTTTTCTGTAGCCACGGGTCTGTTTTTGTAGCCACGGGTCTGTTTTTTCTGTAGCCACAGGTTGTTGTTTTTCCATAGTTTACCATCGCTTCACTCACCATGGTAGCTACAGTATGATTTTATGACACAGTTTACAAAGCTACTTACTTAGTATCCAATTTCATCAGTCAGCCTTCACCACAGTTTATTACAGTACAGCAGTTACCATGACCAAAATACATGAAACTGGAACTGTCCCCCACTTTTTATTTCATAGATAAAAACATTGGATATTTTAACGATATACTGACCGTCAAACTGAAAATGTCCCCATTTTTGCATTTCAGAAATCTGGTCAACTTAGTCTAGTTTTAACCACCACATGGCTAATGTAGCTAACATACTATTATCTATAAAAATGGACAAACGAACACAAAAATGATGACCGCTGCTACTGTTTTCAGATATGCAACACATTTTGGTCCATTTTCACAGAACAGTATATCACACAAGGACAGAAAGTACATAAAAAAGTGAAGCAGTGAGTCAAGCGTGTGATTTATGTATGCAGTTCCATGATGCTAACCTAGCGGCTGTGAGCTTCCTGGACCCGTTAGCTACATTAGCCTCGTAGCTCCAGGGCAAAACTGAAAAAGGAGACAACAGACGCCAAACATATGTTGGTTAACCAACTACACTTGTGTAACAGAGGAAGGGGAAATCTTATGTACAGTCATATGCAAAAGTTTGGGTGTCCCAGTCAAATGATATGTTTTATTAATTTTCATAGTGAAAATAAGTTAACACATCCTCTACAGAGAACATAAAATACATAAAAACACAAAATGTGGCCTGGCAAATATTATGCTATTTCACTATTATGCACTTTCATATTTTTTTTGCACTAAAATTTGCACAAAAAGTTCCTCGTAGAGGATGTGCTGAAGTGGAATTCGACCAATTTTCCTAAATTCACACAGAATTTAACAGTAATGATGTAAACAAAGTCATTCAGAGTGGTTTGGTGTGAAACACTCCGTTCTAGAGAAACTTAGAGTCAGAACTGTTCACAGTGGTGGTGATAGGAACCAGACGTCCACCTCTAAAAGCTCCCTCACAGAAGATTAATACATAAAATGGTTATGAATACACTGTCTAATGCCCGAGACATTGTTTTATGATCGTTTTGAGAAGGTCTGGGCTATTTTTTAAACACAGAGTGGCAGAGTGTTACATGCAGGGCGTTGTGAAGCAA